CCTCAAGGCGAGGTGTGGTAGAGGGGTGGGGAGGGACCACGGCATGAGAGCCAGGAGGAAAGCTGTTTTTGGCTGTTTCGACCCGGGGCTGAGCCGGCCAGATGAGGAGGAGGTGCTTTGAGAGAGTCGAATCAGATGCGAGTTTGTTCAAATCCAGTTTGTCAAGGAGCAGAGCAGCGAACGAGCAGTGCCAATGAAGCACCTTGGTCGATAAAGGCTAATGACAAAGACTCTTGGAGCCAGTCGGACGTAAAATCCACTCATTGGATGAGAGGGGAGAAACAACTCAAAACGGCGTAGGGTTCTTCTGTCCAGGGTGGGAATTAGGCTATGGATATCTCTGGCGTTGAGCTAACTGGGACAAATCTACCGCGTCAGATGTGTCAAGAAAACACTGTGCTCATAGCTTTTTGTGTGAGAGGGAAAACCTAGCGTCGGTATGTACGGATACACTATGTATGCACTGCGGAGTACGTACAGGTATGGATGTACTCCGTATACTATGTACAGTGTGGCAGGGGGAAGTTAATTACCCCTATGATGTTACCCCCCACAGCTGATATCATAGTAGAGGGGGAATATTCGCCAAAAGTGAAGTCCTGCAGTAGGGGGGTGAACATTAGTTACCTAACAGGGGTAATTAACTTCGGCCGGATACCATTGTATGTATGCCATTTGAGCGAGAGGGGCCGTACGGGGCTGTGTACGTACCTTTGTGAAGATGAGGTGTCCACAGACTATAATCCAACTTTGCGTAGGGCATCAACGAGTGATGGGTGGTGTCCAATAGTAAAATGTAGGTGAGATCCATGGCGCCCATTAAAAACAAGGCGCGTAGTTTGCATTTACAGGCAAAGTGTTGGCACGACGGGGAGGCAAAGGAAAAGCAAAAAAAGGAGATAAAAAGTACCTACCCACCTAGGTGTATGTGTGTGTGTGTGAGAGAGAGAGAGAGAGAGAGAGAGAGAGAGAGAGAGAGAGAGAGATACGTATCCGTACTGTGCCGCCCATCAGTCTCTTCCGTTCAATCCCAGCAAGGCCTGTCCTGTCTGAGGGAAACGTATCTTTCTATGTTTGGTGTCCATCCTCACCCTAGGTATCCGTACAGATGCACACAATAACTGAAATACGTACCTATCCATAGGCGCCAAGATAAACCCAACCCAATCTGTCCCAAGTACAGCCTAGTGTAGATAGCCCCCTGCCCAGGCCGAGGCTGCCCGCCTCCTTAGCTCGTCAGCCTACCGTTTTTACCTACCTAGGTAGGGAAGTCTACCTGACTGCAGGTTATATCCGTAGCCTGGGTATTATTGTACATGTAGCCACCAAATGAGCCTTTTCCATCCCCCCTCCTCAGACCCTACAACCACAAACTCACTACTCACTGTATCTACCTATCCGCTTGTCTTGTCTACTTTACTTTTCCCTTTTTCAAAACCAGTATCCATCATTTCTTCTTCCCATTTTTCATCATTCTAAATCGCCACCTTTCCCCTCGAGGCTTAGCACCCTGTCTCGCACAGATAGATACCCATCTTATTATCCATTGTAGTGTACGGCAACGCCCCAGTATATTCTTTATTTACTCTTCCGTCTTTCTACTTCTCTTCCTATCATCTCTACTCTACACACCTACGCCTTCAGCTACTGTTCTAGTCAGAGTCAATCACAGCCATTGACGTGACCGCTCTATAGAGTCAGTCAACAAGTCGGGTAAGTACTTGCGTGGAGCATTCTGTTGTTCATCGTTCTTCCGTCTACACGAGCAACAAGAGAGAGGGGCCAAGAGGTGTGCTGCTCGCCCAGGACAATGCAATGCAATGCCATCCATCCATCCATCTATTGCTTTGAGCCAGGCATACATACAATGACACAATGACAAGATGTCGTTTGTGCCCCTGCCATCTATGATTACTTACTTGCCTACTTCCCTACCTACCTAAAGCAATGGGTTGATCACCTTCTTCCCTCCTTCCCACCCCTCCTCCTTCGCTCCTTCCGTCCGTTTGCCAGTACGCTGGCCGGAGAGGTAATATTCATTTCCTCGTATGCTCAAGCTCCTGCCCTTTTGCTTTTGCTTCTACACTCGCTCACCCCTTCTTTCCTGTCGCCGCTTCACTCACCCCGCCTCTGCCGTCGCCAACTGTCACTTCCCTCCTGTACCCTTTCCTCTTCATCCTACGCCCTGCCCTCTCTCTTCCTTGCTCTCCTCGCTCACTCTATCCATCCCTTGATAGCCTCCATTTCAATCAGGGATCCGCGTCCCTCTCTCCGTATCCCCCCCCCCCCCCCCCTTCTTTTTATTTCATTTTCCTCTTCCACGTTGTTCCTCTTCCGACTCCTCCCTAGGACCTAATCCTAACCTGGACTACCTACCAACGCAGAGAAACCCAAAACGATGAAATTAGATCCACAGCCAGGCAGACGTTGAACCCACCACGCACCGTGCCCGCCCGCCTTGTCGACCTACAAACGCTATTTTAGGTCATCACTTCATCATCATCATCATCGTCGACGGTAACCGCCAACGTTTTACCGCCACTTACAATTTGCCACATTCGCGTCCCCTCTTAATTACATTTCGGAGTGAGCTTGTTCACTGTTACCAGTGCAAACACTCCAATCGACCATATCGAACCTACCAACGGCAGCGTTTCTTTCATTATCCGTCTTCTCATCTTCGCGTCGGACTCTCACGCGAAACAATTCATCAGCGATCTCTGTTCCACGCCAGTCAAGGCCAACTACTGCTGGCCGTTCTCTTGGCCGACTGACTAGCCGGTACGTTGGCTTGATGCTGCTTGTGTCCAAGATTAGGATCGCGAATTGAAAAGATATCTGCCTAACACTGCGCCAGGCAACGGAACGTGGCCTTCTTAAATTCTGGGCATGGGCCGATGAGCTTTTAGCCAGCCACTCAACGCCGAAGGAGAAATCGACGGGTGCACCCCTGCTTGATCAGTCATCGTTTTTAAGTTACGGCGCTACCTTATTAAACAGTCATGGCGACTTCTAGTGCCCCCATCACAAACGGGTCACACAACGGACAGCTGGACATAGACCAGGAACGCCGACGTTGGTTCGCCGACTTTGAGGCAATAAAGGCCCGGTTCGCGGCAGAGAAGGAAACTCTCAGATCGAGATTCCTCCAGCAACAGCGCGACGCATGTACTGACCTGGATGACGAGGGCCGCTACGCCGACCTGCCAGGTCTTCCTCAAAAGGCCCGTGACCTCCTCCAGAAGTACCAAAACGAGCTTCGATCTCACCGCTGGGCCGCCTGCCAGCATAGGTTCGACAATGAGGAAAAGGATCGGGCAAGCCGCGAAAACGACGCTCTTCGAGAACATTACCTGGTCTTCCCCGTCCCTGGCTTCTCCGGACAGAATGTCCACAATGCGGGTTACAACACCTCGGCCGCAGGACCATTGAGGCGACCCTCGGTGATGGTGTCAAGTCAGACACCACCGACTGGGCGCATAGGATTAACATCAGATATTCCGGCTCGCGGTCCTGCGTCAAGTTCGATCACCAACGCGATCCCGCAATCACGTCAACCACTGCCCCAAGGTGCCATGGTACCCTCGCAATCCTCGCAGTCCGATATGAGTTCCGCGCCAATGCCCCACCAGCAGCTTCACAACCAAGGCCGTCAGCCGCAGCAGCACGCAAATCAACATCAACACAATCAGAGCTGGCCACATCAGGGCCAACCCGCCGCGCAGCAGAGATCACCCCACCTGACCTCCGTCTATCAGCAGCAGCGGCCAGTCAACGGTAGTACAGGGGTGAATGGTCCTGCTCGCGTGCTTCCTTCGCAGGTTCCCGTCCTTGCAAGCAACCACTTTGGCCCCATGCGAACCAAGCCCGCTGTTGCCAGGGCCTCGAGCGGCGGTCATCTCGGGGTGACTGACTCTACTACACGCAGTAATCGAGTTCCTCTCCCACCAATCAACGCGCCACCAATGAGTTCCCGCGATGACAGGTTCCAAGCGCACAATGCTAGAAACATGTCGCAACTGCCTACGCCGCGACCCGAAGACATGGCGAGACAGGCTATGGATATTCAGCGTTTAGCGAAGCGGAAGTCCGATGCAAGTGAGGTGTCGGTCAGAGACACGGATCTTAAGCGAGCCAGAATGGATGCTCCCCACTCGATTGCGCCTCGGACAATCACCTTCAAGGAGGTCTATCAGGACGGCAAGGCAGAATACAAGCACAACATTGTCAAGTATGACGACATGTTCTACATCTTGCGCTGTGATGAGCACGGTGTGCACTTCAAGCAGAATGCTCTCGCTGCCGCAGCGAAGCATCTCCACGGCGCCTCGCACGGTCACCAGAGAAAAGAGCATAAGCTAGCTGTGGAGACGCTTGGGTTCCACGTCGTCGACTGTACGGAAGAGCTTGCTGCGCTGAACAATGAATGCGTGCGACGGGCGTTCCAGAATGGCTACAAGCCCCTGAATCAGCTACACGGGCCGAAGTCCGGAGGCAAACGACTCTCGGGCGGCGCCGCAGCCGGGGTGGATATGGCTGGCGAACGGGCCGCATCAGCATCGCAGTCGCCTTTCCAGACTGCGGCACAAGTGGCCGAGCTACATGACGTCAATGGAGAGGATGAAAAGGAGGAGCAGGCCAGGCTGGTGACAAAACAGCAAGTCTCGACGTCAACAAAGAATATCCTCAACCCCAAGGCAGGAGAGTTATATCATGCCAAATGGCCAAGGAGCAGCAAACTCTACACCGTCATGGTTCTCGGTTGGACAGACCTCAAAATGTGTGGTTGGGAGGAGAAGCTGAGCGAAACGCAGCTCTGCGACAGAAAGATTAGGCCAGCTTGCTACGTTTATAACGACGATGGCATTGCTGGATGGGCACCTGGCTTTGGGGATGGCGAGGCTCGTGTCTTGGAAAGAGATATTCCTGTATTGTGGTTCGAGTCCAAGGGGAAAACTCGCCTTGGCTGGTTGGGCATTAAGTGGCTTTTGGAGCCTATGGCACTCGACGATCCGAACCGACCAGCTGATCCCGACCATCCGTCAAACCAGGCACGAAAACGGTATGCAGACATTCGTGGGTACGACTCCTTCGAGGCCATGCTCGCGTCATCAGGCGCGGAGGGAGCGGTGCCTACCAAGGTACCGTCTTCCGCCTCGGCGTCTGACTCGGATTCGATTCCGGATGTAGACATGTACGACTTTGGCGACAATCCCCCGCTCGTCGATGATTCGGACGACGAAGACTACGTGGAAGGAACAGGCGATAAGGACAAGGAGTTGGACGAAGAAATGGTGGACGTAGAACCCCAGCCCCTCAGGCGGAGCACTCAAGAGGTGCGCCCTACTTTGCGGCTGGGCGAAAACGGCTGGCCATCGGGCAGATTGGGAGGTGCTGCCGGAACACGGCTATCTGCTCGGAAGGACATGCCGACAGCAACCGCCAGCGAGGATGTGACAATGGATGATGCCAGTCAGGCAACTTCGTCAAAGAGTTATGTCACTGGCGACGAAACACCCAATACGACGGGTGTTAACGGTGGTTTGCCCAGCTTGGCACTTGGGACCCCTGCTAGTTCGATCAGCGAGAATGCTGTCAGGGTAGGTCTTTCCGAATCGGCTACTGGAACCAATGACGGCGCTTCTAAGAGTGTGGCGTCTCCGGATTCAATGCGGGATCCGGGTGGGCGTGCCGCGATTTCGGAACCTTCAACAAGGGGCAACTCGTCTCAGAGGCTCAACGAACAGGAGAGCGCAAAGACGGACAGTCGGAAGGATTTGCAGCATGGGGAGAACGGGTCTCGGTTGGGTCATACAGCTATGGCCAACCTCGCCCAGAGCGCCGTGACGGCTGCGTCTAAGTCGCCAAGCTTGAGCGTGGAAGCCCCTCAGATAAGCCCTGCGTTACAGGTTGCCGACCTACTCAATGACGCTACGACCCCTGAGAAAGCCATTGAGCAGCCGTTAGCATCCACTCGGGATAAGCCCGCCGAGGCTCGCCGACCTCTGCCGTTGGGACCCATGCCAGATTCTCGCTCGTCTGGCGTGGCAGTAATTCAACCAACGACTCGGAAGCATCCTCTGCCACATAAACCAACCCTTGGGCCAATCAGCAGTCAGAGGGAGGGTGTAAGTCAGCAGCCGTCGCCGACTCTGTCTGTGCAAAGCAACGGCAATAGGGAGGAGACACCGGGAATGCAACCCCCAAGATGCGGTAGTGCCGGTAGCGCCGAGAGCATGCCGCGGCGACCTGATCCTCGCATGAGCATTAGCAACGCGGTGGAGGATGAGGGTGGTGATAGGATACGGCGGACGGAGCTTAGCCTCCCCGAGAAAGACCACGGACCCGGCAGCGGCATCTCATCAGGCAACAACACGCCCAGAGTATTGACACACATCAGCCTGGCCAACGATGCACGGTGGAGGGCTGTTCGCGCGTCTGAATCGCCATGCATGTCGCCGGCCATGATGCCATCGCCCGGTGTCGACCGAAGCGCGGCGGCATCCCCTGCGTTGGGCGGCAAGAGAGAGATGGACAAGACGATCGACGTGGCCGAGTTCCACGAAGGCGACAAACACTGGGCGCGGGAGGGCGAGTTCCTGCGGTTCATACTGGAGGGCGAGTCCGGCAGTGTTGCGAAGACTAAGAGGGAGGACGGAGTTGAGGCAATGGTGGACCCCTGTCTAGTCAAGGCAGCGCAGATGACGGGGTCAGAAGTAAGGTTGATACTCAAGACGGGTGGCGAGCAGCGCTTCGTATTCAGCGGGAACACTCTTACGGGCAGCCATCGTGGAGCTAAGCTGCAGACGACCAAGTTCTATCGATGGGTGACGGCCAACAATGCAGACATTGAGCACATTGGCTAGGGAAGGGAGTGAGAAGGTGGTAGCCTGACTTTAGGCTTTCTTTGCCACACTATTACGGGTCTTCGCATGGTCGAGAGAGTGGTCTAGGGACTGGAATTGGCTGCAGCGCGAGATGGGGTTCCCCTCCCCTTTCTATTTTCTTCTTTTTCTTCTTCTTCTTCTTCTTCTTCTTCCCCACCTTTTCCACTCCCATTCGGTGTTCACCTCGACACTTTTCTTCCTCTCCTTTGTCAAAATTGGGTTGTAGAATTAAGATGGCTATTGCTTGACACGGAATAGGCGATATCTTGGGCGCCAGGATGGGTGGGCTTCGCAGGCGTTTTGAGGGGTGGTTTCTCATCAGAAGCATTTTGTTTTGGAAGGGAGTTTGAGTTGTTTCTAGCTTACTTGGAAGATTCCTCAAGGAGATGGGTCTGCTAGGTAGTTAACACGGATGAGCAGCACACTGCGGTCTCTGATAGCATGCCTGAACTGAGTGATGAGTGAGGTTAGTGAGTAGTGGGAGGGTGATGTGATTGAAGAGACGCAGTTGCAGTTGCAGTTGCGGCTTCGGTTAGCGGCAAGACTTTTCGATGGTAAAGAGGCTGGACATGGCGGTGTTGTTGGAACATATTGTGGCAGTACCGTCCGTGTGCAGGTCAAATGGATTTGCATGTGATTACCGGGGTTGAATGCGAGGACTGAATCATTGATTGACGGGCAATTATGTACACACACGTGGATACTCATTACATACCTACCTACTACCTACCTCCCTAGGCAGGTAGCCAGGTCGCTCGGCCAGTACGTAGAGGTAGAGGCTAGTGCAGTACCTCGGTAGGTAGGAAGAAGTCACTTTGTGTGCTGGTAGAGGAAGAGCGGCACTGGCAGGTACCTTGGGTACCAACCTACCGAGGTGGGCAAGCAAACAAGTCTCACGTGCACATCCCCAATTCATGTTCCTGCGGAAGCAACGGCCACCTACCTACAGTACCTATCTAGGTACCTTCCCCGGCCTGATACAGTCAGTCTCGTCTTCACGCGACGGTCGCTTTCTACTTCTTTCCCTCGCGTCGTGTCGTGTCGCATTCTACCCGCTTGCATCACACTCCAAAGACGACCAGTAAAACAGAAACGCGCCTCGCTGAACCTCTACTGGACAAGAGACCGACAAGCACAGGCAGACCGGTGCTGAGACGGCCACTCTAAAGTTTGACAAGTGGGCCATCGTGTCAGCGACGACGACGACGACGACGACGACGACGACGAACAAGACAACTAAGAACACGCCGACTGCTACGATAGCAGCAACAGCGGCAACGACGGCAATACGAAGCCCAGCCGGACGCGATATTGGCTCCCCCACCAGCCGACTGAGACCGATGACGTTGCGATCCACCGACTCGAATCCGGCCCCTTCAACGCGCATGCGGTTGCTGAGCTGAGAAGAACTTTACTGCTTTTCGCAAACCCCTTCGAAGCTCTTCGGCCCTCTCCGGGACTCTCCTTCCACGACTCCCGGTAAACCCATCCCTTGCATGTTGTTTGACGAGACCTTTCGCGAGAAACGACGTACTCTCTGCAGCACCCTACCGGCAGTCACTCAACATCAGCGGACCCAGTAGAGGACACCCCGGACATTGATGGCTGCCTTTGTGAGTGTCCTCTGCGCGCAACATGCCCCATCCTTATCTAAGATCCTTGCCCCCCTTCCTATCTGCCCGTGTCTGTCATCTGCCTAGCATTACCTCTCTCTTTCTTCCGTCATCGTAGACCAGGTCCGCGTGGCTGCCATCCCAGCACCTCAGATCCGCATCGTTCCGTCACGGCCGAGATCAACATCAGACCGGTCCAGGGCAAGCCAACGCAGGGTCGAGCTGAGCCGAGCTTGGGACAGCATAGCTGCAGCCAAACAACTAACCAACCAACCGAAAAAAAAAAAAAAAAAAAAAAAAACCCAGAGACACCGAAGCTACCTTCCCCCCCCCCCAGTTGTTTGTTACTTTGCGCTTAGGCGTGCTTCAATGCATCAGCCACCACGTCATAACTGTCATCTCCCAGGCTCTGCTCTCTATTCCCTCCTCTCTTCCAGTCCTTCTCTCTTTCTCGCTTTCCCCATTCGCACAATCACATACCACCACCAAATGGCATACTGCCTGCACACTGCATCTCCTCGTCGGCCTCACTGACGGCTTGCGACTGTCGCTCGTCTTAACTACCAGTCGACCGTTCCCAGGCTAACCGTCTCCCGCCACCCGTCGCAGGAAACACCCTGGCTAGTCCACATGTCGACCCCGAAAGCCCACCGAAGCGCGGATGCCGACTCCGGTAGCGACCCCTCCCAGACCCCCGGCGTCGACAGCACTCCCTCAGGCGCGCCGCCCACGTATGCGACCTTCTCTCCCGTGACCCTCGCTGCGACGACCCCGAGCCGCTCCTCCCGCCGGTCCACCATCATCGTCCATCAGAAATCACCCCTTTTATTAGCCACTCCGCCCCAAATCACCCGCGCCTTAGCATACTCGCACCCCTTCCTGCTACCCCTCAACAAACTCGCCGGCCTGCTGACATGGACGACCGATGATCCGTGGGAGAGCTTCCTGTTGCTAGCCTCCTATTGGGCGGTCGTCCTCTACGGTGACATGGTCGTGCGTGTGGCCGGACCCATCGTTCTCGTCCTGACCCTGATACTCGGCATGTACGGCCGCCGCTTTAGTCCGCTGAGCAGCAGTGGGTGGACCGAGCCAGCTTCCAAGGACGGGATTGCGTCGCAGAATACGGGGGCTGCAAATATGGGCAAGGGCGCACCCAAGAGTAGTGCCAATGCCACCACCGCCAAGGGGCATCACCGAGGCGAGTCCGAGGCGACGAATACCAGACACCAAAAAACGCTCGACGAGATTGTCGAGACGTTGAAGGAGTTCACCGGGCGGTGTAACGTCCTGCTCGAGCCGCTCCTCGAACTGACCGACTTCCTGAGCACTCAACGCACGCCGACGTCGGCCACGACACGACCGGCCTTGACGACGCTGTTCGTGCGGATATTGTTCTGCACCCCTTTCTGGGTGGCTCTGACGCTGCCGCCGCTACGCATCATCACTACTCGGAGGGTGGCTCTGCTCTCCGGGACGCTGGTGCTGACATGGCATGCCAGGGTCATGCGGGTCGCCCGGACCCTCTTATGGCGCAGTGCAACAGTCCGGAGGACGGCGGCCCTGGTCACCGGCCTCACCTTTGAGAAGCCCATCAAGGCCGTACCCGCACAGATCGCTGCCGAGGCAAATGGCGGCATGGTCCACGCTAAGCGCCCTGCTGCATCCGAGCTCACCAAGGCGCTGCGGAGGCAATCGCACAAGCATGGTAATAACGCCACGAGCAAGGACGCCGGAGTCAAGTTCACTTTCATCATCTACGAGAACCAGCGGCGCTGGGTCGGGCTGGGCTGGACGCAAAGCATGTTCGCCTACGAACGCTCGGCCTGGACAGACGAGCACAACAACCCTGTGCCGTCGCGTGACACGTTTGAGCTGCCCGAGGTAGAGGACGGGAGTAACATGCGCTGGCGGTGGGCTGACGGAAGTAAGTGGAGGGTCGACGGGGTCCCCGATGACGGGACCGAAGCGGTCGACAACGACGGGGAGGCCGGGAAGAATGGCTGGATTTACTACGACAACAAGGTGAGTTGTGTGGCGTGAGGCAATGACTCACAGCGTGGATTAACATGACACCAGTGGCAAAACGGCCGCCGCGGCGCCGACGGCTGGGGCCGATGGACCCGGCGCAGGAAGTGGTACCGCGACGCGGAGTTGGTGGAGGTCTCGGAAGATGAGATGGCACACGAGCTGGATGCATCACAACCGGCGAATCCTCCGCTGCCCGGATCACCGACGATGAAACCCCCGGGGCCCGCCCTGACGACGCAGAGGTACAGCACGCTTGAAGAAAAGATGGTATCACCAACGCAATCAGCACAAGACCTAACGCTGCCAGACAAGGATCTAGAGAGAGAGAATGAAGATACGGCGTCAACTCTGTCGACCAGCTCGGGCGGGCGGTCGTTCTTCAAGGCGCCGTCGCTAAGGAGAAAGGTAACAGACAAGAGCGTCGCCAGCAAAGCCGACATGGAGCAGGACCGCAGCCGCAGGGCTAGCGAGGCCAAAAGCGAGGAGGAGGCGGCAGCGCTGGGGCTGAAGCTCAACCTTGCGTTGCAGAGCAAGGACGGCGGTCAGTGGGGAATTGGCGACGAGGCGAGGATGAACCTGGAGTGAGAGGCCCGGGGGGGGGGGGGGGCGGCGCCGCCAACCCACCCGCCCTGGACTTTTTACCTGTTTCTCTTTCCGTCTCCTCTCTTGGGTGGCCGGTTTCTGATGACTCGACGTCGCTGATGGTATTGGAACGGCACGGATGAGCATGTACGGCGTTGACGGCTGTAGAATATTTTACGTGATTCGTGGAGTGTATTTGGGGAAATACCGGGGTATAGGTACAGGCATAGGTGCGGGTAAATGCGAGACCAAGGGAGGGCGTGTATTTGTTACGTGTACAAGACATAGTGGCCTGCTACTTTTATCACTTTTTTTCCCCTGTGAATGAATGAGGCCATGCCTCTAAATTGTGACCAAAAAAAAAGGTGCGTGACCAGGTATACACAGCATGAGTGGTGCGCAGCTGGGCTGGGCATTGAGGACAACGAAAGCATTGGAAAAAGATGGGGCACGCGGGGTATAGAGTTCGGGGTATCGGGCCTGCTGAGCAAGGCAGAGTGAATGAAAACTGACGGGGGGTGAGCTGAGGAGAATGTGATGGATGAGTGAGTGAGTGGGACCGGATGAGAGGATGGATGGATGTGTTGGGAGTGATGTGAGATGGATTGAGGGATGGGCTCAGCTGCGACGAAATGGTGACGGGGTCAGCTGGTCCGTCGCCTGTCGGGAGTCGGGATCTTTTTTTTATTTTTACATGACTTGCTCAACTTGCCGACAGACAGGCGTGTGCGTGTGATTGTTAGCCAGTCTGTCCCGTCAGTGGTGACACGGCCCAATGTCGGTGGTGGTGCCTGATGTTGGTGTACTTGCTAGGTATTCAGGGACACACTCACACACACACACACACACCTATGTCTCTTTTCCACGTCTTCGTTCCTCGGCCTGTTTCTGGTTCCCCCTTATTTTTCTTGTTCTTGTTTCTTGTTCTTTTTTCTTCTTCTGTCCTTGACCCTATTTTTCCCGGTACCCTTCCCTTTACCCCTTTGTCTCCCACATTCAATTACCTTTTCTCCTCTCTCTCCCTCCTCTTCCTCCTCCTTCTCATTCATTCCCCCTCCACGCTTTCGGAGTACTCGCTGCAATCCATGTCTACGCAGAGAGGCCGTCGCATCGCCACCGAGCAGCACGTTTCGATTGATGCCCGTCCCCCATAACCTTAGCGCATAACGCCTTACCAAAGCACACGTACCGCCTCGCGCCGAGCCGAGGCCCCACCTAGAGCCGATGGAAGCCGTACAGCAGCAGAAGGACGAGAAGGCCACCTGGAGCCCGCCGTCCAAGAAGTACTTGCCCATCGTCACGATCGACGAGTACGACGTCGAAGCCGCCGCCGCCGGCCGCAACGGTTACGGAGAGAGGAAGTGGTTGCTGGACCACCAGCACAGGATCCCCCGCGGCCGCGGCGCCGCAGCAGGAGCGGCAATGGCTGGCCAGGGGCTGGAGGGCGTCGCGTGGTTCATCCTGCTCGCCCTCGAGTGTCTTCTTGTCGGCACTGTCGAGGGGTGGATCATCTACATGGTGTACGACAACGGCGAATACGCCGTTTGGAACTGGTGAGTCCTATCTTCACATGTGTTTCTTTGCCATGGCCATGGCCTTGGCCTGGCCTTCATGCAAGTCGGCCCATGACTGCATGTTGACGACACACCATTGCGATTGCGGGACGGAGGGGCTTATCATTTTTTTTAATCCCTCCTTTTTACCCCTCACACCATGCCCCTCCTTTCTTATCCTATTTTACCTTTCGGAGACATGGGTGCTGACTGGTGACGCAGGCTCTCCGACTTCGCATCCCCCGCGCTGATGATGCTTTTCAGCGTGTCCTTCTCCGCCGCCCTGCTCCGCGGGGTTGGGTGTTCCGGGCGCGTGGGGGACCTGGCGTTCCAGGCCGCCGGGCTGGTGCTGGCAACCTTCTGCGCCGTGGTGGTGTGTGCTGGTATCAGCCGGGGGAAGAGGAGGAGTGGCGAAGGGGAGGAGGAGGGGAAGGGCGTGAGGGTTGTCGTTGGGTTGTCTGTCAAGATGTGGTGAGTTGCCGTCTTTTGCTTCTTCTCCCTCCCCATCTTCCTCTTCTCTCTCTTTTTCCATCTTGTCATTTCTGTTTTGATGATTGGAAGCGAAGCTCATGACTAACGACATGCAGGTTCCTCTTCTTTATTGGCTTCTGGTGTGCCGTGTTCCAATGGTACAGCGGCGACAAGCCAGTGATGTATCAGCAGACGACGCGGAAGAAGGGCAAGAAGAGGGGGTACGGCACGACGTTGGGCGGGCTTGCGACGGTGGACGAGAGCTATGAGGGGGTCGTGGGCGACCTTTGATGGCTTCGTGCCGAATTCATGACGACGACGACGATGATGGTTCTTATGATGGCATTTCTTTTGAGCGTATGGTCCGATTTCGATACCCTTGTTTCCTAGTGCGCAGCTATGTGGTTCAGTTTTATCCCACTCCCGCACATGTACAATATTTCCATGTCCTCATCCAGCTAGTGCAATACTCGCTTCGCCGCCCCGCGCTCTCTTTTCGTTGTCTTCCGGGACGACCTGCGAAGCGGGGCCTCCAGGGCCCCCGGTATCTTAAACTTTATCTCCACGTCGTGGTACTTGGGTCCCCAAATAGCAGACGAAACGTGACGTTGGATTCTAACCAGTTCTCCCCCACCCAAAAAAAGAGCTATCCCGCCAACTGCCCGCCGCGCAGTTTCTCGTGTGCGTTCCTGCGTTGTGCTTGACACATAACTGGACGGGTCTCGAGACTAACCGGCTGAGGCCATCGCCTTCTTGGTTTTCGCGGGGGAACCCACGTCGTAGAGGCCTGTTCCCTTCCGCCCGCTACAACCATCATCCCAGTATGAGGACGACATATCTGCCAAGGGCACAAACATGTGGCACAACAGATATAACCAAAAGAAAAGTTATTGTTGGTTTGCGTAGCGTAAGCTATTCTTGGCGCGGCCGGCCACGGAGCAGAACCCAACACGCGGCATCTTGCCGATTTGCTTATTGTCGCTACCCACTCCTTAGGCTCGATCATCCGATCTGACGTCTATCAAAGTCAAAAGTTACATGACAGTCATCAATGGCTGACACCAACACAAGAATAGCGCTCCTTACTGTTATAAACAAAAGGCTACCCGCTCTCTCTGCCGCCTTTGATGCTAGATCATCAAAGGCGGTGTTCCTCTGTGTTAGACACTATTCCGAGATCTGATTTGACTTACATAATGCATCTTCCCCTATGTGCTGCGTTCCCTCTGACCTTCTTGGTCACAGTGGTGAGTTCCCTTCACCCTACACTTGCTACGCGTCCCAGACGGCGGGCCGAGACCTAATACGACATCTAGGCCCAGGCCCGGGCCCTCGGCCACGACGCCACAAGCTCCGGCGCTCCGATCCCGGGCAATGGCATGTTCATCCCACGCTGGGAAATGGCGTCCCCGGACGGTAGCGGCAGCATGGTCAACCTCCGCGGCACAGTCCAGGAGGTCGTCAAGGCGATGCGAGGCATGAGGCCCAGCTTCGACATTGACGAGCAGTTGGACAAGATCGCCACACCGGCCGTCGGGAGGCGCAACGCCTACAGCAACGCCTTTGACAACATCAACACGTTGTGCCACCTCTTCACGGCAGGGAATCGCACGGCGGCGTATGAGGGCATCGAGGACCTCAAGAAGGTGCAGGGGCGGCCAATGAATGGGGCCGGGCCAGGCAATTGCGGACGGGTGAGCTGTCGGAAGAACACGGGTATATGGTGGTGCAACGACGTGAGTGCCGCCGGTCTTCTTTCTCTCTCCCTCCCCCTCCATAGTTTCACGACCAGTTCGGAAGTACATATGCTGACGTGCTTCGGGGGCAATATGTAGGCCCAAAGCAGTAGAGAGCTCGCGTCCTTCGGGGAAATCGTCGACGGGGCCCAGCGCGTGCTGAAAAAGTGCCAGGATAAGCCGAGCGCGGATCAGGGCGACGGGATGACGGTAAGCGGGCAGGCTTTCCACATGGATAATTGGAACGTCATCGTCCGTGGGGGGGACAACTGCGATGATGCGGGCGTCAATCTCGGCGGCGGACTGCTGGGGAGGTTTGTTAGGGTCACGGGGGATTGAGACGAGCGGCATACGGCATACAGCACAGTTGCTCTAGGTTTTCATTTGCTTTTGACGGCGTGCTCGCATAATCAGCATCTCTAGCTGTTCATCTACACCGCATCCTGCTTGCCAGTAACCTAGTAAATGGGTTGTACCTCTGGTGCATCACTACCTCTTCAAGTCCTGGAGGGTCCACTTGTCCCCATTCCTCTGCAGCCCACCGGCAATACCACAAGCCCGAAGGTGTGGTGGCTCAGACTTTGCCTTTCCTGTTTCTTCGGAATTTTCTCTCAGAAGCACGTCCTTCTCCGCTGGATCCATGGCCAACAGAGCAGGTAAAGACGCGCCCTTGACGATATCGATATCAAGCCCGGCTGAATCTATTATAATAATGACAAGCGTCACGATAGAAAGACCTACTTGGGTCGCAAGGAGTGTCAACCAAGGCCAACGAATTGACACAAAGCGTTCCTCCCGCAAAGCACTTCCGCTGACATTGGTGGTTAAGAGCCTACATGGTGTCAGATGTGTAAATGAAGCCATGGATAGAAAGACTTGAACTCACGCGTTTGTAAGGCCACTGGCGATGTTTTCCGTTAGATTACGCAGTGTCGTGAACTGTGCGTCGTCAAGCTTCTGGGATTCGTTGGCAGTATTGATCCCAATTTGGGCTCTTGAAAGTGCTGTGACGTAAATCTCACAACCGTTCCCATATCGGTATTGTCCGAAATCACTGGAGGTCCCTACTAATGTTGATTCAAGCACCGAGGCGATTTGATCGGGGCCGTGTCCGCCCACATAGTACTTGTCGTTGGGACTATCGGGGGACGTGAAATAGGTTTGGTTCATTGTCTGGTTGTAGTTCTTTATGAACACCTCTCCGGACGAGCGAATTGTATGAGACGCTACTCTTTGCGTGACGGGGATGTTTTCCTGGACGCTGACACGGTACGTGTTGACGCACCAGTGCATTATAATCTCGGTGGCGCGTAGTCGGGGCCCGTACAGTACGAAGAAGTGGAAGAGCTTGGCATTCATGATGTCGGTGTTGTTAAAGGACAGACCTGGGCCAGTAGAGATGTTCATAGTCGCATACCCACTGGTGTGCTGAATAAACAAGCCGTTGGGGAGTGTGGCATTGATCGGTTGTCCATATGGACCTCCGGTCGATGCCAGAAGATTAGTGACGTCTGATTCGACAGGTCAGTTCATAATTAGGGCCATATTGTGGGTATAAACCTGGGGACTTCTTCTTCCAACGTACTCTTCATGTCCACGCAGACAGCAAGGGATGTGACCAGTGGCCATGTGCAATTGTTAGTTCGACAGCTGGCTTGGTGATAAGGCATTGCCTCTTCGGGTGGTGTGTTGAGACTTCGTGGAATGATCTGGTTAATTGGAAACATCACATCCCCTGCACAGGAGTGTTAATCTCACGAGCCTCACGGTTTGCTAGGAGTCTTACTTCTAGAATTGCTGTTAGCAGTCACCCAGAAGTACCCTTCGTTTCTCTGGGTGAGAGCACTATCGTTCCCCGGAAGCTGGACGCTGCGAGTAGGGTATGTAACAACAGACTGCGTTAGAGTTGACGTAACGATTCCCGAGACGAGAATCACCGCTGACAGAACCCCAACAGGTCTACTTCGCGATTAGTACACTTGCAAACAAGGGCAATTCATTCCGTACTTTGACATTGTTCACTTGCCTTCCTTTCGTTGTAAGCAACAGCTTTAAGCTGCCCCATGGCCCACGGCTTGCTTCGTCGAAAGCCCCGAAATCTTTCAGGGGCCTCGGTGATTTGTACCAATTCCACTTGTACTGCGACAGACTTTCCACCACTGGAAGAACAAACGACGTTCTACAGAACGTAGCAATGAATGCGACTACGGTATTGAGAGTGAGACCTAGCGGCCAATTCGGAAGCGGCTCGTTATCGTATGACTTCAACACCATTACGAGTACGACGATGCAAACGATGCTGATTATACACCATACAATTTCCTGCCACCACCCTTGAAGTAAATACCATCCTCGCCGGGAGGGACGTCTTGGGGTTCTTCTTTTTGTCTCTTTGTAGCTGGGGGTCTTCAATAGTTTGTAACTTGACTCACTAGTCGCAGAAGTCAATTGTGTCTGGCTGCCTCTACCAGGCTTAATGTTCCGTAGTTCGTGAGACTGGCCCCTGGCTTCACGTTCGGGATCCAAGTTAAAGACGTGGTTTTGGGCCGATGAGAGAAGGACTGCTTCGTCGTAAGCCAGCGGCTGCACGTACGAAGGCACTTGTTTGCGCCGAACTTGTCTCATGTTGTCGTTCTGCTCTATGCGATCCATTATGGCAGTGTTTCACTCATGTATCGTCGTGGCTTAAGGATAGCCGGTGGCTGCCACGAGGTCGTGTGTCTATGGGGATTTTAGACGTTCATGGTACCGGACGCCGTTTTTATTTTGGAATTTGGGATCTACCTCAAGCCCTCGTAGTACCGTACCAATACGGATGGTTGTGGAACTGCGCCTAGTAAGCACTAAGTTTCAATCTTAGGGTGCGTGCATCAACCAACCATTTGACGTTAATGCTGAGAAACGTTGTGTTCACGGCTGCCTAGGTCTCACTCAGCTTATACTCGCCCGAAAGGGGTTCGCTACTGATGCTGATAACAGCGGTTATTGTGTGGATCGTGATTCTGAACTCCTTGTTCGAAGAGACCACATGTGACCTCATTGGCTGCCGTCACGATAACTGCTACACGTATAGTGGCCCTTTGCAACAGCCTGCCCCGTCCACCCGTCCAAGAATATGGTTTTGCGGTTGGTTATTAGCTCTGATATACGCCAACCTTGATTGAAATGAGAAACCATAGGGCAAGTCAGCGGTGGTATTGTGGCTGCCTACGGGCTAAAAACGCACTTGGGATGACCAAAGACGGAAGCCAGAATCAAATGAGAAGCGGGGTTGACCACTACCTTGATCTCTTTATTGTCAGTTGTGATTGAAGGACATCCAGATCCTACACGAAAACAACCCACCATCTCCAAGCAATTCCGACCCTCGTTCTAGGAGCACCGCGAGTCCTCGGATGAGATGATAATATTGCCAATGACATAGACACCTAGCCAAGAAATTTCCCTTGTACTCTATGTCGGATTCCTCGTACTGGTTCTCAGGCACACCAAGTAAAACTAAACCTCGCTGGCGTTAATCGAGTCGGCATGTCGAGTTTTGTAGCCATCCGCTGTCTTCAGAACGTCGGAGGTGTGTAGCTCTAGTAAGTTGCAAGGTTCTGCTGAAGTCTAACACAGTCGGATAAACACAGTATAATCCAGCAGCTATTGCGTGGTATACCCACGTCGCAGTACGAACCCGCCACTGCCACGTCGATGTTCTTTCTCGTAATGTAGGATTAGAGTCTGATATAACGTATTCTCCCCTCTTTTTCGTTACTGGGACAATTTCGCCTGTGGCTGATGTCCTCAATCTAATCATCAACTGGAAGTGTTTCATTCCGAACTTCCTCATGCGTCCAACTTCACAAGAACTCAGCTTGTCATTGATCGTCGAAAACACAAGAGTACCTCTGAGCCTCGGCAATCCAGCTCTTGGCGCACGTTGACAGGAACGAGAGGCAGTCCTTGTCTGGCTTTTTCGGTCAAGATTGTCCGAAAAATTGGTCTAGGAGCAAATCCAGCAAGAAACGGATCCGAGGCTCTAAAAATCACCTTAAATCAGTCGCGGACACATTGCCGCCAATCGTCATGAACGAGTGCAGGGACTTGTGTCAGATAAGAATGGAGCCGTACGGGACCCCTTGAATGCACCATCCACTCAGCGCAATGGGGCATCGGCATTCGGAAGGAGACAAGGCCATCATCATTCCGAGTTGCGGGATGGAGGGGTGATTTCAACATGGTTGAGGTGGTAGCAGCCCAGGGTATCCTTGCCTTCTAGTCGTCATAAACTCGTCCTTTCGGCTTTGTTTATCTACTTGGGGAATCGAAGTTGCTCTCGACCATTGATGACAGACAGGACGAGTAGGTCAACGCGGAGAAGTCCTGATCGGAGCAGCCCGTCCAACGAGTCATGCTACGCTATTATCTACAGATCAGTCACTGCCTTTAGGGAAATTGGGAAATGTTCCCGACCAGGGTATTCTTGGCGACGATTAAGGCTCTGTACAAAAGGTAGCCACCCCCGGGTTCTTGTAATAAGGTACGGGGAGCAATGTTCTGATCGCCTCGACTTCGTTCGTCTCCAGAAAGATACATTCTTTATCCCCGCGCTCTTTGCCAAGCACACTCGTTAGTTGTACGCACAGAGATTAAGTTGAGTGTCCAAGATGACTAGGTCGAACCAGCTCTTCGCTGTCTTCCTCGCCTTCGCCACCGGCGCCTTTGCGGCTCCTCGGGCAGGCTTCAGAGCCCCCTTTAAGGTCGTCGCGCGCGACGAGCCCACCGAATTTGAGCCGCAGACCAATGCCGGCCCCGGAGGCAATGATTTCCAGGACTCAGCGCGCTTCCGCGTCTATAACGGCGGTGATGCCGCGGCCGACTCCCTCGCCATGCTCGAAGGCGCCTATGATTGCTTCGTCGGCACCCTTGGCTGGCGCTCATCCGGACTCTCCTTCAACCCGGGCTCAGACGACGGCCCCTACTACATGACCAATGTCTACTCCATGTCCGACCTCGGCGGCGCCGCCGGTGTGATGCACTCCGAAGCCGAGAGCGGCGCTGGCTGGCTGGAGGTCGTCGACACCTACCTCGCCAACCCGACAATCACTGTTCACGAGTACGGTCATGCGCTGCACTACCACCAGCGCACCTGGGTGAACCAGCAACGCACCGGCGCCTGGTGGGAGACAGTCGCCAACTGGGTGGCCGACACGTACATCACTTCCCCCATCTGCGCCGACGCCCGCACGAAGCACAACTCCCCCGAGGGCCGCACCCTGTTTGACGTCAACAAGGTCATCGGTGACTCCTTCCAGGTCATCGTCGACGGCACCGTGGACTCCGGAAACTACTACCAGGCGTGGCCCTTCCTCACCTACCTCACCAACAACCCGGACAACATCGAGGGCCTTGGCGAGGACACGCTGCACCAGATGATGGTCCAGTATGAGCAGGATAGCAACGAGACGCCCCTCCACACCCTCGACCGCGTTCTCGGAGGAAACGCCACCGCCGGCGAGGCCGTCGGCCGCTATTGGGCCCGCATGGCCTACGTCGACATCGCCCACCAACAAGCGCAGGAGATTTTCAACCAGGCCAGAGACACGATCAACTTTGCCAACGTCGACGAGTCTGGCAGCGGATACACTGTCAAGTCCGACCGCGCCCCCCGCTACATGGGTGCCAACATCATACCGCTGACGACGTCGGGTGGCCAGGTCGACGTCAAGGTCACCTCGAGCGGCGAGTTCACCGCGACACTGGCGATAAAGGGGTCCAGCGAGGTCCGCTACGTCGTCCTCGCCAACGGCGCCGGTTCCGCCGAGGTTGCCAGCGGGGAGGAGGCCAGCTTGGTGATCGCGAACACCCCCAAGACCCTTATCCTCTATGACGGCTTCCAGCTCGCTGACAGCGAGGCTAACAAGGGCTTGGACTACTCTTTCACGCTGACCGGTGCTACCGTCTCCTGAGCGGCAAAGGGGGCTCGGGTCAGGTTTGGTTTCGTATCTACATATTACTCTTCATCTGTACATGCCGTCGGCCGCTGGGTGAGGCAAGTACATATATTTTTCAAGATACCAACATTTCGATGCCAATTGCATTTCAATCCGTCTTGGTATGTGATCATTGTTGTCTGGGTGTATTCTCCGTGGGGGAGCTGAGACTGCCCGCGGCACCTCAGGGACCGTTCCAGCCTGGAGTGATGTCGGATCTCGCCTGTAAAGGCTTTAAGTATTCGACTTCTTGTAATGATAAAGACGTGATGACGACTGCGATACAGACAACCAGGGTGATAGGGCGGCGAACCAAGCTTGCGGTCAGCGACAATAAGCGGGATGCTGGTTTTGATTTTACGCCGTCTTTGTCCGAACGCGCTGCCGTGCCCACTCTCATGTTATGGTATCCTAGGGCCGCCAGTTGAAGAAAGGTTAACCGAGCGAGATAGAGGCAATAGAATGCTATCCCACCGGCATAGAATGGCCTCGTTTCCGGCATGGTCGCGGCGTGGGCGATGGCCGGTATGATTCTCAGAGAGACCATTGAGAGGATATTTGCGAGCATGACTCTGCGAAAAGTTGGGGAGTTTGCCGGATTGCGGCCGTGAAAACGCATCAACGCAACGGCATCAGAGAAGAGCTCCGTCACGAGGCCCGCGTAGATGAGGTAGATGGGTCGTCGCGGGCTCTTGCCAACCAAAACGAGTGCCAGTGAACCAAGGGAGAGCAGGTGATGAGTGACGTATTCTGACGAGTAGCTGAGAAGCGGCATCTCGGAGACCCATAGGACGGCCCGGGAGCCGAGGCAGATTTTGCCGTTGGTGGTGAAGGATCGGTCAGTGCCGAAGGTGTCGGCTGCGGAAGGCGTTTCGCCATAGGCGGCGAGGCAGGTTGGCGTTGTAAACAGAGTCAGGAGGATGCCGAGCGGGAAGACAAAGTAAGGGCGCAGTTTACGATGCCTGTCGAGTTCCAGCTTCGCGTAGAAGTCTGGGTTGAAACGCTTGGCTGCCTCGTGCAGACACCGGTTCAAGAGCTGGTAGGCCACCAGGCCCGTAAGAACGGGAGCGAAGTCCACGGCAACCATTCTCATTGGAGTGATTAAGCAGGTGAAGTACCAAGAGCCAAGGCAAATAGGTAAGGGGCATAGGGCAAAAAGTGTGTGGGTGCACAGAGAACGTATCATGTTTTATAAATTGCGCAGCATCGGAGAGAGAGCAAGCAACATGCTCGGCAGTGTTGGGATCATCTTGTGCCGCCAGCCTTTGTGAGGGTCTAAGGTTCAGCTACTTTGAATATTGCTGCATGTTCGAATAAGAGCCAATGAATGTTATCAGAAGAAGAGCCGCGCTGAGGGTATCTCACGTAAGACTGGGCGCGGCTGATTTGCTGCGATGATGGACAGACATGGCCGGCATCATAGCCCAGGGGTAAGGCACGGGTTGCGGGCTAGCTGGGGACTGGGACGTTTATAGCGTCTGTCTACCTGGAGCTGCGTCGTGAAAGATGGTATCCATCGTGGAATTACCTATTTCACCTGCGTCCAAGATGAAGCAGGTCACAGTGACACCCGGGTATCTGTCTTAGGGCGGCAGCCATCCGTTCCGAAGGGTGGGTGGCAGAACAGTCTGGTCCATCGTTGGCCGCATTGCCGTAGGGCTTCCACGGCTTCTAAGCAGGGTCCCGCTCCGCCTAAGAGGGGGGTTTCTCTGTCAGCTGGGCAAGAACAGACAGTAAAAGTGATGTATGACGAGAAGAGGTTCCGGCGCCGGAGAAACAGGTACACGAGGCTCTGGTCAGACGCTATATGCAAGCAACCAGGGTGTGTTCTGATATTTGTTGGGCAATGCTTACAGTAGCCTGTAGGTACAATGTAGTATGATTTCCATATGAGGGGATGTACGCTGTAGAATGTTCCGAGGCGCGCTGGGGTACGTACCCGGTTTTCAAGGACAGGGCCGCCGGTGGGTATACACGATGGCGCCTTCCCTCCAGTTATTGCTAATATGGCGGGTCTTGGCGGCTCAAGCTGTCATTCAGGTGTTCGCTGTGTGATTGGACATGATAGATCCATTCTACAGTGTCAAGGACGGTTTAATCGACACTGTAAGGTCGGCCCCTTTCGAGTGGTAGGAAATTGTGAGTCTCATCCAAGTTCCCGGCGGTCTTGGCGGCTGACAGTGACTGGCTCTGCTTGGAAGTACAGTGGGGACACAGGGGGGGCGAGCACAGTGTGGATGGATACTAAGGTTAATTAGGTATGTACAGGGTACGTACGGACGAGCCGGAAGGAAGGAGGAGCCCGCATCTCCAGCTCCAGTCTCCAGATGCTTTCTTTAGCTGCAAAGTACGTATCCACACCACCTACTAGTGAGCTGGTAGGTAGGCAGGTACTACCATGGGTAGGTAGGTACCCAGCAGGAGCTGTTAGCCAGTTGTGCCTTCCTCCTCCCAACACTCCCAGCACCTTGACGGCCCTCCGCCATCCCACCTTGGCTTCCATTCCGCTTCATCTCTCTCATCCTTCACCCACTCCCCAGAGGCTATATCCGTACACCAAGCCCTTTCAGCGTTTAGGAGTGGCGATCCCGGTTTGACCAGGAGCTGGACCCAAACACGCGGTGAGGTGGCAGCCCAAGCTAGTTGGCAGGCGACGCCTACGCCAACCGCCCGTCAGTCCTCTGCCGCGCTCTGTGTGTATGATCTACCTTGGCCGAACCGATCGGAACTTGGCGCCTGCATGAGGAACAGAGTGTCTGGCCCTGCTTATGCATTCGAGCTTCACCGGTTGAAGGAAATGGGTACGGGGTAGGGAGGGAGAGTCCCTATGACCGACCGTCCGATATTTCGTCTCCCACGCGCCTGTCAATCCATCATCCCATGAAGGAGGGGAAGGGGCTGACTCAGCTTTTCCTCTTTCAGTTCAATGCATGAGGTCAAAAAATCCTAGGGGGAAGGAAACCTCTCTGTCAAAGAAACCCTTTCCCCGACTATCAATTGCTAGCCAGCTCTCCTCCTGTTTTGTTTGCTTGGCATTCCCGGCACTCAGTCCCCCCTCTCTGCCACCTTTGTTGCCCTTCCATTGTCGATCAGGGCCCCGGCGGCCCTATGCTATTTCGCTCTCACTTTGGCTTTGGCGCCTTGACGACAACCACCTCCATTGCTTGCCTTATCAATGGCTCTTACATGTCGCCATGCATCGGACGGACGATCTCTCCATTCCCCAAACCGCGAGTCAACCGATCGACGACGCCCTGTTTATCCAACCAAGTAGCCTATCGTCGACACTCGGATTCATCTTGCCCAAGTTGCTCACTCTCCCTCTCCCGTCTGAGACGCCATCGCCATTGCCAAGACGCTGCCGAGTCTTAGCTCTGGGCGACCCCCTGACTCCATCCTCTCCCCCCTCCCCGTTCTGCACGTTCTCTGCATTCACGTTGGAGCGCTTTGGACCACTCTGAGCTACTCCAGAGCAGGATGGCTTCGCTCCCGAGCTGTCCCTTGCCTGTGTGATCTCCTCGGCTGCGTGGCCCCCAAGAGTGTTCGTACTCGCGAGAGAGCTCCCCCTCGTGTGTGCATTCGCGCTGGCAAACGGTGGGCTGGGATGACCGCTTCCTGTTCACAACTTCCACACCCGCCGAGCCTGCTGTGTGGAGAGTGGCGGGTGGACGTTTCTTATTTGTGACAGGGTGATCCATGAGGCTGGATTGAGAGATGAGATGTAGTTGACCACCACTCCTTCACAGGAAGACAAACACGACAGAGCCTGTCAAGTCATGGCGACCTGGTGAACCCCTTCTCCATTGGAATCGACCGCTGCATGCTGTTAAAACAAAATCACTCCACGGCTGCCCGCTTAGCCCTTGCAGATTGTCCCCGTAACCGCCGCCCTCTCGTCCATCGCCCTGGCTCAGTCTCGAACCCAGAATGGATAGAAGGGCGTGCTCATGGCCGGAGGGGCGCCTTCTCATTTGCTGCACAGCCCCGATGCCCAGAAGGCCAAGACCCTAACAAGAATACCAAGACTTTTGGCGGCCACCAAGACATATTCTACCGCGTCATATTGTGCCCGTTGATTCCCTTTTCTTGTCTCTTGCGTCGTCTTCCCGTACCGAGAAAGTGGTCTGGAAGCCTCGTTCCTGTTTCTCTTCCCCCCTTTCCCGCATCTGAAGAGCCGTTGGATTTACCTGTGGCCTGCTCCTTCCACATCGACTCATCCGTCCACTGACAAACCAACTCTCATTCTCACATCACCAAAACTTTGACGCTTCTTGACTCTCACCACCATCACTTCTCACCTGAGCACCGGGAAACCCGCCCCAGAAAATCAAAATAAAAAAAACACCAAAAAAAAAGTACACCACATCAACAACGCCGTTGACGTCTGAATACGAACCCGCGCGGTACCTCTGCGGCAACACGACACGATTCACCATATCTGGCGGCGCCGGTCATGAACACTCGCTTTCGATAAACGAATCCTATTTTCTTTTGACCTTTTCGACTCTTTCCCCCACCCTCGTTCACGACTTCCTCACTCGTTTGACCTGACCTATCTCATCTCGATCGACAAGCAGACCCAACCACCAATTTCCATGTCATTCCTGCAATAAACTCGTATCGCACCACCATAAATCAGCCCGACTCCCAACTCACTCGACTCAGTCTTCTCAACCGGCGCCCATCGCCATGGTCACAACCCTTGCCTCGGCCGCCTCTGTGGCCCTGCTGCTGGCAGGAACCCTCCCGGCTGTCAGCGCGCAGTATTATACAATTGACACGCCTGGTAAGTGACGACTTCCCCAGCCATGGAAATGCTGTGTGCAATCGAGCAATTTGTGCCGCCACCATCACCGCCCAAATTCCTTGAAGCAAAGATAAAACATCACCCCACTAACACCATCTCTCTCACCCGGTCCAGCCAACATCAAGGCGTCGGCAAAGACCCTTGCATACGATCTGATCAAGCAATACAAAGGAAACCAGTCGGGCGAGATCCCCGGTATCCTGCCCGGCCCCCCAACCGAGCACAAGGGCGACTACTACTGGTGGCAGGGAGGCGCCATGATGGGCACCTACATCGACTACTGGAAGCTGACGGGCGATTCGACCTACAACGACCTCGTCATGGAGGGCATGCTGCACCAGACCGGCCCCAACGCCGATTACATGCCCCCCAACCACACCGCATCCCTCGGAAACGATGACCAAGGCTTCTGGGGAATGTCCGCCATGCTCGCCGCCGAGAACAAGTTCCCGAACCCCCCGGAAAATAAGCCCCAGTGGCTCGCCCTCGCCCAGGCCGTCTGGACCACCCAGGCGAGTCCCGACCGCCACGACGAAACTTGCAACGGAGGTCTGAGATGGCAGGTCCCGTTCTCCAACGCCGGTTACAACTACAAGAACAGTACGCGCATCATCTGATCAGCCGATGAGGGAGGGGGACGGATTGCAGTGTGCTAACAGGTCGCAGCCATTGCCAATGGATGTTTCTTTAACATCGGCGCCCGCCTCGCCAGGTACACCAACAATGATACGTATGCAAAGCACGCCGAAAAGACCTGGGACTGGCTTTGGGGTGTGAACTACATCGACCACGAGAACTGGAATGTCTACGATGGCGGCCACGTCGAGCACAACTGCACCGACGTCAACAAACAGCAGTTCTCCTACAACGCTGCCATCCTGACCCAGGGTGCTGCTTTCATGTACAACTATGTAAGTGACTTGATACGCCCTCTGGTCGGAAACTCGTGACTAATCCCAATGCAGACCAACGGGTCTGAGGTCTGGAAGGGCCGGATCGAGAAGCTCACCGAGTCCCTCTTCCTCAACTTCTTCCCCAACAACACCGGATACGAGCTCGCCTGCGAGGGCAAGAAGGGCCAATGCACCGCCGACATGTTGTCCTTCAAGGGCTACGTCCACCGCTGGCTCTCCGTCGTCACCCAGATCGCCCCCTTCATGAAGGACAAAATATTGCCTGTGCTCAGGGACTCGACCCAGGCCGCCGTCAAACAGTGCACCGGTGGGGCGACGGGTCGCGTCTGCGGCTTCTACTGGAACGAGGGAGTGTTTGTGGACCCCGCCACTGACAAGACCTCGGGAGCCGGCGAGCAGATGAACGTGCTGGCTGCCGTGTCGAGTTTGCTGATTGATAACGTCGAGCCGCCCGCGACGAATATGACGGGTGGTATCTCCAAGGGCGACCCCGAAGCGGGAAGCAAGAGCAGGGACAATATCGAGCCGGATCCCATTACGACGGCGGACCGCGCCGGTGCGGGTATCCTGACGGCCATTGTGCTGGCTGGTGGTCTGGGCACCTGGGGCTGGATGAGCCTCGGCGATTAGCAGCAGTCGAGGGAACGATATGGGACGCGAGCGTGATTCTCTCTGATGAGATGTTTGATTTATTGTACCAGCCACATACCTGGAAATGCATGGCATGGCGTTCTGGGTAAACAATTCAGGGGACTTTTCTGCCTACTACCACCGCGACTAGGATTTTATTTTCTTTCCCCATCACTCCTCTTTAGCGGAGCCTTGATCTCTCTGTGTCCCCTCAGTTCATCAATGACCTTCTTCCTGACAGTTATTCTTGGTGCTCAGGTGGAGGACCCTTTCCCGTGAGACGACATGCCTACGTCCATGTGCGAATACTTGACTGCGAGAAAGATCCCCGGGTCCGGCCCTTATATATGTGTGTGATCAGCGTAGAGATAGCCACTTTTCTAGTTTATGAGCTAGAAAAGAAGAAAAGTCAAGGGTCTTACAGCTTTGGAGATGTCCATTCATAGTTCAGCCGCTTGTCTGGCGTCATCTGATGATAAAAGGCCGTCATTGGCGTTACTGCAGGGGTGTCCCCTGCTTCTGACAGACTATCGGCAATCCAACGTCATGTGTCGGGTACGTGGGCTCGGATTGTTGCGTGTTTGTCGTCCTCTCTCAACTCGGTCAGTAGTCTGTCAGTCCCCGTCTGTGCCGCATCGCGTGGGTTGAATTGTGTCAGCCGTCGGGAGAGAGTTGCTCTGTCTAATCGTAGATCCAATCACTCTCTCCAGCTGCTGTCACAGGTGATACAAGGCGTTGATTGATGCCCGCACTATTGCTGTCGGGCATCAAACGCAATCTGAGCCATAGGACAGAAAGCAGCACGAAGAAGATATACGCAAACTTGCTGGCAGTGGATCAATATGTCGTTTTGGAGCACTTGGCTGTACTGAGAGTATCTAGTAAGAACAGTAACAAAGATGGAACTTTCTCTTCCAGGAGTTGGACTTAGCACAAAGGCCGTTCAAGAATGCGGCTCATCCAACTTTGCCAATGACCTTCGAAGCCGCTCGTTCAAGGTCGGCCCTGGCATGCCGTGCCATTCACGCTAGCGTCAACTCAACTCGGTTTAGTCATACGAGATTCGGCCAATAACTTCGTGAAAAGGGTACGGGATCTTCTTGGGTTTCTACATCGATTCTTTAACCTGCGGGCCGTGTCGTTTTCCATGGTTTGCTGGGTCACTTCGGTTAGTACTAGTCATAGTTAAAAGGCCTCTGTGTTGTCCGAGGTATCGCGGGTGGCCCCTGGAGAAATTATCTGGGACGCCGGATACAGCATGGCCAGAAAGAGTATGCCCACTATGAGTATTGTAGAGAGACATTTGCCCACTTTGAAATCATCGAGGCTGAGGGCGGATATGAATGGGCTTGGATCAACTTCATTCACTCTAGGCTCATCATGAACTGCAGATAAGCGTAGATGAGCACGAACTCTACGTTGTGGCCGCTGACGGAGAGTCTGTACATCAGAAGAGAATTCATCCTGCTAACTGCAACCTTGGGGAGCGCATCAGCTAAGCAGGTCTTCCATTTCTCGATTCTCACAATGCCGAGGCAACGACTTACTCATCGATAGTATCCTGGTCCACCTGAACCAAAAGCCCCAAGACTACGCCATCAGAGTCACATCTCTTCGTAAAGAGCAAGTCATTCAGGGGTTTGGCATCCTCCGTTATCCGGGGCAAGAAAATAGTTCAAAAAAGGAGGTTCCCGATACCAAACCTTGGATTTACCTCAACTGATCTGTAATTTCTTCATCATCCATAGCCAGGGATGAGATAAACCTCGCTCCTCACCCCGCTCAGCCGCCTCCCTCAAAGGCAGACAACAGAATCAAGTTGTTCGTCAACATGACTAGACCGGGTAGTTGGGCTTTGAACATCGGCCCTCGCTAGGCGTTTCGTCAACAGATGTCCCCCAATGTTATGGGATGAAGAGTCACGCGGCGAAATAACCTATGGAAACAATACCCAGGGAGGATCACACCAGTATCGTTGTAGAAATAATCTTCGAAAACGGCTCGAACGTTACCTCGCAACACCCCTCCCACAAACATAACAGCAAGGTGTTCATCATCGGTACTGGGTCGGTGGCTTCCCTTGCCTGACAGTAGATGACGCGATCGGAGAGGGAGACATGGCGCGCCTTTTGAAATTCCTCAACCCGCTAAACCGGGACGGCTGCAGATTAGGTAACAGCACCGGGGACTAGACGGTCATTCGATATGAGATTCCTTTCCCCTCAGCTACCATGCTTCACTGCCATATGATCCACCACTTCGCAGTAAGGTCTACCATGCGTAACCCAAATCTATTCTTAGTAACAACATGGCTGATTCTACACTATTAGGCCGGACAACAAGTTGTGCTTATAGAAGGTGTCGGATCTTATGCAAAGCATTCCAGCTGAAAGGAAGGATAGAGTACACTTCAACCCCCCTATTCGACATGGCCCACTGTATTAGGTAGATTTTCATGGCTGTTAAACCCCAATCCGCCTTGAGTTTAACATTGCGGGCACAATGCTTTACAATCCACGCCATTGAACAGCAACAGTGCCATTAGCACAAGAGCATTCCGCAACACCCTTGCTGTAAATACGACTTGAATATGAGCAATTATTGGATTATGTGGATACAGTTGCTACGCCATGCTTAACAGCCTTAATTTCAATCTCCAGGATGAAGCAGCTTCAAATGTTACTTCACCCTCCTCTGTGAATAACATGCATCATTCGCTGACCCAAAGCGATACAGGCCCTTGCGCTATCCTGTGATATTTTATAGAGACGTAAAATTTGTTTTTCCTCCAACCTTCGTATTAGCGTTGGGTCTACGTCTAGAGTGTCGTTTGCCGAACCCATGAGGGGTGCGTTCCTCTGGGCAGTCGATGGATTTGTCTTTCTGCATCGCATAGATCTTGCGCGCCTGATGGAACCCCTGGCGTTTTTGAAACCGTCATCTCTTGTGTTGTGCCCTCTCCAGCATGGCGAAGGATGGCCTGCTGGAGCTGCAGCTGTACTCTGGGACTTTCGAGAGCCTAGGAATGACCCAACCTTTGTTAGGGAGCCGATGCTGCTCATCCTAGTGAGACCAGGACTTTCCATCTGTTCTGCACGTGAATCTTTGTTTTCATATCGTAAAGGCGCTGTCTTGAGAGCACCAAGAACTGGCTTCATATCGTCTTGGCAGATATCGTGGTGCGAGGTAGGGCGAGAGCGGCGGTCTGAAACGGAATAGTCGTCTGCCCTGCTCTGGTCTTCGTTATTGTGGGCGTACACGGTGCCTTCTTCGTGAGTGACGGAAGCCACCTCAGAGCTGCTGCCGAAACGGAATTGGTTGTGTAGTTTATCAACGGAGCATTTGTACGCTTCAGCCGCAGGATGTTGCTTATAGTTCTCCTGGCGATTTTGTTGAAGTGGCTCGGAGTTGATGCAGAAAGCGCAACAACAGGAAGCCAAATGCAAGCTGTCAAAAGGGCTGGTGCCAGCGATGCTACCAGTGGCAGGCACTACCGATGTTTCTATAGTGATAAGACGGTTGTTTATTTGGTTAAAAGCTGTCTCTAAGCGATGAAGCTTTGTAAGAATGACTTTTAAAACTTCTTCGTTGGCCCGCGGCGTTGCCATGTTAATGGTGAAACAAGTAGAAGCGGAGCGTTCGCAACAATTTCAATCATAGATGATGAGTTCTTACGTTTTGGACACCAGGAAACATTTGTTTATAGATAAACCATCTGATAAAATTGGCATGAAGCGAACGACTTCATGTTATAAGGCTATCAGTGTTTGATTTGCCCCAAACACCCTTTTCGATCGGCAGAAAGCTTTACCAGAGCCATTTACATGTCGTATATGACGTGATTCATGAATCCGTTCATCGGAGACGCAACCGGAAGTTATGATCCGCACGACTAGTCTGAGTCAACCTCCAGTTTCGGACCCCGCCTCCGGACTTGGTCTCCTGGGAGTAACCGGAGTGCACTTATTTGCATTTGACACAACTTTTCGCACGTAAAGCTGTACCCAATGTATAATTATTGGTCAAATAGTTACCAGGTGCCAAGCAATTTCAAGAAACTCGACATGCAGAAGCATTTTTTCGACGACTGTACTACTATGAACGTTGTTCAAGTCCACTGAACAACCTGAATAAAAAGGCTGTTTATATCTCCTATGATTCGGAGTATTAGAGCCTGTGAATACACAAACAGAGTTTGAGTTTAACTTTAGGCCATGCATATAAGACACATCAAGTTGCGACATGTGTCCAGTGCCAGATTTACAGGTAGTCGAGAATCCGAGGCAACGGCGGCCTCGTAATTGTAGACGCTTTCCAGCCACGGAGCTATTCACCACTCAGTCCGTTTGCAGACATTATTTATTGTCAAAAGTAAATGCTATGCTGTTCCCACCTCTCGCCCAACTATCCATCAAAGAAACCCACGAGACATCACGATAGATCTTAGCTCTGCAAGTTTAACCGGCTTGGTCAAAAGTAAATCTAATATCCGACACCCAAACGCCTCGATCTGTGACTCATCCAACACCAATCCCGCCAATGCAGTGATCGCCGCCGCCTTTAGTTTGACCGACCTTTCGTGCGCTCTAATTTGCCTTGTGACCTCAAATCTCCCATTACAGCCTGAAACGTCAGTAAGAATGCATCTGCATTCATGTGGTCTTCGTTTGTACGCTTCAACAGCCTCAAATCCACTGACAGCCGTTTAGAACCTCTTCACAAGTTTGCTAATGTAGGCGGAGAAGATTCTCAGGTTGATCGGGTGGTCCTGCAGTGGAAGGGTCACTGTGGTTGAAGTGTCAGGCCCAACACGGCTCTGGACTGGCACACCACCGCGAAGCTCAGAACTCATTCGCTTGACCAAACTTAGCCCAAGACCTGTACCGGGCGCAAGTGGGTCTTCCTGAGAGAATGGCCTATGCAATTGGTATCGTAGGAAATCCTCGCCTAATCCAAATCCCGTGTCGAAGACAGTAACGGTGAGTTGTCGCTCGCAGTTGGCGCCTCTGGTTTTAGACCTCTTTTGTTCGAGATGCATTTTAATGACCCCACTTTTCGTAGACTATAATGCGTTTCCGAAGAGATTCACTATGATACGACGCATAGCACCAGACTGGCTACCGAAAGCCCACGAGCAGCTAGGGTTAAGAATCGAAAATGACCATAACGTTACTAAAGGCATTTCGGGTTGTGCGGTTGTCATCTCCCAGACTAAGATCTTGATTCATTAAGACTGCCAAGGTATGGGTTAGCGGTAACATCGAGATCTCTAACTTTCACTGTCTTCTTGGGCTGCACAATAGGCATATGCTAGAAATTGAAACCGGCAAAGACGTCGCCCATGACCTGTTCAGCAAGGACGTCGATTTTTAGATGAGAGTTTAAGGCCATCATGCCTGACTCAATCGGTTGGATGAGATTTTCTGAGCCGCAGGCCTCTGGAAAGCGGACGCCGAAAGGAGGGCGATGTGGTTGACTTGATCGTGGGGATTGGGGAAGTTGGGATGATGGATACGGATGTGTCGCCATTTAGTACTGTGTCCACCGGCGGGAAGGAAAAGGTACCGTCGAGCTATGAGAGCGGCGTCGGTTTAGTATCGGTTGTATCTGAGCTCCTCGACAAGGACGGGGGCTCTGGAGCATTGGAACTGCCTATACGTTTGCGGTGTCGAGTGCCAGCATCGGAGTCATGGGTCTTCATACCTATTTGTGCTAGATCGACAGCTTTGAGCCCCGGATGGTTCCCTGACAAGAATTCACTTCCATGAAATCAGAGATTCGCTTGTTCATACGTTCGCTCCGTAATTGGGCAGTAATCCTATTGCCGTCAAGGTAGCTCATGAGGGTACCGGAAACATTTCTCCAAGCCTCACTTTCGGCTTTGGACCAAGTTGTATTAGCTCTGGGTTCATCACGGATATTGCACCCATTTTGACTCCTCTCGAAGTCTGAACAGGCATCGAGGCAAAAATCGCGGGATTGCTTCGAGTCGCCGATGCCGCAGGCTTTCGGGGTGAAGTGCGCATCTGCCGCGAGGACAGGGACCGCTGCAGGCATCGCAGGTTTTTTCGGCTTTGAAGAGGGTGGGTTCACAAAGAAGTCTCATCAAGAAATTGATAGAAACATGATGGCTAATCGTTCAAAAGTGAAATTGTGGGAAATCAAGGTCGTGGCAGAAACACCAGGACATCCACTCGGGATTGGACCGGACCATTTTTAGGGCCACACAGAGCTTGTGAGCACAACATGGTGGCGGATTCAGGGCCTTCCGTGGCTGGCCTCGACTGGCAGATGATTCAACTCCGTGAGAACTCTAGTCATGCACGATAGCATTCGAATGTATTGGAAACCTTCATGTTGACGGTCCAATTTGGATCACTCGTCAACTTGAAATGCAGCGGAAAGACCGTCATCACTGGTGGTTACCGGTCTTAACCCTGATAGGCCATTCTGCGACGGCTCCATACTTCCGGGAGTATGCCTGACCAATCATTACTCACGAAAATGAAGGGAGGGGCTGTACCGGGTTTCAACTCCGCAAAGCCCAGAAAGCGTCAACAGCCAAAAGCAATATCGTCTTACAGTATCCGTAATGAAACCCTGTATCCGGGAAGCTTTGTGGGATTAGAGAAACCGCCTCTGGTAGAAGACAAACAATCGATAAATCCGTTGAAACCCTTCCAGCAGAAACCCCACCTCGGAAGACTGAGATACAACATTGTAAGTGGCAAGGACGGCCAACTTGCGCTCATAGTGTGACTTGGAGTCGGATGCCAAGTAAGCTGGAGTTATTGTGACATCACAGACGAGTTGGCCAAATGCGGGGTAGGAACACATGGAGGAACAACAGTGAAGTAGATCTTCTCGGTTGTTGGCATCTCCACAACGTGACCTGACCTGACCTGACAACCAGGCCAAATTGCACTGAATAAAAGGCTTGGCACGCGATGTAGTATAATATCCTGGCTTCGTTCATTGCCTGGCCAACACCACCTCCCGCCTTTTGCCCCTTTCACGCAGCAATCCGGCGTGGTCGTACTCAAGCAGGTACTGGTAGTCAAATTTGATATCGGGTGCCATCTCCCGTTATTTGCTCTTGACATGTCCACACTCTCACTCTTTTTGTCCGGAACCGAGTACTGACCTTGAGTAATTGATGGTCTTGTTTCTTTTTGTCTCTCTCGCTTGTTTGGACTGAAGCAACCTCGGTAGCTGGGCAAAAGACGCAGGAATGATATTCTAGCATACCATCGTGGTCGAAACCATGGAAGAAGAATTATTCCTTGTTGCTGTGTGCTAGATTCTATACCCACCGCGGACCCGGCAGAGGAACGGTCGAGGCCACAGAGATGTCAGCGACATCAGAAAGGGTTACAAAGATCAGGATGGTCCCAAAGAAGAATATAATTTATATGTCAGCAGCCAAAAGACACGACTTTGTCATCCGGACCATAACTCTTCTGTTCAAGGTTGTCTCTGTGCCGCTTGGGATCTTAGGCGCCTCCTACTCGGGTGCCTCCTTCATGAACCCCAGCCGAAGCCCCGGCTGCGGTGATCCTCATATAATGTAGTTCTACGGGTGCTATGACTTCATCTCGACCGAGTGTACGAAGTTCTATCTTGCGCCCGCCACGACCATTGAGGTTCTGATAACGGCCATGTACCCAAAGGCTATATACGCAAGCGTATACTAATACGAACAGCGGTAACATCAGAAGGCACCTCACATGGGATGACTGGTTCTATACATGACGCGTGAGGAATGAATCGTCCCCTATGGGACCGTCATCATCTTCAACGATTGGTTCAACTACTTTGACTAGTTATGCATCACGGGCGTCCCCCGCCAGTTCACCTACATCCGCAAGCTCGGCGACGACTACATCTCGACCTCGCCCAACATCACAAGTGCCATCACCTCCCGGCCCGAAGAGTCGTAGAAGCAGAGCCAGATACAGATATAGGACGGTCAATACGGCCTCTACTCTGGTAGCAGGACGTACATCGCGTAGTTGTCCAACTACTTCTGGGTGCCTAACTCCTGCGTGGTCCTGCTCGAGTGGGACGGCGTGCTAGACCAAGAGCAACGGCTGCAAACTGACGGTGGCCAATGGGGACTTTGAAACCGGCCACAATAGTCCCTTTCGCAGCCCCGGCGAGACGGAGACGTACATCACGTTCCGAGCCACGGACACCGCCAACGGCCCGTGCGATGACAGCCGCTGCGTCATGATGCAGCTCATCACGGCCGACGCGGACGGCAGGCCAACTTTGGCGTGCCTTTGAGCTTCGGCTTGCAGTGTATGGAGCCTAGCCTGTGAAACATGCATGCATGGTGGTGGTGATGTGAGGTCTGGCGGCTCAGGGGAGGAGGGAGGCAGGCATTATGGGACATTCCGTTCCGGCTCTACATATAACAACCCCTTCCCCCCCGGTCAGTGATCGACCTGGGAGAGATCCATGGATGAGTGAGTAAGCCCCCGATCAAACAAATTATTAAGCTATGACTTGCGACGAGAGTCATGCGTCTACAACTTTGATCTTCAGTGCGCTATGCTCATCCGGACCTGGGTACTGGTCTGTGGACGGGACGCAGACAGAGCTCGAGGAAGGCCAAAACAAGTGCGCGTCATCGTCTGATGTTTCGGCCCGCGACCCGTGCATCGGAAGATCGCCTTTGTGATATTAGTGGCAGTGATATTTCTGCGACGGTGCCATAGGTGAGATGATTCTCCAGGACAGAAGGCAAAGACACGTGAGCAAGAGAGGCAGAAGAGAGAGGGGGGGGGAGGAAAAGCATGGCCACAACCGCCTTATACGGTCATCCATTAATCTCATTGGGGGCAACCACAAGGTAGCGGAAGGGTTCTTAAGCTTTGGATTGAGACTTCTGCCGAGCGCGCATATGCGCTTATAAGCCGGAAACCCGAACGACGAAGGCAAAAATGAAGAGTGAGGTTAACGGGCGGGCGACGGCAGCAGCCAACGGAGCCACTACGGAGATATAATTCCCTCCTTCTCTTCCCGTCTTCCCTCTTTGCGCGGTTTCGTGGCATGTTTCAAACGGCGGGGCGGCCCATCGCGGCCAACGGGACACGGAGCCGCGCTCGTCACGGCTGCGGGTTGGGCACGTCTGTGTTGCGTTTTGCCTCCCCTCAAGAACACTGCGCGTGCCGGGAACTCTAACCTTGTCCTGCTACACCTCGCGTAAGCCGTTTCCATGGCGTCAAAGAATGGACGGACGGCCCCCCCCCCCCAGAAAAGGTCGAGCGGGCTTCCCCGCGGGCGTGGACGTGGGAATTTCCACCCATCGCCAACGGGAAGGGGGAACTTGATTTGTTTCATGCCCAAATCCCCCACGCTTGACACCTCCAACTGAGGGAGGACAAGACCAAACGACGCATGGGATAAGCTCACGCCAACCGTATTCTCGACGTCACTCCGTCTTCCCCCTGGATGCTTTTTGGTTTGTCGTGTTCCGTTGGGGAGAGACGTCCCGGCATTTCCCAATACCGCGGCCCAGGACCTTGACACACAGGCCTTTCTAGAAGAAGGGGGGAAAAAATGCATCTGAAATTCAAATCTTGGTTGCCTTTCCCTTCAGCCCTCCCGTCTTGCTTTGCTTCTCCTCCCCGTTTCACTGGCCATGTGTTTATGTGTAAACGAATGTTTAAGCGTGGGGGAAAAGAAGAGATTTCCTACTTACACGGCACTTAGACCCGAAATCCTTTCCCTGAGCTCGGTCTGCAGCGCATCGAACACGACGGCGAATGAACCATGGGCCGCCACATCACCATCTGGTCGGCCGCGTTCCTCGCGACGGGGGGCTTCCTCTTCGGCTTCGACTCGGGCATCATCACGTCCACCATCGCCCTCGAGACCTTCAAGGCCTACTTCCACGACCCGGCGGATGGCGTGGCCGCCGCCATCGTATCCTCCTTCCAGGGCGGCGCCATCGTCGGCACCATTCTCAACATGGTCTGCTCCGACCGCCTCGGCCGCCGCAACACCGTCTTCCTCGGCTCCCTCGTCTCCATCGTCGGGTCCGCACTGCAGGCCGGGGCCGGGGACCTCGCTGCTCTGATATCCGGCCGCTTCGTCGGCGGCGTCGCCGTCGGCGTGCTGACGTCCACGATACCCATGTACGCGTCCGAGCTGGCTGAGGCCAGGCAGAGGGGCAAGCTGTCCGGGCTGCTGCAGTGGATGCTGAGCTGGGGGTTCCTGGTGGCGCAGTGGCTAGGCTACGGGTGCTCCTTTGTTGAGACCGACTTTTCATGTGAGTGAGATATGGATTCCTCCCCCATGTAATGATACCGGAAGCTTGGACATGTATGGAGAGAAATATGCAAGGAAGGACATAAAGGCTGACGACGTCAAACACAAGGGCGGTTCCCACTGGCGTTCCAATGCGTCCCCGGCATCGTCATCGCGACGGGCATCTACTTCCTCGAGGAGTCGCCGCGGTGGCTCGTCGAGAAGGGCCGGTACGCCGAGGCGCGGCGGAGCCTGGACACGCTCCGCGCGGGCGTTGACGAGAAGCTCGTCGAGGCCGAGTACGCCGAGATCAGGCACGCCGTGCGGGCGCAGTCGGTGCTGCGCGAGGCTGAGGGCGGCAGCCTTTGGCGGGCTCTTATCACGAGGCCGTCGTGGCGCCGCCGCCTGCTGCTGGGCTGCGGCGTGCAGGCCTTCTCGCCCCTCTCGGGCGTCAACGTCATCAGCTACTTCGGCCCACGCATCTACGACCTCCTGGGCATCGGCACGCAGACGTCCCTCATGATCATCGGCATCAACGGCGCGCTCGGAATCGCTTACAACACGCTAGGCCTCTGGATGCTGGACCGCGTCGGCCGCGTGCGGCCCCTCATCGCCTCGGCCGTCGGCCTTGCGGCGGCTCTCCTCGTCAACGCCGTCCAGTTCCAGTTTCTCGATCGATCCAATCCCGACCAGCTTCGCAGCATGGTCGCCATGAACTTCGTCTTCGGCTTCTTCTTCACGCCTCTCGGCATCATCAGCTGGGTCTACCCGGCCGAGATCTTCCCCCTCGAGATCCGCGCCCTTGGCAACGCGCTGACGACATTCACCAACTGGACCATCAACCTCATCCTCGTCTCCTTCTCGCCCCAGGCGCTCACGGCCATCGGCTTCCGCTTCTTCTACGTCTTCGTCGCCTTCAACCTTACCGCCGCGCTCTGCTACTACTTCTTCTACCCAGAAACCTCGGGGCGCACGCTGGAGCAGATGGACGAGCTCTTCGGCGACTACGTGCCCATGTCGGAGCACAGCGCCCTCGGGACCGTCACCACCGGGTCTGACAGCCATAGGGGAAAAGTGGTAGGGATATACGGCTCCTTCGCGGTCCACGAGCGGGTTTCATCAACCTCAGTGTGAACTGGGCAAGCGCAAAAGAAAATAGATTGACAGCGTTGTGATGGCTATGGGCTGGTTGTGCCCTTGGTTATATCAGGAGATGATCTTGGCCCCGTACACGGATGGATTCATAGACTTTTGGTCTGTAATTAGCTTGTCGTTCGTTATGATTAAAACATCTACTAAACATGTGCTCGTCACTGCTCGTACAACATAATTGTAAGGTACAAAAAGCCACACCGGCCGTCATGAAAGGTTCAACTCCTGCAAGCCCAACGGGACAAAACAAAACCTTGTCAGAGTAGGTCGTCCGTCGTCGAATACTTGAGTGCATGACATACGCTTCGTTGCCCAGTCAGCCGTCTCCTGCACCGTCTGCTTCTGGACATCCACTAGACGGGCTTTGGCATCCTCGTCGATCCTCCATTGGCCGCTCTCCGTAAGCGACAACAAGGGCGGGCGGGCATACGGAACCTCGTCGTCCAAGTCGGCGCCACCGGCGCTGCCGTTCTCTTGCGTGTCCTCAGCCGCCGCGCTTCTAGTCGGCTTTGTCGGTGTTCTCCTCCTCAACGTCCTCGTCGATGCTCCAGTCCTTGAAACCCTCACCTCGGACCCAGCTGATGCCCTTCCTCCAGCCACCCTCTTTGACAGCTCTCGCGTCTCTCTCGTAGACAACACCGGTGAGCATGAGCGCCATGACAAACACCCACACGTCGCCGCCCTTCATGGCCTTCCACCATCTCCTCTTGACGCCTACCTTCCACAGTGAATCGACGCTTACGCGCGCAGAGTAGAGGAACACGCCGCGGCCGTTCTTCCGCTCAACCCAGGCCCAGAGGCCGGCGAGAAATCCGCCAAAGAAGAACCTCTGAGTCGGCAAGAAGGTGCGGGGGAACCACTGTTGGAAGAAGCAAATGCTTGCCCAGGCGGTGGAGATGGCGCCGGTGAGGAATGTGCTCATTCTCAACGCCTTGGTCAATATGCGCTGCAGAGTCGTGAGCGGCGAGTGATACAAGGACCGGAAACGCGGAACAATCGTCATGACCGAGTAGACAACGAGGAAGAAGCGCGTGAAGCCGGGGAAGGACCCAAGCCAGAAGTTGAGGTAGGTGCGGAGACATGAAGGGTCTGAAGGGTGAAGGGTTGCGCACGACAGTGAGGTGATGATGGGATGGGCGGATGAGGTGAGGGGGGCGACGGCGGTGAGGGTTGGCGGGAGTGTCTCTTTGTTGGGGAAGAGAGTTGGAGAGATGTAGGGTCTGTAGCTGGCGTTAAAAAAAAAACCGCCCACCGAGACGGAAGGGGGGCTCGGGACTTACGGCCAGTTCAGCCTCGCCATCTGGGCAAGGTTTTCGACAATCTCCAAGGCCTTGGGCCATTTGAGGTGGGACGGGTAGTCTTCTGGTCTGGGGTGGAGGTAGGCCGAGGAGTTCTTGAAGATGAAGTCGCCATAAGACTGGTCTCGGGTTAGTACTGCAACGCAAAGCAAATGCTCCGGATGGCGTCCACTCACCTCGGGGAAGCAATCCCTATCAAAGACGACGGCATGCAGCAGTTGCCCAAAAGCGAAGGGCTGAATGAGCCAGCTGCCCCACCACCAAGGCCTCTCTCTCTTGATCTTGCTCCCGCTCTTGAAGCCCCAAATCATGCCTTCTTCTTCGCACAGATTCCAGCCAAACTCGAGCGCCCTGAACAGGGTGTATATGGCGATGGTCACACGCAGCTGCTGGGCGGGGTAGACGCCGAGGAATAAGCCGGCCATCGAGGCACCTATGGCCGGGGCATAGGGGGACGTCAGGGTCGCGGTCGTGCGGGGGTTTCTCTGGCGGAAAGGCGCTGCCGAGGGATCGAGCAGGTGGGCGCGCAGGCGGTTGAGGAAGCGGAAGAGAATGCGGTAAAGGAGGAGGATGGCGGACAGGGATAGGGAGAGGCGTAGGGTCGGCGACTTGTGGAGGGGCTGCTTCTTGGCATTGAGACTACACCGTCGTCGTGTAAGCAAGCAAGCAAGCAAACATGATGCATCTCGGGTCCATCGGACAACTTTACAGAGGGGCGCACTTACTCTTGCTTCCCGCCCAGAAACTTGGTCGAGACGAGAGCCCAACCCTTCATGGCCATGGCGGTGCCGAGAAAGACGCGCAGCGAATGACGGACTGCGCGGGCATTGTAATCATCGACGGCCCTACCAGCAGCAGCACCGGGTGGGGGGTTGCTGGCGGCCTGCCTCGCGGCGGCAGGCTTGTCGCCGTCGACGATGCGCTCAACGGCAGTGACGCTTGGCGCTGCCCTCTTCAACAGGCGCGAGCGTGACAGCACGTACTTGTGGAGGGTGGCGTACTCCTTGGCGGAGATTGTGTAGCGCAGGGTATTGCGGAGGATGGGATCGGTGACGGTGTTGCGCGACGAAGCAGGCGATCGTGAGGGGCCGGCGCCGGTAGGACGGGGACTCGAGGTCTGGGAGGCACGAGGGGCGCCGGACGGGCCTGGCCGCGACGACGAGGTCGCGGCGGAGGCCATGGCAGAGGCGGGAGGATCGCGGGGTTCAACGCTAGGAGAAAGTCAGGTCGAGGGGTGGTGGGCGGTCGACGGTGTGTCGTTGTGTGATAAGCACCGTATCGGCTTGGGTTGGGAAGCGTTGGGTTGAGGAGAGGGCGGCTTGGTCGGACTGAAGAAGCTTCCGTTAGCACGTGCCAAAGTCGATAATCCGCATGTGCATCAACGACCTGCGTCACCTCAACAGCACAGCGAGGAATAGCTGGGCAGACTCACGCAAGTATATGTTACTGAAGGTGCCAGTAGCAATGGAAGCAGCGGTCGTAGTCGGAGGCAGAGATGGGGAAAAGGAAAAGAGTTCGAGGTTGTTGTAAGACAGAATGTGGAATGTAGATAGATGGTGCTGAGAGAGTGAGCGAGAGAGAGAGAGAGAGAGAGAGAGAGAGAGAGGGACGGAGGCCGACGGGCGCCAGAGAGTCACGCAGTATCGGTAGTATACATCCTAGCATCCTAGTCCCTGTACGGAGTACTATTACCATGTACTCCTAGGTTCTCCCGTGCTACCCAGGTAGGTCCTGCCCACTCTCGACCTTGGGGAAAGCACATGCCTCGGCTCTCTTTCCCTCTCTCTTCTTCCGGGGGGCACAGAAACAAAACGATAATCCTCGTCGCCCATTGGCCCAAGCGGCCCAGCCATAACCCAATCCACGAACACCTACCTCATTAGGTAAGTGCCTTTGTAATAGTACATAATAGGAGACTATGCGTACCTACCCACCTAGGAGTATTCCCTACATACGCGCAGTAGTGTCTGTCAAGCCCTCCCCCCCCCCCCCCGCGTAACAGGGGACTCCCCCACACTCGTCATCCCATCCGCAGAGTGAATCCCACTACAAGTTTAATGAGTCCTTAATGCACAACACACACACACGGCTATAGCCAACCAACCCTCGTCAAGCTTTTCACGACACGCTTCTGCCATCCATCCCTTATTTTTATAATGACTGACCTACATAGTATATCCTATATCTCTATCTAGTCCCTCTATCCAGTCTATCTCGGTCCGGCATTTAACTACCCTCTATCGAGCTTCGGGCACTTCTGCCTCATCCGGAATCGCCCTCCGTACTTTATGCCGAGGCCCATCAACATCCCATAGCATCCAGAGAGCTTCCCTACAAGACTCGCATCGGACATGTCCGCCCCCCCCCCCCCCCCCCCCCTGGAGTATGTATGCAAAGCTGGTTGGGCCTGTTCTCTTTTCACTCACCAACCACTTGATATCCCGACACCTACAGAGAGGCAGGAGCCAGATTACAAACGCTTACTTCTTCTTCATGTCACTCGGCCACAAACATCTACAATCATGTTTTTCCAGTATGGACAATGTTCTCTTGTTCGCACGATACGCGCAGTCATCACCCAGCAACCCATTCTGCTTCTGTTGCTGACGACAAAAATCATTGCTGCCGCCCGCCAACCACTCCGTCGCTTACAATTCCGATCCCCCCATCGCGACGCAGCTGTGCTTTTCCTTCTTCTGGGTATCCTTTTCCTCCCCTGTCTAGCTCTCTTGGCCCCCATTCCCCCTCCCACTCGTGTCTTCTTGCGTCCTCTTCAGAAGGAACCTACCCAGCTAGGTAAGTTGCCAACCGCCATCGAGAAATCCCTTCTCCCCGAACCAAGACGCCGCTGTCGGTACTCATGGCCTCCGACCACCTACCTACCTACCCGTTGCGCCGCCAGCCAATCCGAAGAATCGACCAAGTCCAGCGAGCTACACAGCCTGGCCACGTCGCCGACTGATTCTCCCACAGTTTTGCATCCTTCTTGGCCCATTTGCCACGATAGATACTGCAAACACCTTGCGCAATGCCCAATCCGTCGCCCCGGACCTGAGAGGAAAGAAAAATGCAAATTGCTGCTTTTGTACCTCATGATGCAAATGTGAATCCAGCCCGCCCCTGAGCCGTCCAGCTTTTGGCCCCTTTTTTGGCTCTTTCCTTTTTGTTGGTTCCCGTGTCGTAACATCGTAATCCTCCTGCCCAACCCGTTTTTAGCCGTCTTCAAGGGTACGCCGGCCGCCCCATGCCCTCCAAGTGGTCGGCGCCGTTCGCCTGCGCCACCAGCGGCACCCATTGCCGGCCGAGAGATGGCGCGTCGCCGTTGACGTACGACACCACGTCCTCGCGCCAGCCGACGCCATGCCACTCCTCGCTCTGGCCAGGCTCGACGCTCTGGAGGCCCTTGATGATTGACTCCACACCCGGCACCGCTCCCGCCATGATTGCGTCAACGGCCCTGACCCGTCTGGCCTCACGCTCGTTAACGACGGCTCTCATGATATGGTGGCGCGCCTCGATACTGGCCCATCCGTTGACATTGCCGTAGCCACTCGATTCGAGAGTCGGCTTCAGGTAAGCAAAGGGGAGGTTGATGAGAATCCTCGAAAGTGTAGATCGAATGCTTTGCTGCTGAGAGGTCTGAGGCGCCGACTTTGAGCCCTTGGACGGGGAGGAGTCTGAGCCCACGGCCAAATCGCCAAATTGAATGTGCATGGGCCGCGATCGGCGGTCTTGGTTGGCCGTTCCACGGGCAATCGCGGGCGTTCCCTCGCGAGCAGGCGGAGATGCAGATGCATACGGAATGCGGGCGAAGTGCTCGGGGTCCGCGACAGTCGTGTCCAGGGTGAAGTCCGGCGGGAAGTTGTTGATGAGAAACGAAATGACTCCGTTCATCAGAATCTGGACGGGCTCGCCATAAACAAACTGAGTGTGCCTGTCGGCTGAAGCGCGATTGGGTACATCGCCGAGGGCGAACACGAGAGCCCGCTCGATGGTGGACCAGTTGAGAAAGTGCGAGGCAATCTCAAGACCCCGAATGACAATAGGTTGCCATCCAAGGAGGTGGCCCGCCGCCGCATATCCAAGAGCAAAATCGAATCGGTCATCGGCACTGCCAGCCAGGGTAAAGGCACTGTTGGAGGCCGGATCGGGCAAGTCCAATAGCGGAAAGGCGTACAGATGCTGCACTGCCATCCAGAAAGCATCAGAGCGGAGGTGTTTGTCATCCGACTGGAGCAGGATAGTACGGTTGGCACCGGGCGGGCTCGACTCGAAACCGTCAGATTCAAGAACGTTCCGGACTGCCTGGCTTCTGGCAAGAACAAGGCGGTGGCCGGGGAGCCGGACAGGAGGGGCACGGTCATCGAGGTACCGCAGCTCGAGGGTACAATCGGCAAAGGAAGTGTCTCTAAATTGCGATCGCAAGTAGGCAGCCATATCATCCAGCCCCTGATGCTCAGGTCCAGGGTGCATCATGTGCGGAGGTGGAATAGGGCCAGGCATCATCCGCTGAGGCAGCACAACGAATGCTCCAGCGGGGGGCGGATGAGGGCGAGCGTCGTCGACTTGGCCGTTGGGGGCGGCAGGCGCGGGGTAATGGTTGTAAGTACCGGGCTCCTCCGCGTGGGCCGAAGAGTGCGATTCCTGGAAGCTGTGAGGGGTCGAAGGACCGTAGCCATTGATTTGAGGTGCGTATTGTTCCATGCCAGTGTAGCCTGGGAGCGGTCGGCCGAATCCATCCACGGGAGTACCAGGCACGAACTCGGTGCCGTAGGGCATCTGGTGGTGGTAGCCGTTCAGAACGCCAGGGAATGAACGCGCTTCGGGGTGAGGCATGCCAGGAGGGGGTATGAAGCCTCCCGAGTGAGGGGGTGCCGGAGAAGACGAGTTGGAACCAAATCCACCAAACTGGAGACTGCCGTTGCTTGGGCGCGGGCCATGCATGTGCGGAGGGCCGTTGTGAACCGAACGAGGGCCTCGGTGAGATGTACCGTTAATAACGACAGCAGAAGGACGAGGGCCATTATGAGCAGCAGGGGGCATGTTGTATCGAGTCGGAGGGATAACGGGAGGGGGTCGGAAAGTCGGTGGGAGCTGGGTGACGTTCTCTGCAATTTGTGAGCAATCCATTTGCTGCCAGACGGCATACCAACGCCCAGGGCTCTTACCCTCTTTCGCATGCCAGGCGGCGGGCGGGGAGGTGATGCGGTTAGTGGTGCTGTTGCCTGTGACACGTAAGAAGGAGCCTTCAGGAGGACGGCGGCTGAAGGCGAACAAACCTCGAAGGGAATCATCGGCAGACGAGGGGACGCCTCGATCGGCAGCCTTGTCGGTCGATTCCGACTCGTCCGTCGTGGAGGGCGTAGGTATGGCAGCAGAAGAGACCTGGGAGTCAGTAGCTACACAACTCCGTTAGAATCGTACTTCGTATCTGCAGAAATTTAGCTCGGGAAGCATTGGCAGTTACTCACCCTCGCGATCCTTCACATAATCGCCTTCCGAATGGGCGGAAAAGAGGGGGGACGTGGTCTCCTCGACAGCAGACTTATCATCGTCGTAAGTAGCGGTCTCGGGCTCGGCGATCTTAGGGGTCGGAGGCGTGGAATCGAAGTCGTTCTGAATCTTGAGGGAGGAGCCGTTGGTCAAGGCGGGTCGGGGAAAGGCTGTACCGGCGGCGGCAGCGGCCTGCTTCGCGGCAGCATTGGCCTTGACGCGGCGATCCAAGGGAAGAGGAATGGCAGGCACCACGCGCCTGACGGCGCTGGGCTTTCCATGGGTGACACCAGCACCGATCCTCGCCTTCGGATTGCCGTTGGGAGCCATGGTTGACTTGGGAAGGCAGGCGGGAGGATATGCGGTGGTGATGTTGAACGGATGGCGAGCCCACCCTGTATGCTGGACTTTGACTTGGCTGGGAGAGGCCCAGGACTGGATGGGACGACTAGGGGGTGGTGACCCACAGGTGGTAGGAGCCGGGGTCGGTTCTCAGCAGCTGCGATGGCTCGTTCGGCGATAGGAGCAGGACCAGGAGTGGGTTTGATAAAGTGGATGGTTCTAGAAGAACAGTCAACTGGCGGGCGAGCAGAGTCGCAAGTCGCAAGTTGCAAGAGTCGCAGGGCCGTAGGTCCAGGCCTCGGATGGATGGGGGGTTAGCGACTCTTTTCGTGTAGGATGGGAGCCTCTCGTCGGCAGGGGTAGCGCATTATAAAGAGAAGCTGCAGGTGCCAATGCGTGCCACAGGTACACTGTAAAGTCGAGGAGGGAGGGTAGAAAGTAGGGGTACAAGTAGATGGAAAAGAGTCGAAGGTCAAAAGAGAATGTCGGAGGGTGACGTCGAGGAAGATGCGTGGATAGGTAGTGATGTGAGAGCGGGTGAAGAAAGATTGATTAGAGGTAGTTGAGGAGAGGGGGGAGGGGGAAACGGAGGCAGGAGCGAGTGGAGTGGAGGGGAAGAGGGATTGCCGTGTGTCTTGTCCCTGGACGCGGTGAAGCAAGCGTGAGAAAGGCAGGCACGGAGGTGTGTGGAGAGTGCGTAGAGCCTCTCTGTCTTGCTTGCTCTCCGTTTGACGCCGGAGCGTAGAGTAAGGAAAAGAAAAGAGAGGAAAGGACACAATGATATCAGAGGCAAGCAAGCAAGCTTCCGTCACAGCCTGCCTGATGCGATTGTTCTAGTTGTTTTGCGCCGTTGGTTGTGGCGACCGAATATGCCTTCCCACTGGAACCCGGACTGCGGAGAGGGGTGGATGGAGAGCTGCAGGTGCTCGATGCGTTCTGCTGGCTGCTGCACCTTACTTCCTGCCTGACCGTGGCCTTGCTGCTGGCGGTCAGTCAGTCACTCACTCACTCAACGGTGGACGGGGGGAGAGGGGGGAAAATTTCAGTCCCGAAGATAAAAAAATAAAAAGAAACAACTAAAATAAAAACCGGGTCTTTGTCAATCAACCCATGATGAGCAAAAAACGGGGCTGCATCACAAATTTTACCCCCGCAAAAGAAGAAAAGGCAGTTGAGAGTTGAGGTACGTACCTTGCATCAGTCTGGGAGGCAGACATTCCGCCTAGGCACTTGAGTACTCCGTAATGTATCCGTAGGTTCAAAAGGAATGCCCATCGCGGTCCGGTGCCGGTACGTACCGCATTCAAGGTGACCAAAGCTTGCTGAGACTGACATACCATTGGCTCATGATGACCCGATTCTAGGAAGTTCCGGCCCACCGCGTTGGTAGCGTAGAGGTACGTATCAGGGGGGGCGCTGTCGATCGAGAAGGATGGATGGAAGGAAGGTGCAGGCCAGGTAGGTAGGTGTATCCGTAGGTAGGTACGAATACCTACGAATAGGTAAGAGAGACCGCCCAGATAGCTGGCTACCTTAATTGGGAACGTCGATAATCCTCTTTTCACCAACTCTATGCTACGGTCTCCTTACTATCCGTACCAACGCTTCCAACTTCTGTCGCCTGATCCTCGACGAGACGAAGTGCATCCAAAAAGACCAGATGAAAATAGCAAGGCACACACACTACTTACCTACACTACCCAGGGATAAATTATTGCTTGGGGTAGGGCCGTTAGTCGGTTGCTTGTTTGCCCGGCCCGGTCCGATTTTGGCCTCTTCGCCTCCCAACTCCGCACCGTAAAACGATTAATAAATTATCATCATATTTCTCAGTTTAGCACAGGTTCTTTGATCGTAACACGATAGTAGCGTCCGGGCGCGCCAGCATCTAGCCTTGCAGCCGCCCTCAGACTGTGCCCGTGCTAGCAGCAAGATTATCCCAAGCCACAAAGTAGCCGGTACGCTAATTGGGTCTTTGCATCTTGTATCCGTAAGGTAATTGATAAATACGATGTGGTACCTTTACTGTAGGTGGGTAGGTTAGGTACATGTCTGTAGGTAGGTCGGTAGAAATTGGCTTGGGTACGTAGCTCCCGCTCCCGTTCCCCTGTAGGCTTGATTACGTCAGCTTTGCTTTGGTGTCGTCATCGGCAATTTTTTTCGCCGTCGTTCTTGCGACAACCGACCGGCCAACAAACACATGGTTGGCTCCGTTTGTTTGCATCATTCTCGGCCCGTTCGATATCCATCCGGGGCCGGATGTGGGGCTTGACCACCGGTCATCCTAAACGCCAGTGAGGCTTATGTTTAAGTCAGGCAGCATTGGAAGGTTATGTTGGATACATTTACTCCATCTATTGAATTGGCGACCTTTTCAAATGACCCCTCCTCAACTTCCTGTCACGCTTCCAGGTTTCTCCCTTACGCTCCGCAAGTCGTGCAACGGTATGGGCGACTCGACAATTGAATATTCATCAAATCTCTACTTGCCTTTCCCTAACAAGGGGCTACTAAGTCATGCAAACTGGTTTTGGTACGCCGCCAAGGCTTCGCCATCTTTGGTCTTACCTTGTCAGAAATCATTGTTTATTACTCTTCGCCGTATGGCTTACCCCGGGGATATTCGCCCGATACATAGTCCCAGAAACTGCAGGATGAGTTCATCTTCTGTCCTTTTTTGTCCCCCCGCGCGTTCCTTCTCAGGCAGCAGTGTCGGAAGCGGGGCGACTTGTCTCTCATAACCCCATGCCAAAATCTCCAAGCCAGACAGCTGCATAAGCGAGAGAGGCTGTGACTCGCTGTCTGTCACGATTGGATGATTGTCAGTAAGACGGGAACAATCCGGATACGAAACGGTACGTATCCGACTGATTCTTCCAGCGTTCCATCGATGCGCTCTGTAATACCACGACTATTAAATAGCTGCGACCAACTGCGTATGGGTCCAATGTGGTTTAGTTCTTCCTTGCGGATTCCCTACAGTTCTACTTGCCATCGCAGAAGACAAACATGATTTTCTCAATTTTCCTCGGATTGGCTTCGGTGGCTGCCGCCGTTGTCATTCCCGGCCCTCCCGGCCCTCACCCGGTCGCTCTAAGGGTGCGAGCTTTTGAAGACGCGGCACGATGGGATCCGCACGCACCCAAAGACCAGCCCGAGAGGCGGCGCGTGATGGTATCCGTCAACATCCCTATCAAGAAGGAAATCAGATGTTCCGCCGAGACCCTCCCCTATATGCCGCCAATCACCACGAGTGTCTACGGCAAGATGGCTGCAGAGATGTACGGGCTACCCGATACCCTCTTATCGGGGTTAGAACTCGAGTTTTGTCACGTCAAGGCGCCGTGCGCCTCAAAAGCTGACAAGTACCCACTCGTTGTCTTCTCGCCTGCACGAGCGCTTACTAGACTGGCGTATGGTGTTCTCGCGCGGTCGCTTGCCAGCTATGGCTATATCGTTGTCACTGTGGATCACACATACGAAGCTACTGTAGTTGAGTTCCCGGACGGAAGTGTAAGATACGCAGAGAACGCGACCAATAGCGACGAGGACTACGTCGAGAGCCTCTTAGATGTAAGTTCCTTCAACATCTTACCCAGAAGTTGAATCAAGAGTCTAACTTTTGGGAATTACGGCAGAGCCGTCAGAAAGATGTTTCTTTCGTTATCGACCAGCTACTCGATACATCGGCGGTGGACTCACTGATGACGGGGACGCAAGCTTCCATCGACCCGGACAAGATATTTGTCGCGGGGCACTCTTTGGGAGGTGCGACGGCCGCCACGTCACTCTACGCCGATGACCGCATCCTCGGCGGCTTGAACTTTGACGGTCTCATCATTGGACCTGTCGCGACCGAAGGGACCCATAAACCTCTGGTGCTGGTCGGCACGCCGACAAGTACTGACTACGTCCCCGGGTGGAACGAAACCTGGCCTAATCTTCGCGGCCCATCTCTCATGTTGGCAGTTGCGGGAACTACTCACCTGTCATTTTTTGATATCGCCAAGCTTCTCACTGTGTTGGCGCTGCCGGCGGAGTTTGATGAGCTGATCGAACAGGCTCTGGGGCCCATCCAAAGCGGGACGTTGGAAAAGATCAAGAATGAGCTGCTTCTCAGGACCTTGGACTTTGTGCTAGAGAATAAAAAGGATGCGTTATGTGGCATCGAAAGTATCGGCCCTGAGGTCAAGCAGCTGCAGGGCAAGAACTTGTCATGTTCCTAGAGCGCGGGACGCTTGTGAGATATAACGAGCCGTTTATTTCCACCCGCACTCTACTCAATCAACAACGATCCATCGAATAGTATTACCTACTTATTAGACATGTTATAGGCCCAAACACCCTATCTCCAACCATTAAAGCGAGTCGCGACAAGTAAGCCAGTAAGATCTATAGCTAGTGGTTAAAAGTATCGAAGTTGAGATCTCTTGATAAATTACACTACTGTCAGATTCGTCGCTGAAATATTCTAAAGCGCATAACGATTTCGAAAGAAGAGAAGAAGAAAAAAGATGCATGATAATACTGTCGTGATTCTAATTATATTTAGCTTCTCATTTTGATCTTCCTAGTAATTAGCTCTAATAGAGTAAATCTTTGGCAACGCTTGCTAGACTAGTGCAAAACTTTTCCAAAACACGCTTGAGTGCATCAGCATTTTCATCGTCATAGGTATCACATATTCCATCGCTGCTTCCCGTCTCTGTCCTAGCCTCAATTTCACCAACACCCTTCTTGCAAACATCAATAGCCGTATGAACCTTTCTGATAGGTCCCCTGTACAGCTTCCGTATGAGATCTTCGCTCTCGTCAAGCAGCGTTGAGGGGGTGTAGCTGGAGCCCTTGGAGCCAGCAGCCACCAGGCAACCCTTGCACCCGTCTTTCAGAACCACGAAAGCCTTTCTCAACAACGCCTGCGTATTTACCACCGTTTCTATGAGATCTGAGGAGGAATTTTCATCGGAAACGTCTGACAGAATGTCCACGATCCCGTCTAGGTCATCGGAAAACACGAGCAGGGCATCCTCGTACACGTACAGGGGCACCGGTCCACGGCTTGCGTCAAAGGCGCTATTATTGGTGAGCGCGTTTTGCATCCTTACCAAGGCATTGATGAGTTTTGCCGAGGTCATCTGTGTTGCAGAGTCTGCTGTAGCCGTGGACAGACGCCCGATAGCATAGCTCTTGAGATAGCCTCTGATCTCCTGGGCGTGCGGCCCGCCGTGCGTTTCGACGAAGCGCGCGTCGGCTACAGTACCTGCTGACTCGAGGATCGTTTTGGGTCCACCTGGGTGGGTGGCCAGAAAGGACGTCATGTCGTAGACTGTTCCACCGATGGCAGTCCAGCACGAAGTCATAGAGTTGTGGGCGGCAAGGGTGGCAGGGCTGATAATGGGGACTTTTGGGCTTATTGAGGGCGAAGAGGAGCAGCAAGAGGACCGTGAGATGGAAGGTCTTTCCACCTTGGCGAAGAGATCATGGTGCAGTTGCTTCCAATATGCTGGAGGAGGGAGTATTTCTGTGCGGTTGTCATCGAAGGATTCGTCATTTGCGTCCTGTGCTTGTTTTTGCTGCTGCTGCTGCTGCTGCTGCTGCTGTTGCAGTTGGCCCAGTCCAAGACTGCTCATCACCGTTGCCCCAAAGTCGGAGCTGCCGCACACAAAGACGTGAGCGCTCTTACTCTTGACGAGCTGGTGGACAAAGTCCCGGTATTCTATCAAATGTCGCGTTACGTGCCGTTTCCCCTGGGGCAGATGTGTCCAGGTCCCGCTGCGGATCATGAGGTGTGTCTCCTGACTGAGAGCCAGGATTATGGTCAACGGCAAGGCCGTGGTCAGTTCCTCTAGGCTGTCAAGTGGACAAGGGACATGGCGGCGTGTTTTGGCAGCGACCAAAAGGAGTACCTCGCCTACCTCACCGATGTCGTCTTGGGTATCCCCGAGCCGCTGTTTCCATGCCGCCCGGTCGTGCAGGAAGCCCAATAGGGGGCCGGCGCCGCTGCCCTGACCGATCAACACCAGAGGAACGGTCATGTTTCGTGGCTGGCGGAAACGCAGAGAAGGCCAAGGACGAAGGCGCAGATGTGTGCCTTGAGCGGCAGTGCTGAGGAAGGAAGAGACCAGTCCCTCGGGTGTGTGTTGGCCGACCGTCAGAGCAATGGTCATACCTCCTCCTCTACCTGAGACTGTCGCCTCGTTGACCACGTCTGGATTGACACGAGCGATGGAGTAGAATCTCGGTTCGGCTTCCGCTTCATCGTCACTCTCGCACCCTGGCGACGCATCATGCTCTTCTGGGGAGGAGATCCTCAACCGCCGCGTGTGCGAACATGTCCTTCTGACCTTCTTCCTCTTCATTGGCGGCCAGATTTGCACTCGATCGCCCGGCTCGAGCGGCAAATTCACATCCAACCTCACCGTCACCACTACGCTGCCCTGGTATTTAGTCTGAGACTGCACACGCGCGTCCTGCCACAGCGGCCGCCCGGCCAGCCGTGAAGCCATGCCCATCTTCATTTGCATGCTCAGCATGGTCTCGGGCCGCATCTTCGGTTGCCCTGCTGCCGCGCTTTTGGTCTGGTCGCTGCTCTTGACGCCGCTGCTCGTCGAGTGTCGCCCCGTACCTAGGCTCACGCCCGTGACGCCAACAGCCTTCACGCGGTGACGCTCGAGAAACCAGACGTACATTTGCAAAAGCCCATCCCATGCCGCCGAGAGACGCTGATATTGCGATTGCTGTTCAGAGGGCAGACTTCGTTGTCGATCATGGGCAGCAGCGATGTAGTCCCTGACGCCTCCGGTCCTGTCACCAAGGGCATCCAAGAAGGCACGAATATTGGCCGGCAGTGTGGCCCGTCGATCGCTCTGCATGCCTTTCAAGTCACCCTTGACATTCTGGCGGCCGATGAACGCGTCCAGCGCATGAAAAATCGGTGCATCGACGCCGCTGTTGCCCAGCTCGCCCGGAGTAACCGGCCGGCCCATGGCAGGATACGTCTTGATCCAGATGACAGGGTCAAAGTGCGTCGTATCGCGCGGGGTCATAGCATCGAACACATGAGCGCACTCAATGATGCGCGCCGCTAGACTCTCCAGGCAATGCGTGACCAGGTCGGGTTGGTCGGCCAGCACGCCGCTCTTCGCAAGCGCCATATCAGAGAGAGCGGGTGCAAAAACGGACTCTATAGTGCCCTGGAGCCCCGAGGAAAGCCGCTCCTCTGGGAGGCCAAAGTAGATACTCCTCAAGCTGAAGGAATCGTTGCCCACGGCGTTGTTGAGAACATCGTCGGCGGGCACCTATCGTAGCAAGTTAGCTGCTACTGTACTATGCGGATAGGATGGTTCCAGGTATATCTACGTACTCTCCCAGTCAGGGGCCTTCCCAACTTCGTACAAACCCTATCCCACGCATAGAGAACATGACGTGGTAACTGGTATCGTCCGATTTTCTCTTCGCCCTTGCCTTTATCTTGCTCCTTGCCGAACATGTATGCATGGGCCAGCGCGCTCAGCACCAGCGCCGCTCGGGTCAGATGACGCTGTTCCAGGCCATACCATGCGTCACTCCCCCCGGCCGTGCGCTCGCCCAAAGCGTCGACAGCTTGACGCACTCGTCCTGCTCGAAGTAACCGCGGCAGACTCTCATGAACCACCTCCCATGCCTCCAGGGGCGCTGGCAGGCGTTGACCTGAGCCTACCCCTGCATTGCTACGGGTTGTGACGTGGGGCGTTTCTCGACCGCCTAAGAAGCCCCTGGTTCTAGTGAAACATCCATCGAGGCCGGTGCCGAAACGGAGTGTTTGCGTTACCGCTCGAGGTGAACCTGGCTTCTGGAACTTGAACTCGGTCGTTGATGAGCCTCCGAACAGCTGCATTGCCAGAGAGGCCTGGGCAAGCAGGAAGCTAGCTTTGGAAATGGGGCAGTCGATTATTGATGAGAGTACTGTGCCCTTGGCGTTCTGTTTATCTACCAGAGTCTCTGGCGGTGGCGTGACGATGCCTCTAGCTGATGTTTGTGGCTCATTGAGCAAGACTGATTGTTGTAGTGATGGTGGTGATGATGATGATCTCGTGTACCTGACCACATCTTGATGTGGCTTCTTCCACAAGGAAAGGGATATGGATGGTGTAGGAGACGGAGACGGTGTTGGAAGCTCTTGAATGGCAGACATGGTAGTGAAAGCAGGTATTACCAAGAGAGAGGTGGAAGTCGCTGTTCTAAAAGACTGAGAGGCAGTATCAAGAGTTGTAAGTCGCTAAAGATGGCTGGATAAACTGAGCTCGTTATAAAGACCCCATGTCGTGTTACCCGGTTCAGTCGGCATGGGGCCGCTGTGGAATCTGTGAAGATGATACGTTTTATATATGTACAATGCGGTCATACAGAGAGAGAGGCATTGAATGCCATAGCCTCAATTTCCTCCCAAAGTTTATTGTAGTCTGCCTACGGATATACCTAAGTAGATATCGGATATGCCGAGGAACGACCAAGAGCGGAGCTCGCTTAGAGTAACCAGGACTGATATTTAATACAGCCGCGGTTAGTTTTGGGACCGGTCTGAACGGTTGTTCATTGTACTGTACATTCTGATTTGGCTCTTTCGGGTAGGCTGATAACCCCCCGTCAACCCCGAAGTAAGATGCCACATCATGTCAAAGCCCTTCATCCGAACTCGTACAGAACGTTGTCGGTCAGAAAATTACGGGAAAGTTTCCAGAGCCTCGATCAACTCCGGCAACAAGGTTCAGCTAGAATAAGCCGTTAGGTTACGTCCAAATACCCTCCTTCGGACCCCCGACAAGGCAAATCGCAGCACTCTCCGTCTCAGAGTTTGAGTGCGTCATATGCTTTCGCGATGCTAGGTTCCTCTGGGAAGTTGCATCTCAAGCCTTACTAGGCTACCTTGTCGTTATACCTGTCATGTTGGGAAGCCGGGAAAGTGGCGCGAATGCCTCGGCATTATCTCGTATTCGTCTTGCTGTACGGAAGATAACTACTATTTACAGGGACAGGAGACAAGGAAATCCAATATGAGAAGATGGCTAGCACCTCGATCCCGAGCCGATCAACAAGAACAAGATGACCCTGTACATACCTTCCAACGTTCTCGTCACGACCCTCCCGGACCTCCTCTGGGGCCTCGGTCTAGTTCTCGTCGGAGCTTTTGTTCTACGTACCATCTACTACCTGACCCTTCATCCCCTAGCGGGATATCCAGGCCCGCTGCTCGCAAGCATCACCGCCATCACATCTCTATGGCACCGCGCCGATGGGTCCAACCACAGTTGGCCGCTGCTCCTCCACAGAAAGTACGGTCATATCGTGCGCATCGGCCCAAATGAGCTGAGCTACACCCACCCTGATGCCTGGCATGACATCTATGCCAAGGCGGGCGGTGGAGGCGACATACCCAAGGACTTTGTCGGGCTGGGGCCAGACATGGCAGAGCCCGAGAAGGGTATCGTGCGGGCTGACGACGCCGACCACAGGCGGCAGCGGCGCATCTTCTCGCATGCCTTTTCGGACCGTGCCGTGCTCAGGCAGGAGAGCCTTGTGCAGGGCCATGTCCGCAACTTGATGCGCAAGCTGGCCGACAGGAATGCGGAGCCTGCTTCTTCCTATGGCTGCGTCGACCTCGTGACCTGGCTGAGCTACCTGGCCTTTGACATCATGGGCGACCTCATGTACGGCGAACCGCTCGGCATGCTCGACAGCAACGAGTCGGCTCGCCAGTGGGTTCGCGACACATACTCGACCATCAAGACGGTCACGCTTGGCATGGCCATGATGGGTTGGCACCCGCCCCTGGGGCCGCTTCTTCTCAAATGCATCTGGGGTGGCAGTGGCAAGCGCCGCGCCCAGCATAACCGCTTCTCCATGGACCGCGTTGACAAGCGCCTGGACCGCGGTGACAACTCGGGCAGCGATGTTTGGTCGATGATCATGCAGAACAGCGGCGGCGACAAGCAGCCCGGTGTCACGCGCGCTGAGATGTACTCCAATGCCGCGACGTTCATGATTGGCGGCACTGAGACCACTACGGCCGCCACTTCGGCCTTGACCTACCTTCTGCTCATGCATCCAGCCAAGATGGTCAAGCTGCGCGCTGAGCTCGACGCCAGCATAAACGACCCGCAGGCAGACATGACCTTCATCAGCCTGCGCAAGCTGCCGTACCTCAATGCATGCATCGAGGAAGCCATGCGCTTGTATCCGCCCGCGCCAACGCCCATGCCGCGCATGGTGCCCCGCGGGGGACGTATTATCTGTGGGCGCTACGTGCCGGCGGGCACGCGCGTTGATATCCCGCTGTACGCGATTGCGCGCCATCCTGAAAACTTTGCCGATCCCGAGGAATTTGTGCCGGAGCGGTGGCTGGACGACAACGACCGGCCTGCCAAGTATGACGGGGATCGGAGAGATTGCGTCAAGGTATTTTCGGCGGGTCCAAGAGACTGTATTGGCAAGAAGTGAGTGATGTTCTTTTCTCTCCGGGCGTCTTCTTACTCCACGCCTCTACTTCGAGGGTGATAGTTACTGATCAGCTTTCGCGCAGCCTTGCGTACCCCGAGATGAGGCTCATCATGGCCAGTCTGTTGTACAATTTCGAACTTGAGCTGGCCAAACCCGGTTTTGACTGGTTGAACCAGGATAGTTATGGGATCTGGGACAAGCACCCGCTTTGGATAAAGTTGGTGCTTCGCCAACCTGACCGGGCCCGTTGAAACTGCTATAAGTGATACGAGGCTTTGACTGCTTCCAGTAATCAACGTCATCGTTTTCGTCGCCAGGGTTTTATTCTCTAAATGGTGAAGAAGGTTATTCAAATTATATTGCTAGCTTGTAGAATACTCAATTGACTCTTTCACCCTTGAATCCGCCATTCCATAACTGTCCTGTAACGATTGACGATCCTACTAAGTCGGCCAATGGAGCTCACTCCCAAAACCTTGGGATTCAACCTAGCATGGCAGATCTACCACGGCAGCGCAACAGCAGCACTACTAGCACTGTCCTCCTTTTGACCAAACCCGCCTCCTCGGCAAGCAGGATGACAGAATGAACAAATGCACCCAGCCAGGTGCAGTCCGCACCACAAGCAGACACCAGATCCACCAGTTTCTCGCGCAATCCCTTCTAACCCAGGGGGTCGTCGTCCGCAGGGTTGGGATCCATCAGCGGCTGCACCGTAAACCGCACCTTGGCGGGTTTGTGGACGCAAAGGCAACGGTTGTTATGTACGGTAAGTAGTTTTACGCCAATATATTAGCTGCGAGAGGCAGCTTCTTGAGGTAAGAAACCAGGCCTCACGTATAAAGGCGAGTTGTCAATCCTGGGTGTGAACCGCGTAGGAGCCCGTTCAGTGTAGGAACGAGGAGGGGGTGTTGTGGAGGGTAGGGGGCCATGAGGAGACGAGGTGACCTTCTTTTAAAGAAGTAGAAGGTTCGACTTGGTTATAGATATTTCTCTTTGACGGTGGTGAAGTGGTGATTTTCCATGTTGAGGTTATGGGTGTCTATAGTGATATCCTCTATCTGGCTGCTACCCGTACTCGTGTTATCTGTCTTCGATTTGAAGACTAATTCGTCTTTTTGGGGATCTAATGCAAACCGGGAGCCCTCCTTCAAGACTACCTAAGCTACTCCACCATTGAAGTTCATGGCTGAGTTGCCACTTTCGGAGGTCTCATTAGGTCGCCACAGATAACATAAAATTTATGAGAAGCTACGTGATTTTTGGAAACCGAATACGTATAGGGTGAGAGCCAATCAAACTGATCAGGTACATTTGGGAGTTCAAAGGAACAGGGTTATCTTGACATGTGACACAGGAACAAATGGATCAACTGTCACGGTGATCATGTCCCGAGAGTATGGAAAGACGGAACTGTTCGCAAAAGCCTAAAATGCATATTTGATGCGGAGAAGGCCCGGCAATGTTAACGTGGGCCATCTTTTCTGTCATGCGGATGGTGGGCTAGTCAAGGTTTGGCCAAGGTTAGGATGATAAAAATAATGCAGACAATGCCATGAAATCACGAGTACGGCCGTTCCAGAAGTTGTAGGAATGCTGTGTGGCACAAACACAGTATACATCTCGCTAGGCCAAATGCTAGCCGGAAAGCTGACTTGGCGCTCAGACTTAGTTATTTCGGGTATCCTTTTCATGGGCTAAGTTTGCCCTGGCAGGACTCATCCTGTTATCTCTCATTTGTCGACTTAAAAGAGGGCAATAGCCTTAATACTGCCTATCTTCCCATATAAGTCGTGAAAGGAGGTCCTCGAGAATACCCCACAACGGTTGGATACTGGTACCTATATTGCGAAATGTCAGTAAGTCCTGAATAGAAAGGTAGCGAAGAACCGCCCAAGAACAAAAGTAGCAGCAACATAGCGTTATTGGTAATTCACATAGCAGCATGTATCTAATCAACAAGTCACTGCTATCCAACATTAGGTTCCAAGGTGGTACCGACCGTATCCAAGTTTACGATCACCCTCATAACGACGATCAATAACCCTGTTTTATATTCAGTTCTCAAAGCCACATACCTTTACGTCACTCTAGACCGGGATTCCCACTCATATTCTTGCTGAGAACCATCATCATCTCTACTATAGTAACTACGAGCACGAACACGAATGTCAATGACTCTCTCGCCACTAGTATCGCAAACCCTCTGTCAATCCGAACTCAAAGCCACTGCAATTACATCACTCACGTCCCGGACTCTCGCTTATGCCGATCCCCTCCCCCATTGCTGAGAACACCGTTACCATCTCTGCTACCTATAGTAGCACCGAGCACATGAAATGACGAAAATGAAACACAAGGACCATCTTCATCTTTACTATTACAAACTGTATACCCGAACCTTAAAGCTGGCTGCACTTACACCACGTGCACCACGTGAAACCAGGGGTGCAGGACGCCTGCTGGTGTTCCTGAGAGATCGTAGCCATGAATACTGGAACCTGTCACGCGCCCTCGAGGAAATCCCGCCGGCTTGGTATGCTGGTAGTAAGCCCGGCAGTGTGTTCTTGAGAGCGCGTGGCAGTTTACATGGAGTGCCATGATCGCTCTTTCTCAGAGCCTCTTCCAATCCATCACCTAAGTAGCCAATGAAGAAAAGAATATCCGTCATCATCAGACGTCATGGCTACTGCAGAACACCAAATCACCCGTTATGTCATGATAACTTCATACAGCATCTGTAAGGTGGATTATCATGTGCTATATCATGTGGCGTTTCACTCATTACTCGCATTACTAGCCTATATATATGATCTTTCCTTTGCGTCTCAACTTTAATAGGAATAGGCCGTTTTTGATCCTATTATCATATTCCCTACTGTGTGCTCTAAAACGTGACACATTGCGCTCCCTTTTGGACATACTAACCACCTCAACCAACTACCTCATTGCCAGACTCTCTTCGTCTTCGTCTTCCAGGTCAACGACTGACAACGGAGCCACAACAGGGCATACGAATGTTTGTTTTCAGATAGGTCCTAAGACGGAGGAGGCTCACAAGCGCGTCATCGCTGCTACGGCCTCCTTCGCGCCGTCCCTGTTATTGAAAGAAACTACGGCGAGCTCCAGGATACCTCGGGTTCTGTCCTGACCGTTCGGCCCAAATGGTCTTCTGCGGTTGTTCGTGACTTGAGCCATGTTGTTGAGGTGATCGGCTTGCAGATTGCCAGGGTGTGGATTTTCTGCGGCCTGGGGGAATGTGATTGAGTGTCGGTTGAAGGAGGATGTGTAGATTCTATGAGCAAGATTACCTAGACTAAGTGCAAGCTTTTGAACAAATCTTCTGTCTTCGATCTCGGAAACTTCTCTCCATAGTAATTATCACATAAAATCACAATTTTACCTCTCTAAAGCCTTACTTCGACCTGTCGCATCAAGGTCAGGATTAAGGGCACCAAGTAAGGTCTGGGAAAGTTTCGTGAAGGCCAACACCCCTCCGAGCCTTTTTGGTCAGCCAAAAAAGCCCATCCCATCATATAGTCCGTCTCTCAGGACATCCGGCACGTCGGGTTGCCCCTCCGGCTTCCATGTCAACATCTACCCTCGCTTCATGGAACCAAACAGCAACAAAATCTACATCGTAGCAAGTTCTGTTAGAAGTTGTGCATGGCATAGTATGAAAAGATCCATGGCATGTGTGCTTGATACCATGAAGTAGCGGCTGGTTCACTTGCATCACTTAGGTTGGTCTTTCGCGTCGGTAGCGACTGGACTGCTTTGGTTTTTATTGAGCGTATTATCTGTTCATAGCCAGATGATGCCAGGTCGAATACGCCCTCACTGTGCTACCCTGCATGAGTCTCATTATCATTATCTTCCGTATCGTCAGACGGAAGCACCATCGTTGAACGCCTTTTCCTTCTCGCTCTGCGTGCCCTTGACGCTTCCGGCGGTCCACTGTCGTATTTTCTTGCCCCAGAAGTAGAACACCGGCAGTCCAAGAGATAGGACGATGAGGGCCTCGGCGTAGAGCGCAAAGGTCGCCATCGGGCCCTTCTCAGCGATCCAGACGGTGGCCTTGGAGGCGAGGAAGAAGGCGATGACGATGCGTAGCGAGGAGACGTTGACGAGAACGGGACTGCCGCTGAATGTCAGTACAGGGAAACGAAATTGTGCTATGAAGGCGTCAACTTACCCTGCCCATTGTGGATAGCTCTCAACGATGAAGACGTTGAGGATGGTCATTAGAGTCAAAAAGGCGAAGACGATCAGGAACGATCCAAAGAGGAGCACTCCCCAATGTAAATTTTGCTCACCGGCAGTTCCGAAGACGAAGCAGCCTGCCACACCAGAAACAATGGGTAGAATCAAGTTGGCGAGATGATGCTCCGGTTCTCGGCTCCCGCCTTGCCATTTCGTCACCGCGTTGGAGATCTTGTCGGCCACGGGGCCACCAAAGACATAGACGAGAGCCGACGCAAGGAAGAACGGTAGCACGGTAAGACCGGTCCACTGGAACTCCCAGCCCTGAGCCAGCAACGCAAAGGGCGTGATTTGCGACGAGGCCTGGTTCATGACGATGCCAGCGGTGTTGAGGAAGACAGCCCAGATGACGACGGGGAAATAGGTCGATCGAAGGGCATCGAGCATGGACTTGGCGGCAGCCTTCAGCTCGAATCCGTTCTGGAAGACACCGATGTTGGTCCAGACCGTGCGTGGGGTGTAGGCCATATAGTCGATCTGAGGACGGTTCTGGCCAGGCTTGAGAGAGTAAACGGTTTGGCCGCCTGTAAAGTACCAATCAGCTGGAGTTTCCTGCCTAAGGGGTGGCCGCGACACTTACTGAGCTCCTCCTGGGACCTCGTCCATCGAGTCTCGGGGACGAAAGCGATGACGACGCCCCATGCAACAATGCCCAGACCGGATGTGATGTAGTACATCCATCTCCATGTGTAGTTGGACGAAATCCACGGAGCCAAAACACCCAGCGCGATGATGATGATTCCCTGACTGGAAATAACGGCCGACATGGCTTTGTTCCTCTGGTGAATGAAGACCAGGTCCTGGACAATCAGCGGGATGAGCGCTTCTACCGCGCCGGCCCCCAGGCCCATGATGGCTCTCGCAATCAAGTGCTGATGGAGGCTGGTGCTGAAGGCGGCGAACAGGCCGCCAGCCCACGCGGCCGTCGCGGCGAAGATGAGTACGGGGCGACGGCCGATCCAGATGGAGGTCGGCACAAGGAAGTAGCTGGCGATGCCGTTCGCAATGAGGGGTATTGTGGCCAGCATGCTGACCTCCTCGAGCGAGGCGGGCACCACGCCGGGGGGCACAACGGACAAGGGGTTGATGTTGAGGCCGCTGCCGCCGCTCTGGGCCTTGAAGTCGATGCTGTTGAGGATACGCGGGTCGACTCCCGAGTATTCGAGGATGAAGACGGGGAGCAGACCGCCGATGACGATTTCCGCGGACAAGGCGAGGGCGCCGACTAGATGAGACGTTAGCCAGCAAGCGACGAGGGCGAGGTTGGAATGAGGTCTTACAGAAACAGAGCGCACCGATTGCCGTCCATTTACGCCATGCGGGGAGGTTCAAAGGGTCTATATTGACGTGTCAATACTTGTAATTTGCACAAGATTCATACGAGTTCTTGGCGAGACTCACCTTTGGGGTCAGGCGTTGGCATCTAAGAAGGAAGAGAGTAAGGGTGAGCAAGAGTCCAGTGACGGGCATCTTCACAGCGGCGCGCAAGACTTACGGGAATCAATCTCAACTTGCCATCCACATAAAGATTTGTCGTACCGACGACCAGCGTCTCGCTCTTTACCAAATCTTCATCGTCTTCAAACTCGGACACGGCCGCGGTGGAAACGCGCCTCGGACCAGCCTGCTCTTCCTGGAGCGGCCAGCGATTGTTCGTCGCCATATTTGCCGTTTGCCTGTGGTGATTGGAGTAAAGCAATAGTGCAGTCCCGACCTCCCAAGCCCAAGAGCAGCTCGTCTTTACCGCCGGACGTCGCCGCAGCCTTATACTGGACCAAACATGCCCCCCCTGTGTGTAATGGAGATCTAAGGATAAGCAAAGGATGCTCTGCCACGACAGGCTCGTAAAACGTCTACGGCTGTTCAGGGGGAAACATGGATGGGGCTACAGGAAACAGGGGAGGGTAAGAAGCAAGGGAGGAATGGAGAAAACCAGGGGGGTGTCTGGAGAGACAGTGGAATGTTCCGAGAACTGTCAAGCGTTAACAGAGTATCCGTACGGGACTATTAACAGAGGGGAAAGAGAGAGAGAAAAGGGGAAAGTTGAGGCTCGCAGGAGCAAATCCACTAGGGAGGGCAGCCCTGCATGCGATGTTATCATCTGCACGAGTTGGGATCTTCGAATAGAAGACGTAATTTGAGAGTGCCCATTGCGCCGTCCCATCGGCCCGTCAGAAGAAACCGTCAGCGGCAGGACGCTCGCGACGATGATGGGTACCTCTGATGTAGGAGACAAAGGCTGCCAACAATTAGCTGGACAGGCCCCTTCGCCCTATCATGTTTTCTTTAGCGTTGCGTACCGTGAGGGACCTTTCGAGGAGACTACCGCCTTGGTCTCGTATCCCCTGTTACCAGAAAGCACGAGCGTGGCATGTTTCCTGCTGCGTGACAAACATTCATCACGGCGGAACCATGTTCGAGGGGCGTTTTAACCGTGTCTCCACCTCCAGAGACCAGCTGTCTGTAACACTATTGCCTTTCGGCAGTTGCAATGGGAATGAGGTCGACTGATGCGGGATGCTCTGAGTGACGGTTTGAGTTGAGGCGGGGCCGCCGTGGCCGTGGGGGTGAATAGGACTAATTCGCCGACGAGAACATGGAGACTGGGTTTCCTTTGGGAGAATACCTACCTAAAGGGTTGGAGGGGATCTCAAGGAGGGGCATTTGTACCGGAATGCGACATGGGGTATGCGGCACGGAAACGGTTTGATCGGCGTGGTCTTGCACGAGCCAGAGATATACCCTGCTCGCTTCCATTCATTCCAGATTGATTCTTTGCTTCTGCGCCTCCTGAGAGAGAGAGAGAGAGAGAGAGAGAGAGAGAGAGAGAGAGAGAGAGCGTGGGAGCGTGTGCCTGCGCCCCCCGTATGAAGCAGTTATAGCCGCCGAGTCCAGGCAAAACAGCATCTCATCATGTCGGTGCCGCGATGCCGAACTTGGGACTGTAAATCGATCTCTGCCGTCTATTCAAAATAAGAGAATGAGCACCGATGACCGGACCGTGTTACCAATGGCGCACAGAAAGAGGCAGATAAAGATGGAAATAGAGATTGGGATAGGAGAGAGAGAGAGAGAGAGAGAGAGCTCTTGGGAGGTCATCTGCCATCATGGTTATGAGCCTCACCCCTAGCAACGCCGTTTGCATCGTGGATTTGAGACCATCGCCTCCGTACTTGGAATGCAAAAACCAAATGGCTGTACGTGTACGTCGGCCAGCGGTTACTATGTGACTAAGGCTCTTCGTGACCCGAATCATGAAGGTGGCACCACCATCCTGTCACAGAACTAACCCCCGGTCCAAGTGCCTCGTCGCCGTACGGGCCCTCAGTGACACCCCTCGAGACGTTTTGAACGCTAAATGTTAGGTAATCCCGGTTTTTCCTTTTTTCACCCACCTCCCTCGTTCTATTACAGCGCACGGGCAATGATGCGACGATGTGCCGGACGCCGTGCTGCGAAGATGAGCGCCACGCACGATGTAGGTATGGATGGTGATGACAAGAATCGTTGATAATAGCAACGCCAAGTGATATTCCAACACGCTGAGACGGTCACATTCTGAACAAACCGAAACCTAGGGCTGACGAAGCCACCACCGGTAAAGACAATCAATGATGGACATCTGGATAGACAGAGAACCTCGTCAGCTCTCACGTCCCAACGCATCGTCGTCGTCATGCCCCCCCTCCCTCCGTGACCCGTCTGAACTCCTCAAATGTCAGTCTCCAACCACTGGTTTGTCTGATCTCTTCAAACTGAACCATGACTTGCTGCCAGCGCCGCACGTTCCGGTTTTGGCAATGCAGCAGCATGTCTTGCGTCCCTTTTTTAGCCGAGCCCGCACTACCAACCGGTCGAAGCCATGTTCCCCTTCTCTCCATAGTTCTTGGTTTCCTCCCACTCTTCTCCATAGGGGCTGTTGGCCGTTGGCTGGGGGCCCCGGTCCTGGAGCTCAGCCGTGATCTTCGCCGGTCGGCGTTCCCCATGTATCATCGGTCAAGTCTGATGTTTCTTACCCCCCCTTTTCAGATGATGCCCGGCCATGATTAACCGGCTCTCTGCTCATCTACCGGTATCGTAGTGGGAGATCGTCGCCCACTTGCCGATGTGGTGTTCCGGGTCGTTTCCTTGTGTGCTTGATCGTCGCCGTCCCCACCATAGACAGACAATTGCAGTGCGTTCTGGAGGACTGATATCAACTTATAAAAAGTAAACGTCCTGTGAGGTACGACGCAGGATCTGCAGAGATGCAGATCCAGTGCTGATTCACTGCTGAACAAGCAAGCGGTGGTCCACCAAGTTGATAACTGTTGGAAGTGGACATATAGATACACAACCCAAGTATGAAATCGACATCTTATCACAATGTCGCTTCCAAGAGTCGAACTGTTTGCTGCATCTAAAATACATTCGTCATGCCAAGTTTTGCCAACCCAATCGGCCGTCTCATTTCTCTAACATTACCACGACTCGTTTGTCAACATCCCGACCCGTTGCTGGAAAGACCCTCTCGAGATAAAAAAAAATAAGATAAAGAATAAAAATAAAGAAAGAACGCCATGCTCAGCAGTGTTATCCCATGCGAACAACATCATCTGCCTCTCCTGACTGACTATCATTGCTGACCGGACCCCGGCCGCCTCTACTCCTTAGTCTAGGTCATTGGTACCCAATACTCTCGCGAGCAGGACATAGAAGAAGATGACACCACCAGCGACGAGGAGCTTGTTCTGGTTAAGCCAGCCTCGGCCGGCATCCCGCTGCTGCACGACAGCATCGACGACGGCCTGAGCCTGATGGGCGCTGCCATTGCCGATGCCGAGCTGGGGTCCGCACGAGGCGGCTGCGGCGCCGCCAATCTTGTTCCCTGTGGCCATGTCGACCTTGTTTTCCTTCATCCACTCCCAGTTGGCCTTGTCGACCTCGGGCCATTCGGATCGGAACTTGGCGCCGCCGTCGCCGGCCTTGACGTTGCCCTTTTGTGCAGGGTTCGACTTGGCGTGGGAACCGCCACCGGTTGAGTTCCACCATCTCGTCCGCGCCGCCAACATCTTGCGCTCAGCCTCGGTGCTTGAGACGGAGCCGGTGGTCATCTCTTCGCTCGTCATGAAGGAAAGAAGACCTATCAGGATGGTCGAGACCTCCCAAGCGGGGTTGAAGGATTTAGGGTGGAAGTCGGAGATGGAGAGGCATAGTCGGGTCGATGGCTGAAAACGGCCGGACGGGGTGTGCATTCGGATGGCCGGGGGTGCGAAGGGGTAGTTGGGAGGGAAGACAAGTGTGCCCCAGTACTGTCCGTTGTGATACGGTGTGTTCTCGGGACCAGTGATGATGTAGTGCCATCTATTCCGAGTCAGCTTTGTGAAGATGCGATAGGGATATACGATAGACATACTCGAGGATGTTGGAGTCGGAAGGATGGGCTTCAATGTACGGTGGAGGGTTCTCGGCGATGGTCTTGTATTCGCGCGTCAACTGCGAAAGAGGTCAGTTAGTCAGTACATGAAACAGAAAGGACAGGAGAGCAAAAGAATGATTTCACCATACCCTCTTCTGCGCGGCCTTGCTGGCTGCCATGATTATCAAAGTTGGAGGGAGGGGTTTTGACTCAAGTCGTGCGATTCCCGGTTTGGGGAGGGGGGATGACGAACGACGTAATCGTCAAAGAGAGAACGAACGTGGCAGCTGATGGAATCGTGCGAGCGGCAGTAAACGAGTGTCGAAGGAGTATGAAGTGCCCTAGTGGATGAATGTCTGTTCGTTCGGTTGGGCTGGGGCTACTTAGTTCGAGTTGGCGGGATGGAAGAGGATGATGAAGTGCGACGGCAATAAACACACAAACACACTCCACGAACACGAGCAGAGGCAGTGAGTGGGAGGTGGAGGACAGGTTGGTTGGGAAATGCGGCGAGGCTGCAGTCGGCCGGCTAGTGCCCCATACGCTCGCTGTCGAAGCCTAAAGGAAAGGCGTCCCCAGACATCGGCGAGGTCTAGGTACTACCTACTTACTTGGGTACTGCCTCCTTACCAGGATGTGCAGTGTATCTATCTATCCAGGTAGGTACCGTCTACTTTGCCCGTACCTTGCTTGGTGAGGTGCCCACGTACCTGTGGCGCTAATCTAGAAATAGATATGACTCCGCAACATTATGTCACCAGTACGTACCTTCAGACACCAGCCACAGTGATTCCACCTTCACAAGTCGAGCTAGAGAGTCAGTGTGGCTGGAGCTGCCCAGATTCTCTCCACTCTCCACTCCTCGGCCAGCCCCGGTTCGTTCCCTTGTTGCGCGTTCCGTTCCGTGCTGCATCTCGAAATCAACCGAAGCCTGTCGGAAACTGCGATTTTTTCTTGCCAATTCGCGCGCTTCCAGTTCCCTTCTCCTTCGCACTGCTTACACAACGGCTTGCTTGCAATGGCCTCGCAACCGAGCTTGAGCGGGAACTCCGTGAGTCCCATTCTCCATCCTGTAAATTGCTTCTGTTGATGCTCCCGGTAGCTAACCAAGAATATTCCCACTCTCCCCAGGCCTCCAACCCGATCGGCAAGCTTCAAACTGGACCGGATGCGCTGCGAAAGGAGGCCGAGTCCTCGGACGAGTTCGAGAAGCTGCAGGAGGAGGCCAAGATCCGGAGGCTACAAGCATTGGCAAGCTCCGAACCTCTTTCCCGCAACCTCGGCGCTTCTGCTAACACCCATAGTAGCTAGCGGAGCAAAACTCCCAGCCCATGACCATCAACCGTCTCCAGGTTCACGGCGCTACCAACACCAGACGAGGCTTCCTCGACCCCATCTTCCAGCCGTTGTTGGCCGAGGACGTCAACGCCAACTCCACCCTTGGCCAAGTTGCCGCTCGTCTGGGCGAGGCCAGGGGAAAGCTCGAAAGACTGGGTACGGGCGACTCTGAAATCCGAGATCCGAGATCCAACACAGAGCTCGAGCTGACCTGAACAGGCATCTTTCACCCCGATCCCAAGGTTCATCTGAACGGCTCGAACCAGACCGACCCTTCGTCCACCCCGACCGATGTCGACGTAGACGTCGTCGTCAAGGAGCTTCCCCGCTACAAGTTCAACGCTGGAACCGATGTCGGAAACAGCGAGGGTTCCGCATTCACCTCTCTGCTCTGGCGCAACATTTTTGGCGGTGCCGAGCAGCTCACTGTCAACGCCAGCGCCGGCACAAGAACCCGTTCCGCCTACAGCGCCACGCTCAGCGCGCCAGTCAAGAGCAACCCTGATACGAGAATTGCCCTCGAGGGATTGGCCTCGGCGACCGACAAGTCATGGGCAGCTCACGAGGAGGTCCTGAAGGGCGGCAACCTGCGCTTCTCTTGGCTGTCGGGTCCCAAGGATATGCACTCCCTCGAGTACTCGGGCATCTGGCGTCAGGTCACCGGCCTGCGTGACGGCGCCAGCCCCACAGTCCGCGCCGATGCGGGCGATTCCGTCAAGAGCTCCATCAAGCACACATACCAGCGCGATGAGAGAGACAACCCGCAACTGCCGCAAAGCGGCTATGTTCTGAAGTCCGTCTCCGAGCTGGCCGGCTTCGGCCCTCTGGGCGGTGATGTCGCCTTCTCCAAGAACGAGGTGGAAATTGGTGGCGCCGTGCCCATCCCCATCCCCGGCGTCGACGGACCCTCTGGCATCTCTATCGGCGGAGGTCTCCGATTCGGCATGCTCTACCCTATCCCTCTTGGTTTCTCCTCGGGGGGCAAGGCCCAGCCCAGCCGCATCAACGATAGGTTCCAACTTGGCGGTCCCACCGATGTCCGCGGTTTCCAATACGGTGGCCTCGGGCCTCACGACGGACCGGATTCCGTCGGCGGAGATGTTTTCGCGGCCGGCAGCGTGAACATGCTCTTTCCTCTGCCCTACAAGGGCCCCGACTCTGCCCTCCGCTTCCAAGTATTTGCCAATGGTGGCAGACTCGTCGCAATGAAGAGCAAGGCCAAGGGTGACGACGAGTCGCCCAAGGGCCTCGATGCCGGGAGCGTCGCCAACAGCGCGTGGAAAGCACTGAACGACCTCGCCACAGGTCTGCCGTCGACTGCCGCCGGTGTCGGTCTTGTTTACGCCCACCCCGTTGCCCGTTTCGAGCTCAACTTCAGTCTTCCGTTGGTGCTGAGACGCGGCGAGCAGGGCACCAAGGGATTCCAGGTTGGTGTCGGCATCAACTTCCTGTAGAAACACCCAGTCCCTCTCATTCCCTGTAATATCTATTGTGTTAGCGCACAGCAAAGCCTCCAAAAAGCCAATCTTGTACAACCAGACCATTATAGATGCTCCCATTCCAGAGTTTAATTGCATCGAAGCCATGCCATATCGTCAGCACAGCAGAGGGTCCGTCTTTGCTCACCAGCCCATACGCAAACTGGATCATATCTTTGCTGGCGCCTCTTACCCATCCGCGGCTGACTCTTGTTTGGTTCGCCAAGCCAGCGTGAGCGGGCTGGCATTCCCGGCGAGAGGTTATCAGTTTATCAAGGAATCTTAGGAAAGCATCAGAGTATCCCTGCAGCGGTCTCCAGTGGGACAACACTTCCTCAATAGGGAGGCGTACCAAGCCACGGGCTACTTGGGCGTTTCTGCACGATGTTACATGGTTCCCCTCACCCCGCCTTCTGTGCAAGACCCATGATATACCGACTAGTGCTTACTACATAGTAACACCCTGCTGAGAACTGCATCGAAGGCGGTAAACTGTCTGTTAGTTCCATATCACGCACATTCCGTGACTGGCGCGAGCTTGGTTCAGTAACAAAACTCAGTGTCCGCGCTGCATCTGGTATAGTGTAGCATCGATGTAACCATCGCGACAGTACATATAGTTCCATGCCGCCCATTGACATGCCCGACGGCTTAGCAGCTTCTGATCGCCGTCTGTCCTCCTCTCAGTCAGGATGAAGCTGTCCTTGTCCCTACAGTTGCTGGTCGTGGCAGTCTCTGCCCTCACAACAAGGGTGCCCAACGTCGCCGATGAAATTAAAGCCCGCCTCTCACCATCGTCCTCGGTGGCGGTTGACCTTCGGGCAAGATGGAGTGCCTTCAATGCGCCGGTCCCGGCCATCGTGGTTAATGTGACTACAGAGAAGGACGTTGCCGCTGTGGTAAGCCGCTTTCCTGAGACTAGAACTCACCGAACCCCGTTGCTGACATCCAGCTATAGGTTAAGTACTGCACCAAGCGTAGCATCCCGTTCACCGCCCAGAACGGCGGCAACGGCTGGGGGAAGACCTTCAACCTTGGCACCAACGGCGTCCTCATCAACCTGGCTGGCTTAAACGCTGTGACCTTCAGCAAAAGCAAGACAGAGGCAACCATTGGCGGCGGTGTCATCATCGGCGATGCGATCAAAGCAGCGAATGCTGCCGGAGTCCTGGTCCCTACCGGCAACTGCAACTGCGTGGGCACCCTTGGCGCCATCCTCGGCGGTGGTTACGGTGCGTCAGACTCGGCGTCTTGTCCCTACACCGACACCACAGACTAAAGCGCTCCTAGGTAGTCTCATGGGCGAAGTGGGCTTCGGAGTCGACAACGTGCTCTCGATGCGCGTCGTCATCGCAAGCGGAGAGTTCTTCACTGTCTCGCCGACTTCCTGCCCTGACCTCTTCTGGGCTTTTCGTGGTGCCGGCCCCAACTTTGGCATTGTCACATCCGCCACGGTCAGAGCCTTACCCACGTCGACCCAGGAGCGTACCGCATGGACCATGAACCTGGTCTTCTCGCCAGGACAGCTCACGCAGGTCGCACAAGCGATCCAGGACCTGCCCCTGAAGCCCGAACAGTTTGTCTTCCTCATCCTCACGAACACGGGCCCACCATCCAACGCGCCCGCTGTTGTCGTCACGGGATTCCTTAGGAAGGGCACAGAGGAGACCGGCCGCGCCGCCTTCGCGCCGCTGTACGCCCTCGGCCCGACTGCCAACAGCAGCGGCGTGGCCGGGTACGAGGCCTGGAACACGGCCAACGATGCGTTTTGCGCGCGCGGCGACAGGAAGCCGGGGTTCAGCACGACCATCAACCACATGCAGCCCGAGAAGTGGCCGGCGATCTGGGACATGTACACCAAGTTCCAGGCAAAGGCGCCGAACTCGGCCATGCTCATCGAGCGCTACAATCTGACAAAGGCCCGGGCCGCCCCCAAGGGCTCGGCGGCCCTGCAGGAGGCTCTGAGGAGGGACGCCTTTGCGCAGGCGATTGTGATCCCGTGGTACACGGACGCTGCGCTGGACGCGGAGGCGCTGGATTTCGGGCGCAAGGTGCGAGATATTTGGAGTTACACCGAGACGGCGACGAAGAACCCTACGTACGTCAACTTCGCCCACGGAGACGAGATGGCCGAGGCGATTTACGGGTCGAGCCTATCCAAGTTGCGGCAGCTGAAGAAGACGTGGGATCCTTTGGGCGTGTTTAATCAGTGGTTCAAGGTCGGGGCATAGTCTTGTATCACGTCAACAAGAACTCGATCTCCAAAACAGACCTCAGTACTGAGATGCTAAACACATAATGCATTCACGGTAAAAAGACGGCGTCAACTGAATCATCCCGTTCGGGAAGTCAAAACGTAAGAAAGATTGGAATGAGAAACGTCGGCCTTTTCAATAAAACGTCATATCTAAGCCAAGGTAGCACTTTTGAAGGGCAGAAAATTCGCTTCATTTACTGTGACAATCATGCTGACAGCTAATTTGACGCAAAGTTCTCTACGTCCAGGTCGGCTTGCGATAGAATCCCAAGCTCTCGAGCATGGGTATGTCGTCAAACCGATAAAAGTATGCCGCAGCTTCGACCTCCTCGTCCGCAGTGCGCTGGAAAGAATACCACGAGGGAATACAAAACGTGTCACCTTTGTTCCAAACAAGTGTCTTTTCTCCGATTTTAGTCTGACCGAAGCCCTCAATGACATGCTATATATAGATGATGCAGTCTCCTGAACTTGAGGTGACTGTGTGCCAGGGTTCAAGTGTGTTGCGCAGCCCCCGAGAACCTTGCTGATTATATAGGTGAACGGGAATTAGCCAACGTGGTAGTAGATTTGGCGCCATTTCATGTACTAACCTTCTAAGCTATCTGTACGTAGATATCTTTTTGTAGTATAATGGCCTTTCTAGGAGTCTAATGCTGCTTTCGTTCTACACCAAGGGAAGACGGTTGGTGACTGAGACGTATCAACATCCTCTGCGGGATACCGCGGAGATGAGTAGTGCTCCACGAAATGAACGGGAAAGTGAGTGAAGTTAGGCAAATATAAGCCGTCGAGCCAGATCATCGGGCCGGATCCGTCTTTTCCATGATCATGCCCATTCCAGCTTGGAGTTAACAAGACATCTCCACGGGTCATCTGGATGCGCTTGCCATGGACTGCAGTGAAGCCGCCAATGCCTTCAATGATGAAGCGCATAGCAAAGGCAGTATGACGGTGAGCTTTGGCCGTCTCGTTGGGCATAACTAGCTGCAGCCCAGCGTACAGGGTATCTGTGGTGTAAGACGCGTCTGATGTCTCCGGTTAGACGACCGTCTTATTATTTTCAAATCTCAGCTTTGGTGGTCATAACGCACCCCTTGATGGATTCACAAACATCAAAACCCTACGCTCGGCCTGTTGCTCCGATACAAGGCGGCCCGCCTGTAAGAGTGCCGGCTTAATATCCGAGTACTTCCAGACATGGGGCGTGCATCGCGGATTGGGCAGAGGCGGGTTAAATCTGCTCATTTCCAGCCAAAGAGGCTTTGTGTGGCTAGCCGTCGCCGCCTGCAACAAGTGAGAAGTCTCATCGCTGACTGCTTTAGTTTGGTTGGAGGTTTTGGTAATGGTTGTACAAGGGCATAGCTACGAACTGTGTTCAGCGATGGAAATGCGCTGACAGGTCAAGGTTGGGTTGCCAAATGTCTGAAGGATGCCTCTGTTTTCTTTTTCTTTTTTCTTCTTCTTTTTTTTGTAGAATATAGAATATTATTCAATACGGCGTTCTGAAGATCAGTTCATGGGCTTGATGAAGCTGCGCACAGATCCTACTGTTGGTTAGGTTCTGGTGGCGTTCCAAATTTAGATTTGGATATATAGCCAATTGACAGCTCCAATAATAAGCCGTCAAAGCAGCAACGACTCCCAGACGTGTCGGGGAGTTAAGGCTTTCGCCGATGCGATATAGCCAAACACTACGGCCAGGGATAGACCAATACGCCGATCAACTGAGAACGGAATAACAGCCCATTCATCGGTTCTCTCAAATCTCCTAAGCCCCCGCTTTCTCCTTTTCACTCAACCCCGGGGACTTGATTGTATCTCTTTCTAAATCCCCGCTACTAATTACCACTCTTTGTTTTATCGTACGACAACCTAGAGGTAGGCGAAAGGGTTTCCGATGGAGCACAGTATGCCCGGGTCATCAGACGCCACAACTCGGAAGCGGAAGCGCATCCCGATCGCTTGTAATTCGTGTCGTGTCCGGAAGTCAAGAGTGAGTACCAGGCTACAGGATTCCTGCTTGGTCTCTCCTAGTCCGCCAACTTGCCGTATCTGGGTGATATCGGGAGGCTGATTCGACTGGCATGGAAACAGTGTGATGGTGCTAGGCCACAATGCTCTACTTGTGTCGAACAAGGGTTAGATTGCGTCTACGCGGCCAACTCGGGAGCAAGTAACGCCCTGGTTCCGAAACAGTACGTTGCTGCTGTTTACGTCTTAGAATAATCGATTCGGTGCGTGTCTGACTAGGTGACTAGATATCTCGAGCAAGTTGAACTCCGTTTGGCAGATGTTGAAGAGGAAATAAGTCGACTAAAACGGCTCATCCCACACTCATTTTCCGACGAAAAGCAGCATGCCACTGTGTCACACAGAAACTCGTGCCGCGCCGATGACTGTTCGGAAAGCGCACAGGCGGGGGAGTCTTTGAACGCCGAAAATAGAAGCATCACTGGCATAACTCCTGACACAACTGACGGTGTCGGCACAATCGAGTTCACCACTGATGAGAGCTGGGCATATTTTGGTATGGCCGTAACACACTCTGGGTTTCCGGGTTTCCAGCCGTCAGGTCCTTCCACATATACTGATTGATTGATGTTTCTAGGACCCTCTTCCAATATTGCCTTTATGAGGATCATCCGCCGCACACTGGACCACTTGCTTCGCCAGACACAACGGACACAAGAAGGAGTGACTTCCTCTACGCCATTACAAAATACCGAACAACATGTACTCGCTGTGTCAAGGTCGCAGTCGCCGATTGACGACTCGTTCGATCCGAGAAAACTGGAAACGGCTTCAGAAGCCTCTCGCTTGCCACCCGAAGATGAGGTTATCCGTCTTGTCCGCCAATACTTCGGCGATGCAGGAATTCTCTTTCCCTACATCCACGAAGAGAGTTTCTGGAAGGCATTCGCGTACTATCGATCTATCGGGATGCGCAATGCAAGGCACTCATGGCTTGCTTTGTTGAACATTATTATTGCCGTAGCTCACAGCACTACGAGCTCGGCCAATATTGGTTTGGGCGATAGACAAGCTATCTCGGATGTTCACTACCGGAGGGCCAAGTCTCTTTTTATGACTGAAATGATGACGGGATCTAATCTTGAATCAGGTATTATTGCATCACGTATCTCCCTGTGCTTTTCAGAAGAAATGAAAATGGTTTTGCATCATGCATACGGTGCAGGACAGACTTGAAAACAAGCCATGGTCTAATTTGTTTACAGTACAGGCTATGCTCCTGATGTCACAATACCTGCAAGGTAGCCAGAGATCTGTTCAGACATGGTCTATTCATGGACTTGCCGTTAAAGCTGCGCTGGAGTTGGGATTCCATTCAGAACTAGCCCTCCAAAGATTCGAGCCGCTCGAACGAGAAACGAGAATACGAACGTGGTATGGATGTATTTTACTAGACAGGTTCGTTTACTTGAATTATCTATTCTGCCCACCTCTCTTCTCTGACACGATCGCAGAACACTTAGTATGACGTTCGGCCGCCCGCCCATCATCCCGCAGCATATGATCCGTATTCCTCTACCGCAGCATTTTATCTCGTATCCTAAAGTACCTAGCATCTCTAGGTGGTCCCGTGAAGAAGACAGCACCCTGTTTTGGAATGCCTCCATGTCCGTCATTAGTCCAGCCATCTTGTCTCATACACATGCTGATGGATAATTCATCAGAACTCTTTACGGGGTTACCGCTGCCGTTATTGAAAACCTTTACGAGAGCAACGTTGGGTCGACTTCAGCAGTTTCCGTAACCCATATTGTGTCTTCTGTAATCCATATCGGACAGAAGCTGGGCGATTGGCAAGCTTCTTTGCCTTTGTCGATGCGACTGGTAGAACCGAGTGAGGTGGCCAATCCTGATGCAAAGCCGGTGCAACTGAAGCTTCGAGTCGTATTGACACTGAGGCATCACAACCTTCAGATCCTTTTACATCGGCCTATCCTGGACCGCTGTTTACAGGCATTGGATGGAGGTACTAAGTCCACACAGGAAGCAGCAACCCTAGAGCAAGCTTGGCATCTAAGCAAAACTGTGTGCCTTCGATCTGCAGAAGCAACTATCCGTTTAGTGGAGGCGTGCAAGCTGGCAAACGATGCACAGCCAACTTTCTCTTTCCTTGGAGCTTGGTGGTTTACCTTATATTTTAGTAAGTCTGACCCAACTTTCTGCATGATTGTTACTAACTGGTTTGATAGCTTTCAATGCCTCCCTGACGATTATTGCGCTGAAGCTCATAGAAGACAGCTATGCTTCCACCCCTTATAACCACTCCTATGCGGGAACAGTAGCAAAGCTGGAAGAAACACTGAAGAGCGCTGTCAGTTGTATCGCACGCATAGATACCAAAAACCCAACGGTCGAAAAGTGCGCAAAGTTTACCGCGACCCTGATTTTGACGGTACAAAGCTTACATATGGGTAAGTCTAGTCATAGTTGACCAAACATTAGTACATACTGATGGCTAATGAATAATCAAAATTCCCAGGGCGTGATGACGCCAACGTATTGTCATCAAGTACAACAACCATCACTGATGAGAATGGGGTAAATCAAAACACGCAGATACTGAACAATGGTGGGTTGGACGAAGCATTTTCCGACTTGGTCAATTACCTTCCACAGAATTTCAACGACTTCTCCGCCGCCAGCGCGCCATTCGCTATGTCCGAGTTGATGAATGATTCTTCTACTGGCGATCTGTTCTGGTAGACTTCAAACGATTTGATGTACATGCAATGGACGCCTACTAGATGGCCTGCAAAGAGTTCTACTTGTTGTAAATACGTGCTGAGGGAACCGGTTCGTAAAATATCTCGGATGGTATCACTTAAAAGAGAACAGTTGATTTCCGAAATCATTCGTCCGCATTCCTCTTGTCACTGTATCGCATGGGCTGGTGGACGAACCGTCGTTTAATTGCTCGGCTTTTTCATGAAGTCGTCTGGTAGCGTTCGGGAGTGCTCACATGCGGAGTAGAGAAGCTCTGATTAGAGGTGCGAATAATCAATATGTTGCTTTGACTGGACTGACAGCAAGCAACGCCATTACCATCCTCAACGCCGACGGCTTTCGGTGCCTTTTGACATTTCAACGTTTTTCCCATCCTGTATCAAGGTTCGTTTCTCGAACTATCATAATCAAGTTTGAAACAAAGTGGAGTGGAGAGCTGCATATTTCATTTTGGTTCTGGTTTATCTACGAGATGATCTCATTGTGCCAGGTTGGGTCTGGTCGGACACCGCCGACCGCGTGAGTCGCACGCTTCCATTGTTCCAACATTGTTTCCTCTGCATCATAAGCATAAGCCCATTCTTGTGTCACAGGGTCGGACCACTGGTTCGGGCTGGAAGCGAACTTGCGACCATGTACTTCGGGTTTCATCGCGGCATCTCTGGCTCGCTGCTCAGGTCCATCCTTGAAGTGCAACAGCAAAGCGTTGATCATGTTCGCCTCTTGCATCATGGAGGTCCTTGTCTTGCGTTCCTTTTGGAAAATTTCAAATGCAAGTCGCAGCTGCCCCACGGCTTGAGACACTGCGAAGAGCCACTGCCAGAGCAGCGCCATCCTCGACTGCCATGGCTGCACCCTGTGACGTGTAAGGTAACATAGCATGAGCTGCATCGCCGAGAATCACCAAACGGCCAGATTCTGCCACCCAGTTCTCCAGAGACGTCCCCGCCATCAAGGGCCACTTGACGGTAGTATCGATCAAGTCAATGCTTTTAGTGAGTCTGTTACAAGCTCAACAAAAGTCAACGGCGAAGTGAGACAGAAAGAGAGGACAAGTGATCTAGTCTTTGATTGTGCCTATATTATCTCGTATCTCCCCTTCGGAACGACACTACAAAAGGGTTCAGTCATTATGACGGGAACTCCAGGTGGTAAGATTTGGAAATAAGTAAATTAGTTGAAGATACTGCAGCTAATAAAACATCTCTTGTAGGAGTTAGTGCCGGTTGTAATCCACCACGTTGGCTTGCACCTGGGACGCAGATAGAAGTTAGCATCACTAAAATCGATACACTGAGAAAACCGGCGCCAAGTTTGCATAGGATATAAGCTAGGACAAAGGGTGAACTTGACTGACAGAGAAACGCTTGACTACAATATGTCTGGCGGAGTATTTAGTTGTTTATCACTCATATGACATGCAAGATCAAGTGAGGTTTGAATACTTCTCAATAGCGTCATGTTTGCACTTGACACATGGGATTTAATGAGATCTTTGTTCTTCATTACCAAATTCGAACGCCAATCATTATTTCAATGAACAGCAAACTTAGAAGTATTGGGAGTTGATCATTGCTTCTCTTACACCATCCTTATGTACTACAGAACCCCGTCTACCAAACCTCCCACTTTGTGTGCTTGCCAATGGCACATAGTCGGTTGAATAGTGCATCCCTGTAGGGAAGAGCAGTCACAACAAAATGGTTTCCCTCTCGATCAACAATCCTCAAACTGTCGTAGATCTGTCCATCCACTGCCCAACCTGAAGCGAGTTTGGCCTTCATGCCATAGCCGGAGTGCTTCCTGAGTTGGGTGATGCTGTCGATATTGATAGTCCAAACTGTGTTGGGATTATCCTCGGTGATGGAATTCTTATTGAACATCACAAACCCAGCAGCCGCGTTGACATAGACAAAGCCCTTTGCCCCTTCATAGCGGGCGCTGAATTCCACAGGTCCGATAGTTTGCTCCTCATCCTTAGATGATGGCAAAGCACCGACACGCGTCTTTGCATTCTTGGAGCCGGCCTTGGCTCTTATTTTGTCAACAGTGCTGGTTGCTTTGGCCACCTCCTTGGCACCACCTTTCAAGAGGCCAAACATCTTTTCGCGTTTGCTTCCGTGTCCGACAACTTGCTGTACTTCTGTATCTTTACCACCAGCATGATCTGCCATTTCCGCGTCCCGCTCAGCAACATTCTCGAGTTGGCCTTGTGATGCACCCAAAGGCTTATCACCCATGGATGCAGAGATGACATCATCGTCAATGTCTATAGGTTTGTCCGGAGGGGCATGCCTCATATGTTCTGGTGGGGGAATGGGAGCTCTGTTTGCCTCACCAACCCGGAGAAGCGTTAGGGCCAGCTGATTGTTCGTCGGTACTCCTTTGAAGAGTGTGCTGGAAACAAGTTAGTGATTTTCTAATTGTCAATTTATGGAGGAATCTGAATACTTGTTGATATGGATAGACTCGGTCCACCGGTGAGTGTTCGAATAGTGGTAGCACCAGGTAAGTAGAGGATCGCCAAATATTGCAACACCAAAAGCCAAACTCGTGCATCTGATGACTGTGTCCCGAGATAGAAAGATTGATGCAGCAGCCAAGGGTAAAATGTAAGCAGCTAATCGCCTTTGATGGTGTCGCTGGTCGAAAGGAGGTGTAGGAACCAGAATACTAAACATATCAGTACAGGTCAAACAAGTACGAATGATGAACCAACTTTGATAAGCGTTCCCAGAAATCAGAGATCAGTATAATCATGTGCAGTAATGGAGTCATTTGCTCCCATACTTTCTCCTCCATCGGTGCCTTGGTCTTATCTTGAGATGGTCTATCCATCCCCTCGGCTTTGTCCTTGACAACGGCCATGGTTGTTACGTCAAATTGAGGTTTAAAACCTTGTTCGCTCGATCCATCAAATTCGTTTGGGGCGCCATGCGGGTCTTTGCCAGTCAGTAAGTTAGTGGCGATGGCTGAGACACTCGTAATGAAATTGCTGGCTTCGTTCTCAACAGACTCGCCCTTGAGGTTCTGAGGAGCACCAGTTGCAGCGTCTGTTGACCCGAGTGTGCCGCCCATAGGCTTCGCGATACTACCGTCACGAATGTCGACCATGGCGAGTGGTGCGGGCGGAAAGAGGATCGTGCGAGCTCTGGGTGACAAAATCAAGGCAATGACTGCAACCACGAAGAGCAAATTTAGGTAATCCAGGAGCCATGCAATGAAATAAGCCTAGCGCCGTTAAAGTCATGTTATGTCGGAAGAAGGGAAAGGATTTGATGATGGGAAGGGCTCACAATGCAGAATGCACCTGTCCTTCGTGGTTCGCGCCATGAGCGAAGCCGTGCTATAGTCTTTGCAAAGGAGAAAAGCCCAAGAACCTAGAGGATCAAGTAAGACCATATAACAACGTATAAAGAGCATGGATACCTACCAGTCCCATGTAGAGCCTTTCCATTTCACTACGAAGTTTGTTCGGAGTGTTCTCCAAACCCTCCGCAACAGTGAGGTCCAGGCCGCCATAAGGGATTTCTCCTGCGCTCCTCACTTCGTATAGTGACTAATGATTTTTAGACTCAATGCTTCATTAAAAAATGAATGGAAATATAATAACCTTATTGAGCCGTCGCACAAGTACCCAAATGTCTTCATTATGTGTGCCACGGATCCAGGGCTCAGCGTCGTGGTCAAGTTTCTCGTTCCATCCTAGATCATAAACTGATCGATCCTCACTGAGCTTTTCAGTGTTCGTATGGACAATATGGGACGATGCTAACGTATGGGACTGCGTTTGAGATTGATCGCAGCTCATCTTGGCAGTCTGGAGGTCGGGTACTAGGATCAATGGCTCGATGAGAAACGATGATAAGGTTGGTTGTCGCTGTACGGGGCGCTGGCCATCTTATGAATCAGTTATCTCGATTTAGGCGAGAAAGCCCGTCATCGACTGGAGTGTGAGGCCAACCGGGATCGTCAGGGATAAAGATGGCTGAAGATGACGACTCGATCACGTCACATACAACAGCACATCCCCTGTTTAGCGAACGTTGAGCCGTCGGTCTACCAATAACGTGTCATTGACCTGTCACCACATGGGATTCAGGCCAGTAAAAAGTAGACTGAGACACCATGTCGCCGAATTCGATTTCTGGGCCGTGCCAGTGGGATATTTCCATCACAGTAGACTGGGACCTTAGCCTAAAGGATTCGATGGCTACATCTTCATCTGACGCATAAGTCACTGCCTGTTCACACGGGTCTGCCATGCCCCCGAGTAGGTAGCCAAAAGTGTTTGGCCGACAGTATTGATATCCAATGAGTTTTCCGCCTCCTTCAGAGATTGCGCAACTGCTTTACTGCCCCTCTCAACCGTATCAGCTCCGTAAGCTGACATGATCTCCTCCTGGTTAGTCGTCTTGTCAGTGCCTCTTAATTGCACGAGCCCAATAGTTTACTTCTGCCCATCGATAATGGCATGTTGCAATCTTTGTCCACGGACTGAATGTCACATGAGCAAATGGCGATATAGTGCAACGAGGGATGGATGTTGAGTTTGTGATCAAGACCAGACTTCCAATGCAACATAGGATGAGCAGAATCTCTAGCAAGTGTAACTCTGCTATGGTGCGTTTCCCATGGGCTTGGTAGCCAGTACTTCATATCGTCGAAGTAGCAGGCGCTATCTCCGGGCCTCCTCGAAACTTGGTTCTTTAAGACCCGTTGAGACGGTCTCTAGCAACTAGACCATGATCTTGTTCGCTAGTTGAATTCCCTCTGCGACGTCGAATCTTAGTTGGTGGCATAAATGGTCAAGGGAATCGTTGCTGAGCAACTTGAATCCCTCTACCGTACAGAAGTCACCAGAGGTTTATAATTCGTACACAGTGCTGGGGTGCTTGATAAAATGTCTAGCCCACAAGTGACTCTCTGCGTAAATGTCCAGAGACCAATGCAACTGACATGATGAGCGCTGATATGGCCTAAAAGTACAATCTTCCTGATTACGGCTTGAAGAGATCTTTTTCTTGCGCTCTTGCGCTCTTGCAAGCTTGTATCAACTATATCAGCCACACCTTACCCGGATTCAGTGTAGGAGTAATTGCCGCGTAAGAATAATCCAGTCTGGAGCAACTCTAGAGGTCGGCTTTTGGCGAGAGTCTGATAAGCTTGGCAAGATGTTGCTCGGATCGAGTCCCTCTGAAACGTGTTTTCTCCCAAAATTTCGCCACATAGAATATGACTTTGGTCAGACTGCCGTTTAGCAATTCGGCGAGAGCTGGGTATCTGTGCATCATCTGCACAAGAAGCTGAAGGGCCTCGAGCGGGGAATCCTACGCAGCCGCCAATCTCCATACCGGATTCATCATCTCGAGCTCTGATAAACGCTTAAGTGGCCACATGCCCTTCAAATAGGCTAACTGATTCACCAAGTCCTTGAATTGTCAACTGCCCGTCCTTGATGTTGGGAAACCACTTTGAGAAAATGCCATATCAAATGGAAGCTCGCACAAAGGCATCGTGGGGATAAGAAGTGACAGCGGCTGGAGGAGTGGCAATAGACCGGATATGCTTGAGTAACTCAGCCACTTCTTTTGGTGGCGTGACCGTCACAGAAGACTAGATGGACACAGACACGGAGTGGCGGAGCTTGGCTCCGCGGCGGCTCGTTGCTTTTGGCCTTGGCATTATTGCAGGCGGGTGATTGCTGGAAGAAGGGAACTACTGGAATGGATACACGGGCGCGTGATACTCAAGCGTTGAGCCAAGGATTCAGCTTGCTTCTTGACAGAGTGCACGGGGAAGGCCTCGCTCACTCCCAAGATGATGCGGGTGTTATTACCCCTCTACAGAGGACGTCAGTGTATTCCAATGTTTGGAGATGTCATAATTAGCCTGTGCCCTTTGAGACACTGGTAATGATACTGAATGCACCACTGGACGCTCATTATTAATCGATCATTTTGAGGGGCCTTGGTTTTGGGCCATTCGAATCGATGCAAATCCGGCCAGAATGCTGTAGTCTAGTTTTCCAGGCGATTACATGCACTCTTTATCACATCGGCAAACAAGACACTGGAAAGAAGCTGCTGAGAATCATTTGACATGGTCTCCGAATATGCGTCGGTGAGATGGATGAACCTAAAGCTTTATGTAATGTCCAGCAACCGCCAAGAGAAAGCCTGACATGACTAAACTTATTCTGTCGGTAGACGGGTCTTTAGGTGAGTGCTGATTCGTGCCCTCATTCGTTACCCCAAGGATTCCGGCTTCACGCGAGTCACAGAGCACGAGTCCTCCCCCCTATTACCGCCGGGCCCCTTCAAGTAATTCGACATGTCGTCAACCGAAGGTCCCAATGTTTTAGCACTTCCATCTTCAGCAGAGCTGTCTGCTCTAGGGGTAGCTTGTCTGTATCGTCAACTGACCATACCTGATATTGAAACAAGCTCTCATCTCGGCATACCCAAGTGTCATTCGATACCTTTGAGAACAACAAAACGCGTGCTCTGAACATTCCGCTTGCCGCTTGCTTGGGCCCTTCACCGAGATCGCCATAGTGCACCTGGCTCCTCTGACCGTCCCCTCACCTGGATGGAGGATTCTCAATCACTACGTCCAAAGCAGGCCGCCTGTCTGGTCTGCCGCCGAAGTAAGATCAAGTGCGACTATTCTCCGCATGAGAACAAATGCAAGAGGTGCATTCAGCTCGATTCTGAGTGCATTCGGCCTACATTCCATGCTGGAAGGCAGAAAGGCATCAAAAAGTACGGCGACCCAACCCCCGCATTCTCTAACCGGTCTGTTGGTGCTGCTGGCACCCTCAACCGCGTAGGCATCGAAGCACAACCCCCCCAAACCGTAGAGAATCGTATTGATCATTGGTTACGCGCAATAGCAAGCGAAAGGGTCTAGACAAAGCTTTATATCAGATAGAGCAGGCCATCAAGAGAGCAAGAACCGGCGAGCAAAACTCTGAAGATGACAAGGCCATCGGCAATCTCCAGGCACTCCTGGAGGGCTCTCGAGCTGCTCGGTCAACTACCGCCTCCTCACACTTGAGGCGGGGTTCGTCGCATTTCGATAGCCCCGACCAACCCGACATCTCATCAGACGATGATGATGAATTGAACAACACCCCAGACAGCAACACCTACATGAGTCTGCATCATCACAATGAGGAGAACTTGGCCATCGACGATGCCGAGAACCCGCTGCAGCTGCTGGCGCGCGCCTCAAACCTGCGGCTCTCGCCCAAGCCCATCAGCGGCCTCTCGCCGAAGCTGCCGGGTCCCGGCCCCGGCCGCAAGAACCAGCACGCCGAGCAGGCCGACGAGGACCCCGAGATGCAGTCCTTCTTCACCGCTGTTCGTCTCAACTTCGACGTTGGCGACGACATCGACCCCATCGTCATGGGTCTCGTGACAGAAGAAGAGGCCGAATCTCTCTTCGCTTTGTGAGTGACACACACCTACACCGCACATGCGGCCAGACATCAAACGAGTGTATCGTTTAACTCACCTCGCAGCTTCCATGGCAATCTTGCTCACACCCGCTGGGGTCTAGACCCAAAGATTTATACCCCATCCTTCACCCGATCGCGATCTGCCTTCTTGTGCACCTCGATCATGGCCGCGTCAGCCCTCTTCATCCCGTCCGCAGACGCGTTGTCCAAGAGATTGTCCAACCACTGCAAGACCCTAGCTCATAGGGTCATCGCCGAGCGGCACAAGTCCGTCGAGATTGTTCTTGCCTTCATGGTCAACGTCCCGTGGATGTTCCCTGGTCAGCATAGCACCGACGATGAGACGTGCTGGTACGTGAACATGGCTGCCACAATCGCCATTGACCTGTCTCTGCACAAGCTCCTGATTCCCATGGATTTCCTTGGCTCCGGATCTCAGGCTACCCTAGCGCGCGGAGACTGTCTTGACCCTCGCACCGCGCTCGCAATGGACGGCTTCGGCCAGATCGAGCCCACCTCTTACCTCGGCCAGCGTCTCCTCCGACGTCGTGAGCGCTGCTGGATTGCCCTCTTCGTCCTCGAGCGAGGCATGTCACTGGCCCGCGGTCGACCCTACACTGTCCCAGTCACTCGGATCATCAAAGACTGCGACCGGTGGCATAGGTCCAGCATTGCAGACCCCATGGACGGTCACCTCATCTCGATGGCCGTCCTTCGCAGGGACTTGGACGGCCTCCTCAACACGGTTCGCGCGCTCTGCGACGGGTCGCAAGGAATATCTACAGATGGCGGACTCATTGCCCAGTCCATAGAGAGTGCAATTGTTAGGTTCTTTGACTCATGGCAAACTGAGTGGGGGTTATCGATTGGCACAGGGCCTCAATGTCGCCTCCCTCCCTACGTTGAGATCCTCGTCACGCACACCCGTCTTTCAACTTACGGCGCCGTCATCAACCACCCGACAGCGCCGATGGAGGTGCGACAGTTCTTCCGCACGGCCGGACTCTCCTCTGCCGTGACCGTCATGCGAGCAGCCATACAAGGGGAATCGCAACTCCAGTCGATCCCGAACAACACCACTATCATGGTTTCATTCGCAGCTTGCTTCGCGTTGACACTGAGCGCTTATGCTACAGGAAGCTCGATGTTGGCACCCAGCATTCGGAACCTCATTGAAGAGACGGCTGGTGTCTTGGAGCGTATTGGGTCGGCTACGAAGCACAGAAATGGTCTGTCAACACTATATGGAAAATACCTAAGACATATCGTGAAAAAGGCGGCCACCACTGGGGATGGCCAGTCTCAAGCCAATACGCATCCTGGCCCGGCCGCCCCGCGCAGCGGCCAGCTCGGAACGCCGTCCTCGACCGCTGCGGCATCCCCTCCCATCAAATCGATGGGACCCCCGATGTCACAGCCCCCTTACGTGGAGTCGCAGATGTGGCCCGGGACTCTACAACTCTCTAGCATGTCCGACGATCAGATTGCCGAGGTCCTCAACCAGCCCGGCAACGAGTTCGATCCCGCCTTTTCAGGCTTGTCCTGGGACGACATGAACCACTTTGACTGGCCGAGCTGGCCCAACCTAACAGATTTTGGGTTTTGAAGGTTAACATGTGCCGTCTTCAGAGGCTTGGGCACATCAGGCCTTGATTGTCTCAACCTCAACCGGGGCAGCGAACTGCCACTGAGTCAGCTGCCGCAGCTGCTCCATGAATACAAACGTCAGGACGGTGTTTGGCCTGCAGCACACGAGCGTTAGCAACATCGTCACTTTTACCATTCTGTACAACTTACGTCAGTCTTAGCCACGCCGGAGTCCATCCCTTCATGAGGAATATCGCACCCTCTTCACGGAGACCGCTTTGCACGATACGAAGTAGAGACTACAGGCGTTATCAGTAGCCGAATGTATGGACAGGGGTTTCACGTCAACACTCACGTTCGCCCCTGGACCTCCCGCGGCGGCACTCTGGATCCTGCTCTTGAGAACGTCGGCCGGCGCGCATATCGTCGTCGCCGCGGTTCCCGCGAAGAGAGAGGCAACGGCGTGCGTTTTGATATCGTCCTTCATTTCAGTGTTTTTCAAGAGCATCTGCTTTGCCGTCGAGTATCTGTTTTCGTGCTTTAGCTTGCTTGTCCGCCAGACCACACGACTCCTCGGTGGTCGTCCGTTCCTTTGGCACGCTTACGTAGCGATTTGTCCCACATCTTTCATTCTCAGTTAGCTCCAATTCCAACGAGTCAGTCTTTTCCGAGCTTCGTTGACTTACTCATGAGCACGCTGCGAACAACGTTGGCAGAGATGCCTCTGGTGAATGCGCCCAGCCCTTCTTCCCTTCCTATCCTATAGAGGCCTTCAATGGCATTGGAGTATGCAAACCGCTCGCCGACGTTCTTCGCTCCGTCGGCGCACATTCGTACGAGGACAACCTCGGCTCAGTCAGCTCATCCCTGGCAGTGGGAGGACTTGTCTGGCTGTTGCGTTGCTCACCTCGGCAGGATTTCCCACTAGCCCTGCCATACCTCCGGACAACCCAGCACATGATATCGTCATCGCTGTCGTCAACTTTTCTTTACCAGTCCATTGTTTCACCCGTTGTGCAAAGTAGTTGTTGAGACCGAACCGTGCTGTGGAGTAGGTAGTCTGTCGAAATATTGATGCTGAGAGTCCCGACCAAAGCGAGAAAGATCCTTTTTTCCCCCTTTCTATTAGCGGATAATCGTATTGCAAAGCATGGGAGGTGCATACCGTCCCGTGCCGCGAATCGGTACATGGCGCGAAACATGGACTCTCGTGATTTCAGAACCTGCATCCGACTGTGGTGGTCAGGGGCCATCGCTTATTGTACTCTCGAACCAACAATATGCGTACTATTTTGTCTGGTCTAGTGGATGCGCTTTGGTTAGGCCGTCAGCATCATGGCCAAAAGGTCGAGACTTGGGATTTCCGTACTTACTAAAACATACGGCCATTGATGCCGCTGCACCTCTGTAGCCAACAAGTCAGTTGATACTCCAGGAACGTGTCATGCTTGACAGCCGCTACTACTAACCCGAGCCAAAAAGGCTCCTTTTGCTTGTTGCCGTTGGCCATCGTGAGTACGGGAATATGCAGCAGAGGTCCAAAATGTGGCCTCAGAATCAGTTTCAAGGATTCCGACCTCTCGGACATGCGGTTTTGATAAGTAATACGGCATTGACTTCAACATGCCCCTCCCCCTGCCCGCCCATTTCCATTTCCCAAGTTCCAAGCCGGTGACAAGCGCCGTTCCTGAGCCGGACCCCTGCTATACCTCTCGGACTCCAAATGAAGCGCCGGGCCGTACTCGGGCATGTCGGCTCCATGTTGAACAATCGAGCCAGGGTTCCCCACGATGATGTCACATGTGAGTCGCCATCTCGGCACTTCTTTTGGAGTCCGAGACCCTCGTACGGGGTGTCTTCTTCTGTGTCCCGAACCGCGGAATCCCTCCGACTCCTCTCGGCTGGGGAGACAAAACCACTTCCGTATCCCACCCGCGCTGCCCCGGGTGTCGTGCTGATGGATGACGCACCCTCACAGAGGCAATTGAAGCAGAAAAAGTTCAGCAGAAATCGCGAATCAGAGGACAACATGTCGAGGCTCTCACCGTCACTGAAGGCCCTCATTAACGCGCCCTTTGCGCGCCCTGGCCAGACCCCAGCGCCGTCGCACATGCGGGAAGTTTACCAGACAGTTGCGCGCGATGCGGCCTCAAAAAACGTTGGCACAAAGCCATGGCTGGCGATATCGGTAAGAAACCCATTGCGCCCAGCTTGCTACCGGGCTCAAGTGCCCGGTCGATTCGCATTGAGTCGGGACTGCGACGTCTCGCAACCGCAACTAACGCTCCGCGCCGCAGGCCGCAGCTACATTCACTATGAACTCTCCCGAATCCCTCGAGTGTCTCTATAACGTCGCGTCGTCTTCCGGTCGTCCGGACAAGCGCGAGACGGCCGAGTTCGTCCGCGAGATTGGCCTCAAGTGCATCAGCTTCAACGGCATCCCACGCACCATCAACTGCCTGAACGCATTCTACGCGAGCCTCCCCAAAGATGTGACGGCGCAGCTGGAGACGAAGCCGACGCGCACGCCCAATGCGCAGAACATTGGCGACATTACTGCCCGTGGCCAGGCACTCTGGGACTCCATCTACGCGCCTTTCGAGGTCAAGTTGTACGAGAAACTGGCGCAGTCGCACCCCGACTTGCCGGTGCACATCCTGAACAGCCACTACGCGGGGCTGTTGTCGGATCCCAAGGAGCGCGGCGGCCTGGCGAGCGTAGGGAGACTCCTGACGTCCGTCGTCGCCATCTCATGTTTGAGGGCACAATCGGGCGTCGGCCCGCAGGTGCTGTCGCACGTCTTCGGACTGAGGAAGGGACTGGAAGACGGCACGTTCAAGGCGGACAACCAGGATGACATCCAGGGCGCAAACTGGCTGGCGAGCGACGAGGGCAGCGAGTGGATTCTGAACTCGGTTGATACCATCACGGAGGCGATTGGCGGGGCGGCGAGGTCCAACTTTGCGCCTGCGCGTGAGTCCAAGTTGTAGAGCAACGAGGGACTTGTGTTGATTTACGAACGGGATGTAAAATACCGAGGCTCAGAACCGGAGCAATCAAAGCCTGTTGTCGTGCGGAGATGCAATAAATGGAGTGCTTTTTTCATTTCCAGTGCTCCTTGGCGTGGAAGAGTAGTGATGACAGACTTAATATGCCATCCACACTCGGATCTTCTACTGCCGCTGAAAAGTAAAACTCAAAGGAGGGACAGAGGAAACCGTCTATTCCGCGGCCCTAAAATAAAAAATCTCCGGCAAAGGCACAACAAGATAGAAGAGGCAACCCTGTCGTCCCTCGTAAGGATAGATGCCCATTATATATAAACACATTCATCCCAAAGATTTTCTCGATGCGCCGTTGTCATAAAAATATCCGGTTATGTGCCTACAGAACCATCTTGAAACTGGGTTCCCGGTCATCGCCAGAGCCCAGATGCTCATCGTACTTCCCTGTCGCCTTGTCGCGGTTGATCTTGTTGCACCAGAGGACGTTCAAGAGAGTGCTATCGCCACCAATGTATTATGTCAGTAAGTTGTGTGGGGAGTAAGAGCATCATCAGTGAGGGTCGACTTACGCTACCCACGCATAACACAACAACCCCAAGATAACGGTGTGGCCCTTGTGATAGAACGGGCCTTCGGAGTTGGGATAGATGAAAGCTGCGACACCGTTCAGTATGACTTCCACTTAGGATGGGACCCTCGGCTTACTAGCGACAAATCCTCCGCAGTTGGCAATGGCGAGCTGCAACGCTGACGTCGTGGCGCGTTTGTAGTGGCCGGCTGAGTTGTTGGAGTTCCAAACCAAGACGCAGGGAACAGCGCTGTACATTCCGATGGCCATCAAGCAGGTCATGGCGAATCTCGCCTGCGGCGACGTGATATTGGCGATGGCCGCGTAGCCAGCAATCGAGATGGGAAGGACGCAGAGCATGAGGACGCCGCGCAGGCGAAGGCGATCCGACAAGAAGGCCACGAGGACTGATCGACCATGTTAGAATAGGCTCTTTCACTCCTTCAAGGCATCTTGGCGGTAGAGTACTTACCTGTGAAAGGAGTTGCGACGGCGTACGGGATGACGGACCACAACTGAACCTCGTTGGTATTGGCCGCAATGTGCAAGTCGTTGATGATGGTTGGGAGCTTTTAAGGCGACACTGTTAGGTAAAAATAAAAAATAAAAGAAGATCATCCGCCCAGCGCGGTGAAGACTTACAAAGAGACCGAAGGAGTACAGGCCAGATAGGATGGCAAAGTAGGCGGTCGCGCTCAGCCATACTTGGACGTTGAAAACGCCACGGCCAACTTCAGACCAACGGAACTTCTCCTCCCTTTCGTTGGCGGAACTGGGAAGTGTTGTCAGCCTCTTGCGTCCAGGTCTTGCGTGGCGGGCCCATCGGATGCTTGCATTGCACGTACTTGAATCGACCATCGACATTGGTCCGGAGCCTGAGTACAGCCCACTCGCGCTCTTCTGGGGTCAAAATATCGGCGGTGACCAAGTTGTTGGGCAGACCGATAGCGGCAATCATTCCGCAAGCGACGGTCTAGTTTGACGTGTCAGAGCCGTTTTGCCAACAGTATGGACGAGATGCAGGGACTCACGATAAGTCCCTCTATGATAAACACCCATCTCCATCCCTCGAGGCCGCCGGCTGGGCCGATGGCAGATAAGCCCCTCGCAAGAAGGCCCCCAAAGGCGCCGGAAAGGGACGCGGCCGTGTAAAAGATGCCGATGCGGAGGGCCAGCTCTCCGCGGGTGTAGAGCCCGGAGAGGTACAGCACCATGCCGGGCAGTAGTCCGCCCTCGGTCATGCCCAGGATCGCACGAACGGCGACGAAGCTGCCGTAGCTGCGGACAAACCCGAGGCACATGGTGACGATTCCCCACGCGCAGGTCAGGAACGGAAGCCAAATCCTGGGCGAGACTTTCTTCAGGACGAGGTTGCTTGGCAGTTCGCTGGGCATTTGCATTAATAGCGAACAGCACGCGTGTGGGGTCGAGACATGGGATGATGAGGGGGTATCTGGGTGGGCTGGAGATCAGTCGAAAGTGATATCGTACCTGGCGATGTATGTTACATAGAAGATGGCCAAGCCCTGGTTGTATTGGCTGTTGGAGATGCCAAGATCATTCTCCATGCCAATGATCTTTGCATTGCCGACGTTGGTTCGGTCGAGGAAAGAACAGAGGAAGAGGAGGGCGAGTAGCGGCAGCACCCTATCCATCATCCAGCTCATGTTAGCGTCTTGTCCTATCTGATGTAATGTTCATCACCAATGGATTCGTAGAGACCTACCTGGTGTCGACCTTGAAGAGCAGCGTCTTGGTGAGGACGCGTTGACGCTCAACGTCACCGCCCAACTCGTTCTCGTCGTGCTCGACCTTGGGGTCCATGTCGAAGTCTTTGGTGGTCATGGCGGGTGGGATGGCTGCTTGGCTCGAACTGTACGGACACTCTATCTACTCTGCCAGATTGATGGACGCCGACGGTAAGAGACAAGACAAGAAGACCTTGGCCAAGGTGAGCCAAGCAATGTCAAGACCTGGGGCTCCTCTGCCGTTTTGAAGCCCCCGTCTTCCCCGGACTTCAAATCTGCCAGGGTCGCATCAACAGTCCATACCCCGCAGGTCATCTCTCCAATTCCCCAGATCTCCCATTAAAACATGCCGCTATCCGTCCACACCCAATGGGCGCCGGCCGGTTGTCACTGAGCAATACCCCGCGACGCTAGGGGCGGGCCCGGAGTCTACTTCTGTGCACCGAGGGCCGCTTGGTATGAACACGCCCTGGTGGTCCCTTAGATCGGAAGACGTCAGAGCAAGCCCCTGGTAGGTAGTGGCGTCTTCTGGCCGAGAGGACCCTTGCTTGCTTGGTTGATGTTGATGCTGGTTTGCAGTCATTGTGTCGTCGGTGCGCAAAAGAACCCCCGACGGCTCCCCGTTGAAAAAGATGTGTCGCGCCCACCTAAACCGAGGTCTGTCTCAAGGTGGTGCTACTGGCAGTCGGAACTCTCTCTTTTCTGTTTCTTTATTCACCGTATCTTGTTCCTGTAATCTTTGTCGGAACAGCCTGGGGTCCTCGTTGTGGTTCTCTACAGCTTTAGACAACTACCACGCAGTTCAATATGTCTTCAATTGCTCGCCAGTTTCGCCCGCGGGTGCTCATCCGCGCGTCCTTCACAGCTTCGCCTGCGGTCTGCGCACAACCGCAACGGTTCCCCCGCGCAAAGGCCCTGGGCGTCGCAATATGCCGCGGCATCACCACAACGCCGGTCTGCAGGTCCCAGAAGGCGCCGGCGACCAAGAGGGGCGGCTCGAAGCTGTACGCCTCCGCGGACGAAGCCGTAGCAGACATCAAGAGCGGATCGACCATCCTAAGCTCCGGCTTCGGGCTGTGCGGCGTTGCAGGTAACCATTGCGAAACCTTGGAATAGTCGCCATTAACGGGCGCCGGAATTCACTGACATGTTCGCCCACAGACACCCTCATCGGCGCGCTCAACCGCAGAGGCCCCGAGAACCTGCACTCCCTGACCGCAGTGTCGAACAACGCCGGCCAAGAAGGCAAGGGCGGTCTGGCTATCCTCACCAAGGCTGGCCAAGTGAACCGCCTGATTATCTCGTTTCTTGGTAACAACAAGGCCCTCGAGAAACAGTATCTGACGGGACAGATCGGCATCGAGCTGTGCCCGCAGGGAACGCTTGCCGAGAGGATCCGCGCCGGAGGCGCTGGAATCCCTGCCTTCTTCACCCCCACTGGAGCTCGTAGGTGACATACGATCGGGACCGGGATCTGGGCCGCGCTGACTGCCGCAGACTCGTTAGTACAGAGCGGTGACATTCCTATTCGACTGGACCCTTCCGGCGCCGTGAAGGAGCGCGGCCGCAAGAGAGAGTCGAGAGAGTTCAATGGCAAGACCTACCTCATGGAGACGGCGTTGACTGGAGACGTTGCCATCCTGAGAGCATGGAAGGTCGACACCGCTGGCAACTGTGTATTCAGGTGCGTCCGATGTCCAATGTCGAGGGCTGCCCCGGGACGGGCCGTGGAACTGCGCTAACTCGACTTGATCCCAATACAGATACACCACCAAGGCGTTCGGCCCCATCATGGCCAAGGCCGCCGCCGTCACCATCGTCGAGGCGGAGAACCTGGTCGAGGCCGGCGCCATTGACCCCGACAACGTCGACCTGCCCGGCATCTTCGTCGACCGCATCGTGCCCTCCACCGCTGAGAAGAACATTGAGATACTCAAGACGAGGCCCGACGGCGCCGATGGCGCGGGCCCGTCGAAACCGCAGAACAGCGCGCAGGAGCGCCGCGACCGCATCGCGAGACGCGCGGCCAAGGAGCTGCACGAGGGTTTCTACGTCAACCTCGGTGTTGGTGAGTATCTCAAGCCGAACCGAGCTGTGGAAAGTAGGGAAAAGTGTGCTGACGGTCACAGGAATCCCGACTCTGGCCCCTTCTTTCTTGCCCGCCGGGCGTAACGTCTGGATCCAGTCTGAGAACGGCATCTTGGGCATGGGCCCTTACCCGACAAAGGACGAAGTCGACGCGTGAGTGTGCACTTTCATTCATACCCATCCACCCTCCCTCCCCCAGCATTGGATCGCCAGGAAACTAAATAGCCTGCCACCGCAGTGACATCGTCAACGCCGGCAAGGAGACGGTGACGCTCGTCCCCGGCGCCTCGACGTTCGACAGCACCGAGTCCTTCGGCATGATTCGTGGCGGCCACGTCGACGTCTCGATCCTCGGCGCGCTGCAGGTCAGCGCCACGGGCGACCTGGCCAACTACATGATCCCCGGGAAGGTGTTCAAGGGCATGGGCGGCGCCATGGACCTTGTGTCGAACCCGGACAATACAAAGATCGTCGTCGCGACCGAGCACGTCGCAAAGGACGGCTCCTCCAAGATCGTGCAGGACTGCAGTCTGCCCCTGACCGGCGCCCGTGTCGTGAGTACGATCATCACCGACCTGGTAAGTTGCGGTCCCCTATCCCCCCTCCCCTCCTGCTGCCATTTACATGAATCCTGCTGACGTCGGGCCGTAGTGCGTGTTCGAGGTCGATCGCAAGAACGGCGGTCTGACGTTGACCGAGGTGGCGCCGGGCGTCGACGTCGAGCAAGTGCGCGCCAAGACGGACGCGTCGTTCGAGGTCGCCAGTGATCTGAAGCAGATGGAGTAACGGGGGGCTACTGTACATGTTGTGTTTATGTGAGATACCATGGAGAATTGAGGCGGCAGCTTGTGACTTCGCGTGCCAGGGAGGCTGGCATGCCATGCCATGTTTGCAGTTGTTTTTCTTATTTTGTCATTCACACTACGTCATTGATAAGATATTAATTAACATGTATTATTTGTCCAAAATTCATAAAACAGCGTTTAAGCAGTCGTTGGCCGTCGTTCTCCCGGTGCGCCTGACGAGTGATTGTATCGGAGGGAGGGTATCATCCAAATCGGGCACCTCACCCCCCCAAAGGATGCTTGGTTTCATCGTGAGTGAAGTTGTACGCTCTTGGGTATTCCATCGAACCCGACTCTTAGTCGCTGCTTGAGCTCGAGCTGCAGCTCCCGCTGCGCTTGCGGTGCTTGTCCTTCTTGTGCTTCTTGTCCTTCTTATGCTTCCTGCAATTTCGTCAGTGTGTGTCCGAACGTCTTTCGTGGCGAGAAGGGAAACTCACTTTTCAAACTTGTTCTCCAGCATATTGGCACCAACGGCCCCTACGATAGCACCGCCGAGTGTGCCGAGTAGACCGCCGCCAGCCTTGTTTGCCGCCCATCCGGCTGCCCCGCCACCGATCAACGTAGCGCCGAGACCGCGCTCGTCCTGACCGGGGCCGCCTGGGCCACCGGGCGCACCGTATTGAGGTTGGCCACCGTACTGGGGCTGTCCGCCGCCGTATTGTGGCTGTCCGCCGTGAGGGGGCGCATATCCTTGCTGGTCGTACTGCTGTTGAGGAGGGTAGGGAGAGCTGCCTCTGTCGTCATGGCCGTAACCCTGCTGATGCTGGCCGCCCTGGGCGTAGGTCGGTTGCTGAGGTCCGCCGTATCCGTGCTGCTGCTGAGGGGGGGCGTTGTAGCCGCCTCCCTGCTGGTACGGGGAATGCGACTGAGGGGGGTAGCCGCCGTGCTGTTGCTGCTGACCCTTGATACGAAAGTCGGCATTAGATGACCTATGAAAGAAGACAAGAGACGGGATGCTGCCTACCTGTGCATAGCTGGGCTGCTGGGGTGCGTAGCCGCCGCCCTGGTTGTAGCCATGCTGCTGCTGCTGCTGCTGCTGCTGGTTGTGTCCGTAGCCGCTGCCGCCGCCACCTCCGTAGTAATCGTTTGCGGACATGCTGGATCTGTGGGAGTAGCTATCGGGTAGGACCGCGATATGAGTGTGTCTGCTTAATGATACGTCGCTGTATAGGCTGCTGTGCTAAGCGGAACGGATCTCAGCCAAGAAGGAGGGAGAGGAGCTGGATCTTTAAAAGGATGACAGACATGCGCTCGCACTACGCCATGGAAGATCCATCAGAAACGGGGACTGCGGAAATTGCCAAGGAGGGGCGCGGCATGCATACATGTGGTGCGCCCAACGGGGATTGGATCTTCCCCTTCAGCCGCCGCTATCACAATCCACCGCGTCTCCTCACCTCAACTAGTTGGCCCTCTTCGTCAATCTTACCGTGGCGCAGTCACTGCGCGGGGCATCCGGTTAGCCTGTCTGTCATCCAGGCTGGGGGGTCAGCAAGCCGCAGGCCGTGAGCTGAGCTGGGCTAAGGAGGGACAAGCCCCCAATGACGCGGAGCCATCAGTCGCCATTCGCATTCGGCTGCGCGGGCCCGAGGCGGGGGATTTGTCAAACTAGTGGCACTGTTGTGCTCAGCGAGTCTCTACTGGTAGGCCCCTTGTTCCGCTAACACTGCAGACTAAGTAAGAAGCCCTCCGTCGGCAGTACGATGTACGGAGTAGATGTATGTGCTAGCTATGTACGTCTGTTCCTCGTTGCCTACATGGTAGGTCCATGTCGGTCACGGTACCCCGGCAATTGTGTTTCGAGAGCATCTGCTAAGCCCCCCATATGATGGGACGAACTCTCTCGGTCGCCACTTGCCACCGTCCGGTCGCAACAAACTGCCCCTCGCATGCCCCGGTCTCAGCGCCCAGGACTCGGGACCTACATAGAGTGGCCCGAAATCCAGGAAAACGTTGCTCGAGATTGTGGACTTGCGCCGCTGCTGACCTTCGGCGTCTCCGGGCGTGCCGCCGGTGGGGCCCGGCGAGCCGGGCTACTTTAGTCTTTAACACTCGACGAAAGAGGTAGGTAGAAGTCCAAGGTCTACAAGGATAGGAGCTCCCAGCGTATAAGAAGCATCGCTGATAAAAAAGCTCATATTCCATCAAGTGCCCTTAGTTGGGACGGCAGGTTCTTGGCATTTTATTCGTCTTTGGCAGCCTGTTGTATCTTATCGAGGTCCGCTTGTCTAACAGCACACTGAGGCCAGCAGCACCTTGACAGAGCGCAATGAAACACTCGAATTCTCCAGAGGCTCCCAAAGAAGCTTGGAAAGACACAAGAAGATGATACAGCCATTGCTGGGAAACAATAGCTGAAATGAGCAGATGCATTCCTAATGTCCTTGCAGGCTTTTGAGTTGCACTTTGCGCCGCCACCGTAGACGAGCTCTTGTTTATAGGCTAGGGAAACGAATCCGATCAATTTTCTGGCCCAATCTGCTGATCTTCAGGACGCAAGACGCGAAAGATGGCAACGGCACCCACACGGCTGTAGGCATTTGTTAATTGTCGATAAAGAAGCGTTGATGATGATGCTATCCGGGCCCCTGGTTTGCGGCTAGTTGGATTTCTTCAACCGGTTTCCGGACAAAGCAAGCTGTTCCAGTTCTGGATTCAACTGATTGATGGACTTGGCTTGGCGCGGCCGGTGCAGCCCTTCCATGTCGCAGACCCGAGGTCGTTACAAGTGACAAGAGCTTCCATACGAGTCTTTTGAGCTCGAAGACAACTCCATTGACCCATGCGACTCGATAGTCAAGCTCTCGGTGCGCAAGACGTGTTGCCTGTGAGTGTAAGCCTGTCGGCCTAGATGATGTCGGCTCTTGGTGCTGCGCCACGTACTTGGTTTCCCCGGTCTCGACCAATTGACTAAGCAATACGAGACAAGGTGCAGGCGATGTAAAGAGCAGGGTAGAGAAGGCCGGCAGTTACAGAGCCACATTCTACATGACCTCGAAGGCGAGTGTGGTTGTCACAGTGTCAAGGGTATGCGCAAATATCAGGGTGTTGCTTAACTACTCTACCTCAGGAAGCCTCCCTCACGAACAGCCCTGCCATGCCCATGCCGGTGCCGACACACATGCTTACAACACCAACCTCACCACCAGATCTGCCCAGGCCGTGCAATAGAGTGCTCGTCATGCGGGCACCAGTTGCACCGAGAGGGTGTCCCAAGGCAATGGCACCACCATCAGGGTTCACTTTGCCGTCCTCGTAGGCCTGCTCCAGACCCAGCGTCCTCAAGCAGTAGATTGCTTGGCTGGCGAAGGCCTCGTTGATCTCCCAGCGGTTCACATCCTTATTCTCCAGGCCGAACTGACCGAGGAGCTTCGGGATGGCAAGAGCAGGGCCGATGCCCATCTCATCCGGCGCACATCCCACCGTCGTGGCCCCGATGAACTTGCCGATGATGCTGTCGGTGAGGCCCAGCTCTGTGGCGGTGCTCCTGCGCATGAGCAGTGTGGCGGCGGCGCCGTCGGATACTTGCGACGAGTTGCCTGCGGTGCTGGCGCCGTCCGGCTTGAACGCCGGCTTCAGCTTCTGCAGAGCCTCGATGCCAATGTTGGCGCGGATGCCGTCGTCCTGGGTGACGGTGATGGTCTGTTCCTCACCGACCTTGTTGCCCTGCTTGTCAACCTCTTGGTATCTCGTTGTGACGGGAACGATCTCCTGGGCGAAGTAGCCGTTCTCCCTCGCCTTCGCGGCGTTCTGGTGGCTGCGCAGGGCAAACGCATCCTGGTCTGCCCTGGAGACGCCGTAGCGCTCCGCCACGTTCTCGGAGGTGATGCCCATCGGCATAATGCAGTCCCTCGCGTCCTTGACCGGCGACTCCTTCAGTGCGGGCCACACGTCCACGGGGATCGCGCGGCTGCCGTAGTTCCGAGTCATGCTTTCCATTCCGGCGCCAATGCCCACCGATATCGTCTCGGACCGGATCTGCGACGCGATGAGCGCGATCGACTGCAGCGATGACGAGCAGGCGCGGTTGACGGTGTACAAAGAGGTCTCGTTGGGGTAGCCGACGTGGTTCATGGCCATGCGCGCGGCCTTGGAGCCGCCGAGCTCCGAGAGCACAACGCCGACGGCGACATCTTCGATCTTGGCGGGGTCGAGGCTGGGGTTGGCGTCGAGTGTGGCCTTGAGAACGGTCGATAGCAGTTCTTCGGGGTACGCATCTTTCAGCTGACCCCGATTTGATCGACAAACGGCTGTTCGCAGCGACGACAGGATCACCACATCCGAGGGTGCTTTCTTCAGCACGGACGAGAGCCCTTTGGGGACAGACATGATGGCGGCAGTTAGGCTTTAGGGAAGTCTGGGCTTATTGTCAATAGAGAAAGGAAACAACGCTCAGACCAAAGCATCCAAAGGTAGGTTGAGAAAGAGTCGAGTATAAACGAGCAACGTCGCCGAGGTCGGGGGGGGGGGGGGGGGGGGGGGAGCTTAAATGATGTACCAGTCGAGAGTTTGGGGGAGAATGGCTCATCCCCTTCGTCTCACCCTCAATTCCCCAGCTTGATCCCAGACGGCAAAGGTGGGGGAGACCCGCTACGGATGGCAATTGGGTTCGGCAAACACCCACGGAGCTTAGGCGTGTTCCCGGGGTTAAACGTTCAACCGGTAGTCGCTCGGACAACTATACCGAGACACACCGAGATGCACCGAAGGCCTTACCGAGGCTTTCTCAGTTAGGACGATATCTCGCGGCAATAGAGTGTTGGGGTTAGGGTTAGGGTTATATTGTTGTCGTCTTCTCCAGGATTATCTCTCCACGGATCTAGGTTGCTACTTTCACATTCGCAGCATCAGAACTAAGAATTGAGATCTTAGGCACACAGTCAAACCCCTGAGAGCCCTTCAGGTAGCTCTCCAGCTAGGGTAAATGTCTCTGCCTCAGATGTGCAGTCGAAGGCAGTCCTTCAGCCCATTCTGGGTGTAACGCTCGAAAGCCATTATGAACCAGTGTGCTGCAGAGACTTCACATGAAAGCTCGGAAAACGCTACGTGGACGTCACTACCTAGTTTGGCAATTGCTCTAAATAGATTGGTTGCGATCCTGGACTCGCTGTAGTTTCAGAGATCAGGCCGAGGTGCGACCCTGGGAGAGCACAAGACAGAAGCTATCGTGGGTTTCAACAAACTGATGAGAGTTGATTTACGTGAGTCAGTGAGCGAATCTGCATTATCGTCACATTTCGACCTGATGTTGACGTTATGCCCACTACCGGGGCTTAGCCCGTTCAACTAAATGGTATCAAGATTCGCCAACCATGTCTGTCTTGGAGATGGCAGTGCCGTGCCTTTTCATCAGCCTTTCCGCTTTCCGGATCACATGTTTTCCCTCTTTTCTTTCTGGGACCCCGCACAATAGACCAAGCTTGTCCAGCTCCTTAGTACCCGTACAAGTTGACCTGTTCCGAAGTGGACGCCCGGATCCTCCGGTTCTCTCTGACGAGCAAGACACGGATCCACCACGCGCACAAGATTGAGAGCAGTGAGAAGCCGGCCGAAGCGCCAAAGCCAATGGCGTAGCGGGGCGAGTCAGTGCTGGGCCACAGGTACGCGCCGTAGATGTAGCCGATCTGGAGAATGGGTGTTAGTAGCGCGGCGCCAGGCGAATGAAACACATCTTTGAGCATACCTGTCCCCCGACGTTGGTCATGGCAAGAACAACTGCCTTCTTCTCCTTGGTCTGTGAGAGAGTCGACGAGGCCCAGCCAATGATAACCTAACGGATAAGTCAGTTACAAAAGATTCAACCCCATTGGCCAGGATTGCGAGGGTACTCACGCTGTTCACAGAGTAGGCGCCCATAGCGAAGATAAAGCATGCAATGTACCTAGCCGCCGTATTGAGTGTAGAGGAAGCCATGACAAAACCAACGATAGCAATGCCCAGACCCGCGGTGATGTGCCATGTCCTCTCATGGAGTCTGCCGGAGCTCCAGCCGAAGAAGATGCCAGCAGCACCTGCGAAGATGAAGGGCGGGCAGGTCATCAGGAGTGTGACTGTAGTGCTGAAGCCAAGGGTCTTTACGACACTGTTGCACCGTGTCAGCTTCGGTTACCGACCACAGGTGGTATTATGGCGCTGTTCAACTCACGTGGGGAAGAAAGAATTGAACGAGCAGGCGCTGAGGTGGAAGTTCTGCATGAGGCAGAACAGCCAGGTGCGCTTGTCGCGAACCGCCTGCTTGAGGCCGTCCATGGCCGAGGCCTTGTTGTTGTCCGAGTCCGACAGCTTGTCCTTTTCCATGCGGGAGTGGGCGAGCTCGCGCTCGCGCTCGGTCAGCCAGCGCGTCGTCAGAGGCGTGTTGGGGAGGAGCCAGAAACCAAAGAGGGCGACGACGCCGGTGGCGGCACCTTCGACTATGAATAACCAGCGCCATCCGGCGATGCCGTTGAGACCGCCCATGCCGGCGAATATACCGGCAGCGATGAGGGAGGAGAGGCCGGTGGCGAGAATCTGGGCGCAGTAGAGAACAGCGATGCGGGATGCGACCTCTGCAAGCCGTGTTAGTTTGGGCAAAATAAAGGAGTGGACAGAGCGGCTATCCGACCTTTGCGAGTGTAGAAGATTGACAGCATATAGGTGGCGCCGGGATAGAACTGGTCCATGTTAGCCAGGGCCACAGCAGGTGTGTCTTTGGATGGTTTGACTTACAGGAGCCTCGGTGATACCCAAGAAGAAGCGGCAAGCAACGAGACCTCCATAGTTCTGGACCAGAGCCGTGCAACCTATCAACCATGAGCTTTTGATCCCAGCTTCAGTGCTTGTAGGACATACCCGAGACCACAGCCCAAACAAGCATCCATGCACTCATGTACAAGCCTGGCTGTATTCTGGTGATCAACATATTGGAGGGAATCTGCATGAGGACGTAGCCAACGAAGAGGCTGAGTTCAACCGTTAGCCATGGCGTCTCCAACGCAAAGGACTTCGCTCTCGGGTTCAGTCTTCCAAGTTCATTTTCAACATCGCAGAATGAATACATCCTTAAGTACAGTCGATGACGGCGGAAATAAACAAGCAGCAGGGCAGCTCAGTGGTATCATGTCCGCTTACATTGAAACTGCAGTGTTAAACTGTGTGCCGGACATACCCAAATCCTTCTCTAGATCATCAAGTCGGGCCTGGGCGATGGCGTTACGATCAACATAGTCTGATTGACTGGTTAGTTTCGGTGTCTTCGAACGGTATAAGGTAATAGAGCTGTGAGAGTCGTACTCAGGAAATACATGACGCAGAGTGTCGGCTGGCATAGAGAAGAAAGGTTTGTCAGTAACTCTTTTCATGAAAATAAAATAAACATATTAAAAAGGATTCCACGGCTCCGGTTCCTCAACTCACCATTATCCGCCAATCCAACTTCTGCACGAGTTTGATCTCTTCGGGGTCGGTCTTCTTCGTGGACCCGGTCCAGTCGCGATTCTCCTCATCCTGGGCAACGGGCTTCTCGTCCTGAAGCACGCTGTCGACGTGGTTGATGGTACGCTCTTCCCGCTCCACCGACGGCGAACGCTTCTCGCTCGCTGCCATTTTTTTTATTTTTTGGACGTTTCGATCGCTGTTCGTGCTCGTGCCGGGTTGTGTGCTTTGCAAAAAGAAATAAGGGCTTGGAATCGCTCGGAAAGGATCGACAGGGCCAGGCTGGTTTAAGACTGCTGTGGGGAAAGTATGTCGTCTAACAGAATTAAGCATAAACTAGGACGAAAATCTGCGGTATTAAACCGTCCAAGGTCTTGTACGCATCGATTCCTGGACAACCAGGCAGGGCTTCTGCTATTTATCATCGTTTTTAGACCCCGCCATTCTCTTTTACCCCACGAGAAAAGCGTAAATGGCGAATCCGGGGTGCCTGGGATTCCGGGTCAACATCTGGGATCCGATGGGTTGACTGAAAGTCTGGGGAAGGAAACGGGCTGCACAATACCTAGCACAGTCATCCAAGTCAAAAAGCCCCAGGCTGGGCAAGGGACGCGGGGCTCCCGGAGCCATATTTGAGAGCCGAGCACCAAAGAGGCGGTCGGTGGAAAAGATTAAAGGCAACAGCGGAGGGTGTCAAGCAGACAAGCCTTCCAAGGGATAAGCAGCAAATTCGGACAGCGTTCGGACAAGAGTCAGCCAAGCTCTCCGTATGAAGGAGGGGTTGGTCAGCCGCTGCAACTGGAGACCGCCGAGATTGGGGAAATGGGGAGCCATTGGGAACCCCGCGTGCCAAGACCCGAGGGAATGGAAACTGCTGGGGCTAGCCTGGGGCTAGCAGCACCAGGGCCTGTTCCGGTGGGATTGGGGACGGAGTGAAGTGTCAGGATGAGTGATCTGGTTCGTTCAAAGACCGCGTTGTGTGGATCAGCTAGTGTTGCTTCCTGGGAAGCTAACAGGAGAGAGGGAGGAGAGAGGACATCGGGTCAGAGGTGGATCTCGGCACATGGGTGCTGTGAAGGTAAGAGGATTGCAGCCATGGTCTTTGAGAATTACAGCATGCGGGCCCGGGTGGTGATCTCACTGCTATGTGATGCACCGTGGAAGGACGGAATGCGGGCGTTATCACTCACGCCACTTGCACGTTGCCAAGTTCTTGTTTGGCTGGTGATCGGCAAGTCAGCACTCACGATTTGTCCGCCGTACAGAGATTGCTACTGAATCAGCGGACTCCCAGCCGGAGATAGAGTAGTTATAGACGCGCAAAGCTTACCATGCATACATGTATGCACGTAACCCTAGGAGTAAATGTCACAATTAGCATGGGAGGTATGGCGAACGGCGGGATTCAGTTCCACCCCCGCCGATAAGGAATGGACCATTCGTCGAAGACCTTTGCCCCGTCACCTAGTCTTTCCAATAATATATCACGGGAGTGATGAAGCAACTAGACTAGATCCCGCAATCTTATAAAAAGCCAGGTAGCTTCTTGTTCCTGGGAAACGGACCCTGACGAGCTATAACTTTCGGGCAACAGTCCGTGGGCTTTCCATGAACGTGGAAACAGACACATGGAATACTAATCTGTATATTTTAGGACGTAGGTCTCGCAAAAGGTCAAAATTGACTACGGCATTTACCTTCCTCTTTTTGAGGCGAGGGGGCATACGCCGCCGATTTATCAACGTGCCTTTCGAGTTATCTCTCGTCCCGTACTTCCCGGTAACTACACCAATTAATATTGACAAGAATGAAAACCAAGAGAAAAGAATAGAAAGCTAAGACTGACACAATTTGAATTTTATTAGAGTCAGAGAAGGCGTAGTTATGTGCCGTAACTGTAGAGACCTCAGCATAGATCCATGTCTGAACCCGCTAGATGACTATGAAGACTCCGATGACGGGTGAGCAGCTGCAGTTTGCAAGATAATAAGAAGAGCAGGCCAAACAAGGACCATAACAACACCCTGAGCTTTGAACGCATGGAGAATAACATCCCTAAGTAAGCGTCTTACAAGAGCTACCGCTGAAAAGCAGGATATTGATCTTCATCTTGCACCTAGCCACCACGCGTCCCCTGTCTTGGTTGTCTCCCCGATCCCGAAAACAATCGCCAATGACAATGAGGCAGGTGCCAGCCCGAAAACCCTCCTACCAAGTCGTATCTAATCCCAACCGCTCGGATTCTCCTCCTCCCGGCCGTACAGCTGACCTGTCGCGTGAGATCCTTGGACGCAAATGCTGGCACAAGAGTGTCGCGTTAACAACTTATCGTCGAAGCGGATTAAAGTTATCGCCATGCCCTTGTCCCAGCCTTCTCTATTGAATAGCTGGAAGTCTGGGAAGCAGTGGGAGCTTTCACTATTCAAAGAAAAGAAAAAAGAAAAAGCCGATAGCATATAGGGGAGCTAGCGGTCGGTTCAAGTACATCTTCCCATAGCATGTTGACTGCGCAGAGTCCTTTTTCCTGCATTATGAGGCTGAGATACGATTTATCTAGGTATTGAAGAAAGGTAGATGGCCAAATTACGGGATATCTCTAGTTTCGAACGAGGGCCTTACTAGTGACCTAGTACTTGGCAAGGCACTATTAATGGGGCCATTGAAGTTGGAACAGCAATATTTTGGGTCGCGTGGGTTAGCCTACCTTTCAGAATAGCACACACACAGACAATGGAAATTCCTGGGAGGATCAACAATGAAGCGTGTGCGGAAGGCATTTTGTAACCATGAGGACATAGACGACGGTAGAGAGGTACAATAAGGCACAAAGCTGAGAACAGGCGGTCGGTTGGGCTGAGGAGGTTTCGTTTCAAGACTTCTTTGTATTCATTGCATAAGAAATTATGACTTTCTCATTAGAAGTCTATCTTTTACCACCATGGATCAACATTCAATCAAGTCTTTAAATATTCTTCCAAGACCAATCCTCTCATAAGGCCATTCACTATATACTACTATATCTATTTAGTAACTGTAATAGGATTGACTTTTGGGCGTCAGATATGTATGGTGCGAGTTTCTCAATGATAAGTTGCGGCTTATAGTTGGCTTGTTTGAGATATGGTAAGCTCTTGAACAAATAAAGTATCAATGGAGCAGGAAGGTTTTGACAAAGGGTTTGTTTGACGGATGTTCCAGTAATATAGGGGCCTTCCGAAGGGGGATCCGGCTGTCGAGGTCAAGTTTGCTGAGAGATCGCATCACGGGGTTGGTCGGCGAATAACTGGGGGACTGACTGTGAAGACAATGGCTGCCGCTGATCCAGATAGCTCCCAGTTCAAGCGTAGTCCCAGTTACTGAGGTTTCTACGGTCCAATCAGCAAGGAAATAGAAAAGAGATTTTAGGTTGGTAGAGAACCCCCTCTTATTCCTCCCAAGACTTTGACTGTTTCTGTATGGACTTCCAAGTTGATCGCATTGTTCGCAAGCGTATGCCTCCATTCTTGTATCAAGTGAAACTTTTCTATTCAAAGACTTTCGGTAAACTATGATAAATCGATGAAAGCCCTGAAAGCCTGATCTTAAAATCGAGGGCCGGAAGTTTAATGTTTGCCAAAGTGACGGCTTCAAAAAGCTTTGCCATTCCTTTGAAACACTAGCCTAACTGGCCAAAGGATATTCTTCATCCGAGGAAGCTACCTCTTTTAGAATCATAAGTCGAAGTTCTGGCGGAAGTCTTATCCATTGGGTGGTGGAGATAATGTATTGTGAGACTTTGGTTTGAGAACGTAGTTTCATGATGGCGATTAAGTCGAGTAGTAGTATGGGTAGAAGAAATCGATGGTGGGTGGTTCGACGAACAGAATAGAGGCCGTTTTGGCAGTTCCGTGTTCTCCTTGACGGGTCGAATCGTTTTCTTCTTCTTCTTTTCTCTGGAGCTTCTTAACGCTCTGGGGGGTGGAGGTTTGGAAGCAGGCAGACGCTTTGCAAGCTATTCGTTCTTATATAGCCATTTGTAGGCCATTTCGCAAGGCCCCCGTGTCTTGGTGGAAGGCGGAGACCAACTCCGTCAAGATCACCGCAGCCGCGAGGTGCTCACCCTAGTTCCGTGACACGTCTATTCTTGAGCGCAAGCGGGAGTTCGCAGCATGAATGTCGATAGCTTCCCCAAGATGTTTCAACCGTGAGTTGGTCACAAGTCAACTAGAGTAATCTTAAGTTGATGCCCCTGGAGTCTTGGTCAGTCGTGAACTCGGAGCGGTTCCAACAAAAGGGTGGCCATTCCCGCCAATACACACGGACATTGAAAGAAGCCGAGTTCCCACCGAGAGACCCCTTGATGCCGGCATTGCTCGACTTAGAAAGCATACCGGAAGTCCCGAGGCGGTTGTCAGCACCCGACTGATGATTCACAACCTCGTGGCTGCAAAGCTGCAATAGCTGACACGTCCCAAGGCAAAGGTGCGTATGCAGTTGCGCGCACTACATTCTTGGCCCACCCATGAACCGGGATGGATGCTCAGCCTGGATCGCCAAGCACGGTTGCATGCAGCGAGACCTTGCCATGTTCACCAGGCTTGACTGCTTTCTGCGTTTTCGCAGCTTGGCCGCGCGAATGCAAACCCAAAGGAGAGTGAACGGGACGGTGGAAGCCTCCGGCAGCCTCAAGGCACCTATGGCTTCAGCCAACGTCTCCAAGATTCACTTTCGCGACCTCCGTATGTCTATAAGAACGTGCGGGGGCGTTTTTGACTTCCAGCCAATGCAAATAGCATTGGTCAGCGGTTCCGGAGGGCTCTTTCCGTCTATATTGTTACACCTATATTGAGTGGATGCACAGCTGGGGTGTGTCAAGATCTATACTCCTTTTCAATGGTTGCAGAGCAGCCACTCGTAACGTTATCGACGGAATCCAAGTTCCGCGGCTGAGTCAGCCCGAGACCCTGCATCTTGTTGACTGCTCCCGCGCGTAGGCTGTCTGTCAATCATGTATAAGTGTAATACCGCGCAGCAACCTCCCTACCGTTGCGTTGAAGAAGGGCGTATCAATGTCCAGGGCTTGTTCTCATTCTCATGGCGCATGCACTCATCCTCGGGGCCTCCGGCATTTCCGGCTGGTCTCTCATGAACCAGGCCTGCCGCTATCCCACCCGGGAGACCTTCAAACGTATCACCGGCACCACGAATCGTCCTCTACCATTGGAGAAGGCGCATCTACCCGTCGATTCTCGCCTGCACATCGCGTCCGGGATTGACTTCACAAAGTCCGTGGACGAAGTGGCCGCGTCGTTGCGACGAGGCATCCCGGATGCGGAGACTATATCCCATGTCTTTTACGCAGGTAAGTGGACATCCGCTCTATCTTCACCACGTCTCAACATGGAGGGACTAAGCTCCGCGTAGCATACGCAAAAGGGACAAGTCCTGAAGACCAGGCAGCTCTGAATAGAAGCCTGTTGGTAGTCGCAATCCATGCCATCGAGAGGGTCGCCCCGGACTTGAAGGTCGTTATCTTGCAAACGGGTAGCAAAGGGTATCGAGCGCCGTACTTTCTAAGATACGTGTTCCTAAGACTAACGCCCGACATCCAGATACGGCGTCACGCACCCCAAGGAAATCAAGATCCAACCCCCGTTGAAGGAAAACCTTGCCCGGATCCCCGCACCGTGGGCCGACGGCGTATTCTACTACGCTCAATACGACGCGCTCGACAGGCTCTCGCGCGGCAAGCGGTGGACCTTTTCAGAGGTCCGCCCGGACGCCATCGTCGGCTTCGCCCCGACGGCGAACGCCATGAATATGGCCAAGGGCATCGGCCTCTACCTCGCTATCCACCGGACCGTGCGCGGCGCCGGCGCCGTCGTCGCGTTCCCGGGGACGGAGCGCGGGTACCGCGCCACCCACACCGATACCTTTCAGGACGCGCTGTCTCGGATGGAGATATTCGCCGCCGTGAACGCAACGACGGAGCGCTCTTGCTGCGGCGGCGGCGTCGCCTTCAACGCCGCGGGCGAGCAGGCCGTCTCGTGGTCGCGGAAGTGGCCGCGCTTATGCGACTATTTCGGGCTCACGGGCCAGGGGCCGGATGTCTACTCAGCACGGATCCGCGACTTTATGATAGATCACGAAGACGCCTGGTCGGACCTGGCCAAAGAGCACGGGCTCGAGGAGGGCGCCGTTAGGGACTTTGACTGGGCCTTTCTAGAGTTCATGCTTGTGCAGTGTGACTTTGACCGAGAGTTGGACTTGACGCGGTCTCGTGAAGTAGGGTTCACGGAGGAAATAGATACGGTGGAAGGATATCTGACATCCTGGAAACGGATGATAGCTGCTAAGCAGCTCCCTCCATTGTAGATGCATGAGTTTAGTATCCGTGTAGGACGATAGCCAAGCAAGTACAGCTTCTCGGGAGAGCCGATCTGTTCTACTTACTAGGTGATACACCCGCAAAATTCACTTACTGAGATCTGGTTCACTACTCGTATGCAAATGTTAATGACAACGGCAAGCTGAACGATGTGAGGAACACCGGTTGCTCCAGACATCAGTACCGATGAGGCCAGACCATATGCATTGGCACGACAGACTCAGTACCCTCCTCCTCACTGGCTTGGGACACTGGACCGAACAGCAATGCTCAATCCACGATTTCGCGAATCCGAGCGTTGTCAGCTGGTGCGACCATGCACCCCTCTGCTTTGGGACAGCATGAGCATTGACCAATTCAGAATGCTCGACGTTGGTGTGAACCCCAGCCGTTCGGACAGAACATGTGCGAATCTTTACCTTTGGCAGTCCTCTTGTGCACACAACACTGACCCTGGGCGATGCTTCGGCCAAGGGAGAGAGAGAGAGAGAGAGAGAGAGAAAGAAAGAAAGAAAGCAATTGACTAGACCAAAACATCGGGTCACTCTGCGAGTCATTTGCGCGAAAGGCTATGGCGGGGCAAACCGAGGCACCGGGATACCTTCAACAGAGGCCACGGCCTCTTGCTCTGTGATTTTAGACAGCCTGAACGTGAGGTCGAGCAGTCCCGAAGATGGCTGCCTACTTTCCAAAACAGAAGTCGGAACTTTGTGAGGCATGTGTCAAGGCCGTGCTGCACTTGATACACCGTGCGAAGCCTATCCCATGGCGGCCAATTCGTTCTCCTCAAGCTTAGCCGAGAAATGGGAAGCCACGAAGATTTGCCCGGATGGTCGTGTTCCCAGTTCTGGGTGTAGCAAGGCGTCAGCTGGGGGGTTGAGCATAACCAATGTAGCTCATGATTTGGCGGAGACGTTATTTTGCTACGGAGAGGGTTGGGAGAGCGGATGAAGTTAAATAGTAGCCAGTTGCGTAGTGAAGGGACAGAACGCAGTGTCGACGTGATGATCAAGTCGGATGAAGTTAGTTCGAGTGAGTGTGAATGTTTGATTGTCGCAGTTGATATCATTGTGCCGGGGTTTCTTGCCGTGATCTCAGACTGGGTTGGCTGCTGGGAGCGAGGCGATAAACGGCGATAAACCCAGGCGCCTAATAACTACCATGGAAAGATCCAGCCGCATTATGCAAACAAACGCGCTATATGGGTCAGGTGTGGTAATTAGATGCGCTTGGATGATCTTGCTAATTCTTTTCCCCATGGTTCAGGGGTCGGGGGCTTCTATTGTTCGGTTGATGCCAAATTGTTGCGTTACGATTCCAGACGATACGAGTAGTATTGGGTTGCCCACTTGTAGGGTATCATTGATTGGTGGCTACGAGTGATTCTGCAGCTTGCGTCGCTTGGTGGTGGATGTACGAGGACGACGGTACCCCTGTGGTAATGCTTCCTATTGAGGTATAGCACTCTACAAGCCACGGCTTTTCGCGTTTGGTTTCGTATGATGGAGTTAAGCATGTTGGCGAATGGCGTGATCGGACTTGGAGTTGGGGGAGGGAGACTTGGCTGTTGATGATTGCATGATTGCACAGCGCGACGAAGCCAAGGCCGGTCTGAGTTGCCATTGTGGGTCGTCTGGTCCGAGAGGGGGGGTCAATGGGAAAGTTGAGGACCAAGCAGTGTTCCCGAATCCTGATGCTACAAAATTGACTGTCGAGGATGGAAGCCGTCAAACGGCGCTTAGTACCAAGGTTCCGTTGTCAGTGTGTTGGGACGAGGCACGACTATGCGAAAAGGCCATTTTCCCTCGCTGGCAACTGATGTGGTATTGTTATTGTTCTTGTTGTCGTCGTCGATGTTGTTGTTGTTGTTGTCGTTGCTGTCGTTGCTGTCGTTGCGAGTTTGGCTGTCTTGCTTGATTGCGTGACTCGGAGGTAAGCAATGAGGGCGGGGGAAAGGCAGAAGGAACATTCCTAACGATTCCAATCGTCGGTATCGAGGCCGTCTCATGGACGAACAAGAGCCGGCACGGGGAGAGGAGACAGACTCCTTCCTTGGGTCGGCGGGCGGAGTGGGGGGCACCTACCTACCTAGGTAGGTACATCATAGGTAGGTAGGTGCGAAATCGCATAGACAGTACGTACCGATTAGGGTTCCGACGGGATCTATCGGTACGTACTCTGTGCACCTCAGGTCGTGTTCGGGTACGGGCGACAAGGTGGCTTGGACCGAAGTACCTAGGTATACGTAGTAGTGTAGGTAGTGAAGAGGACTGGGAAGTGTATTAGTATTGTGGGTTCCTACCTATGCATTGATCGTAAAACCGTCCTAAATCTGCAGCGGTGATCGCTTAGTTGGATAAGCGGGTGCAACATGATCGGGATAGGGCCGTGGCGCTTGTTTCTTGACTTTTCAGAACATGTAAAGGGGGCTGCTGTCGCCGGGTCGCTCATGAAGCATGCTAGGTCGGGGTCGGGAACTCAAGTATCAAATATTCGTCGCGCAACTAAGTAAGCTCATTAACTCTCTGTAGGTTCTGCTAATAGCTGCTGATTGGAAGCAGCCGAGTGTGGTTCACTCTGTACGTAGGTATAGATAGAAAGGGGAAAAAAAACAGACAGACGACAAGGGAAGGGAACCAAAGACGCGGGCGACCGCTCTCAGGCAAGGGGTGTGTGGGAATGTCGGGCGAAGGGCTGTGGATGCGGGATGCAGGATGCGAAATTGGCACAAAGGGGGCAGGACGCGTCGTCGCCAGTCGGATCCATGTTGGTTGACGCTTTCTTTTTCTTCACTTCACTTCTTTGACGCCTTCTTTTTCGGTTACGGAAGGACGGGACGAGGAGAAGCACCGGCAGGCGCAGGTGTGGATGCGGCGGAGGGGAGCAGGTGCGGGGTTTCGGGGTGTTCGAAAAGCCCGAAGCAGGGCAGTAAGCTCGCTTACGTCTTTCTTGCTACCGGGAGGATTGCCTTCGCCCCCTTTCTCACGTGGAGCGAAAAGAACTAGCCAGATACAGGTACGTGTCGCCGCCTACCTTCCCGGGTCCACCGAACTCCCAAACCGTAATTGGACGCCCGACGAGACTGCAAGCGAGAAGAGGTACGTACTCTTTTTTTTTTAGCCATTTACCACCTACTATCCGTACAGATTGGTACCTGCCCGCCACCTACCTGCCTGGGTACGGATCGTTCCTCCTGCTGCTTCTTTGGGTAGCGAGGGGGAGATGATGGGGGCCGCCCGAGAGCGGGAACTTGCGAACCTTGCGCCTGCCAACTCTGAACTCTGGTTGAAAGAAATAGAACAGGAGGGATCGGCAAAACAGTGACGGCGGAGTTTGGTTGGTTGCGGGAGGAAAGAGGGATGGACGTCAACGCTGCCGTGCACATACATGCATGTGTCCGAGGCAGCACACGCTAGGTACGCAATTACTGCGCATTCTTGGTTCTTTAAAAAAAAAAAAAAAAAAAAAAAAGTCATATCGAGGTTTGGGCCTCACCTCCAAACAATCCTGTACCGTATCTGTGCCTACTACGTAGGTAGGTGTTGAACGTATACCTATTCGTTCGTGCAGTGACCGTTAGAACCTTGATTGCACCTGATTGCAGGGTTGATGCTGGTCAGACACGCGTGCCATCCCGCCCGACGGAAGAACATCCGTCCGCAACGGCCAGGTGCCTGTCTGTACCGTAGATAGGTAGGTATTGGTATACCTATCCGCCGATCCGTACGGATACATATCCCCAATATGTAGACCCTAGAGCCTCAAACACTATCCACACATGATGTGCCCTACACGACTGATGATGTGAGATCACACCCCCAGTGCCGATTATACCCTTAGTCTTGCGCCGTCGAGTTTCGTGGCCTCGGGAACTGGCAAGACGCCGATGGGATGGGCATCTGAGGGCAGCTTGGGGATGTCATCCACTAGGCCGGGACATGGGTCGGTGGGTGTGAGTGAGCACGGGTGCTCTTTTCGGGGTCGGTGGGATGCCACACTGCCACGGCGCTGCGTTTTCTAACTCGATACGGAGTAGTGTATACCTACGAGGCAAGTCAGATAGGTATTGGTGTGAGTTTACACGCAACCAGGTCAACGGATTCTGTCTCATACTTCAATGCCATCCGGAGTAAAAGACAGCCCGCCGTTTGTCAGGTTCGCTGCGGTGGTGATGGTGGGATGAAGTCCACGCAAGTCATCCGCCGTGTGTACCGTAGTCGCAGTCTTGTAATAAAGGCAGATGGATCGCCGTGGCTGTGCTTAATTGTCCCCGATTAACTTTCCGCCCGTATACCACCTACCTACGGTACCTACCCTGCTACCTACCTAACAACAGTATACAGAATCCACATATCAAGTACCTGACATCCTACCTTATCGCTTTCCCACCCGCTTTAACAACCATCCATGATGATCAACCATGGTTTCGGCTGTTTTGTCGCAACCAATTCCACGTGGCAGTGGTGCAACTCTCACTCTCACTAGACACACACTACACGCTACCCGAGGCACGTACCTTGGCATATCATCTCCGCCATCCTCCCTCCCACTGGAGTTGCGGAGTTTTGGACTCTCCGCAGCCAAGGCGGACATGCGTACGCTACTATTTGCTCATACCACGTAGTAGGTAAGCGCTATCGACACGTACGGGTACTGTGTGTATCCAAATAGGTAGGTAGGTAAACGGCTAACTAAGGGCCCTGAATCAAGCTAGGGTGTCATCGCGGTGGTGCGCGGAATTGACGGGGTCAGTACGTACCGCATGCTCGAAATCAGATCCGAGGTACGTATCGCTGTCATGCTGAAGCCGTATACCTATCTTTGTGTAGAGAGGTACCTAGATACCTATGCTACCAATCTACCTAGGTAGATAGACATCTTCACGGATGCGCCCTACTGCCTTCTCCTCACTGAATTGGCGTGCCTGGGGTACCCAGTACAAGCCAGCAAGACATTCACAGTGACCGTATACTTGTTCAGGACGGTTCCATCTTTCTGTCATCTTTGTCGCGGTGAAGTGTACCCATTGAGCGATGAGACGGACATCGGCCAGAATTGCCAGCGATGTCTTGGCTTTTCCTGTTTGATCTATTTTATACTGAACCTACTTCGTAAGTCTGCAAGTACTCGTCCCTGTCTGAATACAGACTACGTGGTGTTTTTTTCACCGGTTTCTTCCCTTTTGGTCCTCATTTGCCCGCCCCCTGCACACCAGCTCGGGCCCAGCTCCATGTCGTCCCATCTTTTTCTTTCTTCCCATTCTCTGCTGCGTAGGTATTTTCTTTCCAGCCTTAGCGTGCGGATACTTGCCCCTCGACACCTCCATCCTGGTAACCCCGAGGTACCGGGGTCACCTCTGTTATTATTATTTCTCTTGCTACCTACCCAGGTAAATATGGGTATGTCGAGCACCAACTGCACCCGTCCACGGCTCCTTCTTATACATACCCTCTCTACCCTTCCCGATCATCATCTTCAGTTTTGCCCCCTCGCTTTCCCTCTTCCCCCTCGCCCATATCTTCTTTTCGCGTCGGTTCTTTAATTCCACCTACTCCCAAGTCTCCTCAGGTAGGCCCTTAGTCACTAATACCGGGCACGATCCGAATACCTACCCCTCGTGTCTTTTCAAAAACCGACGGCCGGGCGAGGAGTACAAACACCAAACCGATACATTGCATCTGCGCCGAGCGGGTGGTTCTTGTAACACCTTTCCGTCCAACTGTCTCCCGTCTGTTGCAAGCTTGGCAATCTTGACCATTGGGCCCGCGGCAACGACCGCCCTCCCCACGGTCAGCCATGGCTTTCGCCGGGATGGCTTCCATCCCCAACTACGATAGCACGGCGCAAACATCTGGTGTCCCCATCGCCTCTGGCCGCGCCAACCACCACGAGGAGGAAGAAATCGCTGCTGCAAACCAGAATACCGTCGATACCGCCGCCACCTCCGTCACCGACGTCGCCCCGAGCGACTCGACCCACAAGAAGCCCTTGACTTCCCAGGACAGCGACAACATCTCCGCCGTGGGCGATGACGATTCCGAGATGGAGCGCCGTCATTCCCTAGTGCAGTCGCTAGCCCGCAAGTACTCCCACGCCTCCGCCGCCGCCGTGGGGGGAAACCCCTTCTTCGCCGACGAGACCTCGCCTGTGAACCCCAACTCGCCCAACTTCAATGGCCGCGCCTGGGCCCGCGCCATCGTCGACCTCGTCTCTCAGAATGGCGCCTCGTTCCGCACCTCTGGTGTCGCCTTCCAGAACCTGAATGTCTTTGGCTTCGGCCAGGCTACCGACTACCAGAAGGACGTCGGCAACATCTGGCTGAGCGCCATTGGTCTGGCCCGCAAGTTCACCGGCGGCGGAAAGACGAGAATCGACATCCTCCGCAACTTTGATGGTCTCGTTCGCAAGGGTGAGATGCTGGTTGTTTTGGGTCCTCCCGGCTCCGGTTGCTCGACTTTCCTCAAGACTATTGCTGGTGAGACAAACGGTCTCTACACGGACGATACCTCCTACTTCAACTACCAGGGTAAGTAACGCAAACGACACCCCGATACAAAGTGGCAGGGGTTCAATGTGTCATTGGGCGCCAGCAAGTCTGGCTTCCAAGACACACGCGAACGCCCCACGCCTCGTGTAACTTCAAAATGTGAACTGTGAACTCTCTCCTTTGCTGACATGGCCACCTCCTCCTAGGAATGACCGCCAAGGAGATGCATACCCACCATCGCGGCGAGGCCATTTACACGGCCGAGGTGGACGTCCATTTCCCCCAGCTGTCTGTTGGCGACACTTTGACCTTCGCCGCCCGCGCGCGTCAGCCCCGCCAGCTTCCCGAGGGCCTTGATAAGAACACCTTCGCCCAGCACCTGAGGGACGTCGTCATGGCCCTCTTCGGCATTTCACATACCGTCAACACTCGTGTCGGTAACGAGTACATCCGTGGTGTGTCCGGTGGTGAACGCAAGCGTGTCACGATTGCCGAGGCCGCCCTCTCCGGCGCCCCCCTTCAGTGCTGGGACAACAGTACTCGTGGTCTGGATTCCGCCAACGCCATCGAATTCTGCAAGACGCTCCGCCTGCAGACCGAGCTCTTCGACAGCACCGCCTGCGTGTCCATCTACCAGGCCCCTCAGAGCGCCTACGACCTGTTCGACAAGGTCGTCGTCCTGTACGAGGGTCGCCAGATCTTCTTCGGCAGGGCCACCGATGCCAAGCAGTACTTCATCAATCTGGGCTACGATTGCCCCGCCCGCGCCACCACGCCCGATTTCCTGACCTCCATGACGAGTCCCCACGAGCGTCATGTCCGTCCCGGCTGGGAGAACAAGGCGCCTCGTACCCCCGACGAGTTCGCCACCGCGTGGAAGAACAGCACCAACTACACGGCCTTGCAGGCCGAGATCGACGAGTACAAGCAGTCTCACCCCTTTAACGGACCCGACGCCGAGGCCTTCCGTGCCTCCAAGAAGGCCCAGCAGGCCAGGGGACAGCGCGCCAAGTCTCCCTTCACCCTGTCCTACGCGCAACAGGTGCAACTCTGCTTGTGGCGTGGATTCCGCCGCCTAGTCGGTGACCCCAGCATCACTGTCGGTTCTCTCATCGGAAACGTCGCCATGGGTCTGATCATCGGAAGTGTTTTCTACAACCTGCAAATGACCACCGACAGCTTCTTCCAGCGTGGTTCCCTCCTCTTCTTCGCCCTGCTCATGAACGCCTTCTCCAGTGCCCTCGAAATCCTCACGCTGTATGCTCAACGCCCGATTGTCGAGAAGCACGCCCGCTACGCCCTGTACCACCCGTCCGCTGAGGCTGTTGCGTCCATGCTGTGCGATATGCCGTACAAGATCATGAACACCATCGTCTTCAACCTAATCCTCTACTTCATAACGAACCTGCGCCGCGAGCCCGGGGCATTCTTCTTCTTCCTTCTGATATCGTTCTTCACCGTCCTGACAATGTCCATGATCTTCCGAACCATCGCCTCGTCGTCACGAACCCTGTCGCAAGCCATGGTTCCGGCTGCCATCCTCATCTTGGACCTCGTCATTTTCACCGGCTTCGTCATCCCCATCGACTACATGCTGGACTGGTGCCGCTGGTTGAACTACCTTGACCCCCTAGCGTACGCCTTTGAGGCCCTGATTGTTAACGAGTTCCACGGCCGCAACTTTAGGTGCTCGGAGACCAGCTTCGTGCCCGACCCCCGTGTCCCTGGATACCAGAACCTGCCCGCTTCTCAGCGTGTCTGCAACGCCATCGGCGCTGTTGCCGGTCTTGACTTCGTCAATGGTGACGACTATGTCCAGTCTGGTTTCCGTTACAGCTACGCTCACCGCTGGCGAAACTTCGGTATCCTCATAGCTTTTATGCTCTTCTTCCTAGTGACGTACATGGTCACGGCCGAGCTGGTGTCGGAGAAGCAGTCCAAGGGTGAGGTTCTCGTGTTTCGCCGCGGACACAAGCCCGCCGCCCTTGCCGAGAAGCACACCGACGACCCTGAAGACATCCGCGTTGGACCCGTCACCACTGCTGAGCGCAACCGCTTCAACGAGAAGAGCGATGGTCTTATCGAGGAGCAGAAGTCCACATTTCACTGGAACAACGTCTGCTATGATGTTCAAATCAAGAACGAAACAAGACGTATTCTGGATCACGTTGACGGTTGGGTCAAGCCTGGCACCCTGACCGCTCTCATGGGTGTCTCGGGTGCCGGCAAGACGACGCTTCTTGACTGTTTGGCTGACCGCACTTCCATGGGTGTCATCACCGGTGAGATGTTGGTTGACGGTTGGCACCGCGATACTTCCTTCCAGCGCAAGACGGGTTACGTCCAGCAGCAGGATCTGCATTTGCAGACTACCACCGTCCGCGAGGCCCTCAACTTCAGCGCCCTTCTTCGTCAGCCTGAGCACGTCCCTAAACAGGAGAAGCTTGATTACGTTGAGGAGGTCATTAAGCTGTTGGATATGGAGGAGTACGCTGACGCTGTTGTTGGTGTACCTGGTGAAGGTCTTAACGTTGAACAGCGTAAGCGTCTGACTATTGGTGTCGAACTCGTCGCTAAGCCTCCTCTTTTGCTCTTTGTCGATGAGCCCACTTCCGGTCTCGACTCGCAGACCTCGTGGGCCATCCTCGACCTCTTGGAGAAGTTGACCAAGAGCGGACAGGCTATTCTCTGCACCATCCATCAGCCTTCTGCCATGCTGTTCCAGCGGTTCGATCGTCTCCTCTTCCTCGCAAAGGGCGGCCGTACCGTCTACTTTGGCGACATTGGCGAGAACTCCAAGGCCATGACAGCCTACTTTGAGCGCAACGGCGGCTTTCCTTGCCCCAGCGACGCCAACCCCGCCGAATGGATGTTGGAGGTCATTGGTGCCGCGCCCGGCTCCCACACCGATATCGACTGGCACCAGGCGTGGCGCAACTCCCAGGAGTACGGCGACGTCCAAGCCGAACTTCAGAGGCTCAAGGACGAACGCGGCGTCCAGCAACCCCCTTCCCAGGACAAGAACAGCTACAAGGAATTCGCCGCTCCCTTCTTTGGTCAGCTCAAGGAGGTTACCCACCGCGTCTTCCAGCAGTACTGGAGAACCCCCTCGTACATCTACGCCAAGACCGCCCTGTGCACGCTCGTCGCCGCCTTCATCGGCTTCGTCTTCTACAAGGCCCCCAACACCCAACAGGGTCTCCAGAACCAGATGTTTGCCATCTTCAACCTGCTCACCATCTTCGGCCAGCTTGTCCAGCAGACCATGCCCCATTTCGTTATCCAGCGGTCCTTGTATGAGGCGCGAGAGCGCCCGTCCAAGGTGTATGGTTGGAAGGTCTTCATGCTCAGTCAGATCATTGTCGAGCTCCCGTGGAACACATTGATGGCTGTCATCATGTACTTCTGCTGGTACTATCCTGTCGGTCTCTACCAGAACGCCATTCCCGCCGACCAGGTTACGGAGCGTGGTGCTCTCATGTTCCTCTACCTCCTCGTCTTCCTGCTCTTCACCTCGACCTTTACCGACTTCATGATTGCCGGCTTCGAGACCGCAGAGGCAGGAGGCAACATTGCCAACCTGCTCTTCATGCTTTGCCTCATTTTCTGCGGTGTCCTCGCCAACCCCGACAGCCTCCCCCGCTTCTGGATCTTCATGTATCGTCTATCGCCCTTCACATACATCGTGTCGGGCATGCTGTCAACCGCCGTCGCAAACACCGAGATCGCGTGTGCAGCCAACGAATTCCTGCACTTCAATCCCCCTTCCGGACAGACGTGCGAGCAGTTCATGGCCAGCTACATGTCCGCGGCAGGCGGGTACCTCCGGGACAACAACGCCACCACTGACTGCCAGTTCTGCCCGATCCAGTTCACCAACGTGTTTCTGGACACTGTCAACAGCAGCTACGCAGACCGCTGGAGAAACTTTGGCATCTCCTGGGTCTACATCATCTTCAACATATTTGCCGCGCTGGGTCTGTACTGGCTGGCCAGAGTGCCAAAGAAGGGCGGTCTATTTGGCAAGAAGAAGGCCGAGTAAACAAACCATCAAGCAAAAAAAGAAGGAAAAAAGAAGAAAGTAATAGTATTGGTTCTCTTATATGAGTGGATGAGAGATGAGAAAGAAGAGAAGAACCACACCCAACAATGGTGACACATATCTATGTAATGAACGAGCCGTTTTAGAGAGGAGAGTGGGCCAGGTGCGAACCTCACAACAAAGGGGATGTCCCACGAACCCGCTCCCGCTTACTGGCCTTTGGCAGATCCGAGGCTGTTGTTTATTTTTGTTTTCTATTTTCTACATGTACGTTTTTTGGTATGGTAGACTGAGATATCCTGTGTGTATTCGCCATCTCCCTCCTCAATCGGGCCAAAGGGGGGGGGTTGCCCTTAGAAAAGGGTGAGCCCCGCCTCATCTCTGATTTTTCAAGTCTTAATAGATACCTAGAAGTATGATCCTGTTGAAAAGCTTGCTGCCCGCTCTCGTGGATGTCTCTTGGGTGAAAGAATCTATTCCGAACATGGACTTATCAAGCATGGTATGGCCGCTGCCTTTCATATATCAGTCCTCTAGTCCGATGCCGGTACGCAAGCGTGCGACTTGTTCATACCAAAACTAGATTCAGGGTTGGCTTATTTGTGGTTCTGACCATACGAACTCCATTTACTCCTTCTTTGAACCATCCCCTCCTTCGCTAGCCATGGCCCGAACAACTGCTTGCAGGCTCGCCCTGTCCGCACCCCTCACCCTTTCCACCAGTCCCTCACTACTCATGACAACAGTTTGCTTGGGAGTGAAGCCCTCCACATTTACACCCTGGGGTTTGCCGTTTTGGAAGAAGACAAAGGTCGGCATAGCAGTGACACTGTACCGCCCGGCGACCGCGTTCACGTGGTCAACATTCACCTTGGCAAAGGCCAGGCGACCGTCGGAGGCGTGCTTGTCGGCCAGCTCGGAGAAGATGGGCGCGATGGCGCGGCAGGGAGGGCACCAGTCGGCGTAAAAGTCGACCACGACATGTTTGTTGGAGGCCAGGACGGTGTCCAGCTCCGCAGCGCTGGATACCTTGAAGACCTTGCCCGACGTCTCGGGGATGGGCGAGCGATCCGCGAGCAACGTCTTGAGAGATATGCGTCAGCAGATTTTCATATGTGATGGCAGCGCTGCCCCCTCCCCCGCCCGATGAAGTTCGTTATGAGGGACCAGGCAGAGGGATCCAAGGCATGATCGCACGACTTGATGGCTTGGGAAATGCTACTTACGCGCGCGAGCATGAAAAGGGCAACTGCTATCCAGATGTAGGTTGACCACTCCATCCTGAAATCTGGTGCCTCGCCGGGTTGGATCGAATAATGGTGATGGATGATGCACTGAGTAATCAACGACTGTGAATGAATTGAGTTGCGCGATGTGAGAAAGCCATACTGTAAATGCGATATGAATTGCCCCATGTATATGCATTCAACGGGGGTATTTATTTAGGGCATATAGCGGGGCTACAGCCAGCAAAGGTACTTGTGACTAAAGCTGTCGACCTTAAATGGTGGATTCGACAGTACCGTCATCGTCGGTTGTCGCTAACGTACTGACGCCTTTGCGTATGCACTCAGACCATGGTTGAAGAGAAGTCCGATCCGGCCGTTGCTCTGCGTTATAAGGTATTCTACACCGCATTAAGAGATCAGGTCGGATGAAGGCGCTACATATCTCATTTAAGAACAGCTGTTCGGAGCGGAAGAACCTTGTGCATCTTAGCTAATCATACGGCTACAACATTCATAGCATTCTTTCAATATGTGCTTCTTGGCAAAGCAAAAGCTTCTACGTTTCCGGCGCCGAGACACCTTGTCTCTCGCATTCGACATGCTTCCCCACTTCCGCAATCAAGAACGCTGAACCGGTTTCAAGTAGACATTAAGCGGTCCTTTCTCCCACAATATGTAGATCTTCTGCCTGGAAGCCCAATCGGTACTGTCGCCGGCAATCTCAATGTCAAAGTTCCAGAGAACGCGGGCGAGGATGAGCCGCATTTCAGCATACGCCAAGCTGAGAACGCCCTTCTATCAGTAACGACGAATCTCGTGTCAATGGCTCAGTCAACTCACTTTCTGCCGATGCAGTTACGAGGTCCAGTATGAAATGGCTGAAATGCCTCCCTATTGTCGCTCTCGAAAGCTGCATCTTGCAGCCATCTTTCAGGACGGAAGCTGAAGGGATCACGGAAGTTCTTCTCGGAGTGGTACATGGCCCACTGGTAGATGGAGACCGTGGTCTGGGCCTCGACGTTAGTCGCTTGCATCTGCAATGCCCATCGGTACGTGTGTGAACTTACGCCCTCGGGAACATAATGGTCTGCAATGTTTGCGCCTCCCCGGGGAACAATACGGGGTAGACCGATGGGTACTGGGGGGTATATTCGCAGTGCTTCGTCGAGGCATGCGAGCAGATAGGTCAGGTTACCAACTGACTGGACGTCAATCTCGCTCTCGTCCTCGAAGGACGATCGGATCTCATCCGTCAGCTTTTTGAGAGCGACGGGGTTCATGAGTAGGTAGTAAGTAGCACCGGATAGCAGAGTTGCCGTGGTCTCGGATCCGGCAATGATGAGGATGCTGCTGTTAGACTCGAGATTTGCAAAGCTCATATTCTGCATCGCCGTCAGTCCATCTGGGCCTTTGGGAACGGCCCGAGACACATACCCAATCGTCCTTTCTCTTCAGGAGGCCCTCGATCAAGTCAGGTCGCTCATGTTCGAGCTCCATGCGTCGCTTCAACTTTGCCTCAGTAAACTCCCCGTGTTGCGCCCTTTCGCGCTTCATCTTCTCAGGAACCATGGCCATCATAAGTTTCAACACAAATGGGTAGTGGGTTCCCGTCTGTAACACTGTGCCTAAACGCACCATCTGGAAAATTGACCTGACCCATGGGTGGTAGTCCGAGCTGTCTAGACACCCAAAGGCTTCACCAAAGGCGAGGTCGCCAATGACATCAAAGGTCGTGTAGTTGTACCATGCTGCCAAGTTTAGTGCCTTGCTGCCGCCTTGCCCATGCTCGTGGAGCCTCTTGATGAGCAGGTCAACGTAGCCCTTGACAATAGGCTCCTGATGGCGGATGCTGCGCTCGCTGAAGCCATGCGCCAGCGCACGGCGCAGGTTGGAGTGCTCCTCGCGACCGGAATTGATGATATCGGACGGAGCGTTGGGGACAGAGCGATAAAACTTTTGCGATTTCTCCATTTCCGCATCGCCTTGGCCCTTGTGGCCCATGATGTCTTTCCATGCGCGCGAATCGTGGAAGATGAGCTCGTCAGGTGCTATACGCACCACGGGGCCGTACCGCTTGTGCAGTTCGAGCACGTCGAAGGGGAGGGTCCCCGTCAGAAGCTTGTAGCAGAATGGCAGCCGGGAGATCCGCATCCATGTCGGGCCCGGAAACTCTGCTAGCGGGTGAAGGAACAAGTTGTAGAGAGAACGAACGAGGCAGTAAGCAATTGCCTACCACGAGAGATTCATTAGATTGGGCTCGACTTCAGTCGTCGAGAAGCTGCTTGATTGCCGGTTCAGGTTGGACTTACGAAGCCAAGAGCCACACCAAGGATATTGCCCAAACCAAGAGAAAACAGCGCCATCTTCTTCTAGAGCTCCGAAGCTACGGAATGGGGCAGAACGACAGCGTGTTGGAACAGTGTGTCACCCCTCACATGTAAATACTACTCCAGCTGGACCAATCTGAACATACCAAATTCACTAGTTTGCTTGGTAGCTTGTTTCCAACTTAGGGGAATCGGTCTCGCATTCGGTCTCGCACCTCTTAGCCGTCGATCGGTGTGCCGAGGTGCGCTATGCCCATCCACGTAGGAACAGTAGCCGAACGCTGCAACGAGTTGATTAGAAGCTGGTTTCAACAGTGAATAGTCTGTCTACTGGGTGTGAGGGGGCCATGAAGCTTAATATAGGCGAGGTTCCTAGCCCTTTAGTACCTAGACTCATGCAGTTAACTCGAAACCTAGTGATGCACTACTTGGGCTATGCCGGGGTTGCCCGTGACGGAAGTCGGGACGGGGACGGGTTTGCCATTGGTGGGCGGTTGGCAGTTCGTCGTGCAAGGACCGGTTTCATATCAACCCGCCGACGTGCCATCGAGCTGGGTGAACTGCAGATTGAACCATGTTGACTTTCTCGAGACCAAATACAAGGTGGAAAAGTCAATCGACACGGACAGCAATTCCAAATCATAACATCGAACCTCATGACGATGTCATGCTTTTTCATAATCACCGACTCTCGAGCCTTGCCAACGAGTCTTCCAGTCGTATAGCAGGGGTGAGGGGGGCATTGTGTTTGAGCCTTGACTATCACCCCATTCGTCTAAAGGTTACTTTTTCACATATTCTTTCGTTCTTTGATCCAAGGTCACTGTTTTTGTCAAAGCATATCACTTGGATGCTCTGGCCACTGTCACGTACACCTATAGCCCAGACAAGGTTGTGCAACAGCCAAGGTGGCTTAACCCCCTGAAGGCTATCGTGTCATCAGCCCAACGCGAGATTCTCGCCGAACGACTAGCCAGCGAGCTTGTGGAGGCGTGGGTAGCTTTTCTTTATCCACCAGCCACAGTGTGTTTCGTCGGAGTTTTCGCACGATCCGGCCCGACCCGATGCACGGCATTCACTTACTCCCAACGATTATGAGATGAGTAGATGGAACCTACATGTTAGCTGAAGGACAAGCTTTTCAGTGTCGACCTGGTTGAAACGACGGATCAATGGCAAATTCCGTTGCGTCCCGCTCTCCTGGATCCATTCACCGGCGCTGGAACGAGACCAACCTCTTACCCCAAAAACATGTGTTCCGCAACTGATGCATCAAGTGGCGCGCCGGCGCTTGCAGATCACATCACGCATTACAATAGTCCGCTAATAGCCAGCCGCTGAGCTGTGGCACCAGTAGCTTAGACAATGGCGGTACTGAGAATCTTTTGCCCGAATAGCAATCAATAAAGTTCATGGTCCATTTGCTGAGAGTGGCGCAACCCCCTCGCTCGCTACATGTCTTCAACCTTTTCACTCAACCTGATCCATCACCGCTCGCAAATACACCGATACCCGTATTTGCCATCGCGCAACATTTCGGCTGATTTTGAGTGACCGTGACAGGTTGCACCCGGTGCTATAAGCCATGCTCGACATTGCCATCATCGGCGGCGGTATCGCCGGGCTCACGGCCGCCATCGCACTTCGACGTGCTGGCCACCCTGTGACCATCTACGAGAAATCGGCACTGAACAATGAGATTGGCGCTGCGATCAACGTACAAACAAATGCGTCGCGCCCCCTTCTGGCGCTCGGCATGGACCCTGTACGAGCCAGGTTTGTGACAGCCAAAGGCAGCCGGCGGGTGATGGGAGACACCCTGCAACCAGTCCACGAGCTTGACCTGGGCGCTGTCGCCGAGAAGTACGGTTCGCCGTGGTACTTTGCTCATAGAGTTGACCTGCACCAGGAGCTGAAGCGGATGGCGACGGCGGATGACGGGGGGCCGCCGGTTACCTTCAAATTGAGGAGCGAAGTCACGAGCTACGTGGGTACCAGCGGGCTTGTAGACATGATGTTTGTTGCACGCTGACGATAGCCACCCAGGACCCCGACGGGGCTCGGTTCAGCCTCCGCGACGGGACTGTCGTTTCCGCAGACCTAGTCGTCGTCGCGGACGGCATCCACAGCGGCGGGGTTGAAGCGATCCTTGGGTCGGCCAATCCTGCGTTTCCCGGGGCGCAGGACAACTTCTGCTACCGGTTCCTCATTCCGATGGAGCGTGTGACGTCCGATCCGACGACGTCTGAGCTGCTCGGTGGTCCCGGAGAAGGCGTCAGGATGTTCCTCGGGGACGGAAAGAGGATAGTAACGTATCCATGTCGAGAGTTTGTCTGACGTTTGGCCGTGCGTCAGGAAGCTTGGACTAATGCGAGGTAGCGGCGAGGTTCTCAACTGTATCGCCATATTCCATAATGAGGTCGGCTCATCAAGTAAAGAAGGTCGGCTCACACGGTCTAGGGGTCGGGGGTCGCCATTCTTCGAGCGATGGATGAGGCGAGGAGAGAAAGAAAGCTAACTGGCGTCACAGACTGGCATAACTCGGTCGAAAAGTCTCACCTTGTGGGTCGCTTTTCCGACTTTCACCCCAGTGTGCTTTCTCTTCTAGAGTGGGTGGCTTCGTCTCGGTGTGTTGATGGCCTCGATGAATCTGACAGCATGCAGAAAAGCGGACGAGGTCAAGCAATGGCCGTTGCTGTATAGGGCCCCCATTTCGACGTGGAGGAAAGGCCGGATGATTCTAATTGGTGATGCCGCTCATCCAATGCTTCCCCGTAAGAGAATACGGGCTTCCGCCTTACAAGGTCTTAACCTACTGACTGATTACAGATCAGGGCCAAGGAGGCGCACAGGCAATAGAAGATGGTGTTGCCCTCGGGGTTTGTTTTTCAAACGTCACATCGGGAGTTGAGGTCCCGGAGAGGCTCAAAGTCTTTGAGGGGATCCGCATGAACAGAGCCAGTGCGGTGACGATATTCAGTAATGCGGCGCAGGACGAGGCAGAAAAGATCAGAGAGGCTGCATCTGAGTTCATCCCGGTCGATCGTATCCCAAGTGAGTCCTTCTCTTGTATTTTCGAATTCAGCTAGTTCAAGTTTGCATCTAACGTCGGAACAGCAAGCCCCGAGGGATTCTACGACTTCCACTTCGACTACGATATCGTGGAGGACGCAGCTCACCACATGAGAACGATCGATCCTCAGTTTAAGCTTCCAGAGTTGTTTCTTCGGCCGGAAGTGCCCAAGCTGGCGGTAGTGTGAGGGAGGCGGCGCATTGGTCGAGTTGGATGCATGCAAATCTACTGGAGGGGGCTAGCATGTATGGGTATCGGATACTGAATCTATCTATTCATATGAATGGAATCGAGTTTACACGACCGGACGATGCATTCCTCTGGTGGAAGTTTGTCCGTCAAACAGGGCTGTGACTGCGTCTTTTCTGTCTCGCCGCAGGAATCGTGAGTGCGAGATTCAGGGAGAGTGAGAGAAAGAGTGAGTGAGAGAGTGAGAGAGATAGTGAGAGAGAGAGAGAAACAAGAAGAGGGCGGGAAGGAGAAATGCCGCGCTTGCCTCGATGAGCAAAACAGCATCAGTCAGCAATACCAAAGGCCGCCGGAAGGGAAAGAGAGACCCTGCAAATCTGGAGTCTCGCCTGCCACTTCCTAACGATATCGACATGGCAGGAGGCAGCGACTTCTGTCGGTTCGTCTACATCCTCCACTCTTCTTTCTTTTCTTCTCTCTTCTCTATTGTCTCCTTCTTCTACACCTCATCCTCCTCATCATTATTATTATTAAACAACATCGTCATCGTCGTCGCCGCCAGTCACTTTCCTACAAGTATGTTGCATATCTGGCCGTCAGAATTGGAGCCAACAACTCTGGCGCTCATGACATACCCCCACGCAGATATTATCGTTTGCACACGCCATTATCGGTATCAATGTTTCAAGGCGAGAAATGGGATGACGCTTCACACGATGAGTCTCTCGATAGTCTTGGCGATGTTTATCAGGATGAGCACTCCCGAAATCTCCATCCTGCGATTCTGGCCGCCGTCATCATGGGATGCATCACCGGTGGCTTTGCTTTGATTACATGGTTCCTGACTGTCTTCACGGCCTTCTTACGCGCGCGGCGGCGCATAAGCGATTTGGAAGCAAACAAACATCCACGCCCTAGCTTTGCCCAGCCAAACCATCGTCCTTATTCTGTTACCACCACCACCACCACCGCGTCCGATGGATCCAGCGAGTGGGACACAGAAGACTCACAACCATCATCGACCCGTGTCGCGAGACGTCAAGAGCCTAGCAGTAATGCCGACACAACCGCAGCTAAAGGACAGCACGATTGTCTAGGCCTCCCTACCACATTGTTCCACACGCCCGTCGTCCTGCTTGGCCCTCTTGCCGTCATACTCACATGTTTGAGCATGATATGTCGATGCACTCGGAGTCCCAAGCTTTGTCAGGAACAAACTGGCCCTTTTGTTGAGTCAGGCGCTTCCACAGCGAGGCAGGTGAGGCTCATGTTCATGTGCGCTTTGCTCTCGTGTCACTATGTTGACCAGCCCTCCGCAGCGTGATACGCTCCCCACTACAATGCACCGAGGAAACGGCCTAAGCAATGAGTCTGCGCCGTTGACCTCCGTTGCAACGTGTGCAGAACCGTCTACACATAGAGTCGACTTCACACCCGCGGTCTTATCCATGCACGCTTCCCTCTGGATTTGCATCGGAGTAGTCGGTCTCTGCACCATCGCAAACAGTTGCTCGACCTGTGTCAGTCGTGGCGTCTGCTTTTGCTGGCCCAAGTCTGACAATCATCGATGCCAATCCCTGTACAAGACCGACAATTCTGCCCACCAACACGTAGGTCATAGTGTCCCACAGACGGCCTACATGGACCAGAATGACTGACAATTTTTGGTACAGACACTCGCCGGAACCAGTCGCGAAGCAAAGAACCCTCGCAAGAAGCCGATACTACTGGCTGGAGTTGTATCCATACCCGAGCAGACATGGGATATCGAAGGAGGCTTGGGGCCCACTGCTCCTATACCTCTTCTTGCGTATACACCCCGGCCACTGTACCTGATCAGGGAAACGAGCCATGACTGTCTCGCAGCCACACTGGCATGATGGGCGTCGACATTGGGGCATGCGAAGTGGGCGGGGGGGGATGGATTCTAACATTTGTCTGGCTTTCTTTTGTATAGGCCTACTAATACACTTCAACAACCCCATCTTTCACACCTATGGCTGCTGTTCTGGGAGATACATCCGTTGAACAGCGCGGTCGTGGGCCGCCTTCAGAAGCACCAGCTCGCGCTCGTGCTTCTTTCGCATCTCCCTGGCTTCCAAAGGCAACATGGTTTCATACAGGCCCTTCCTGGCAGAGACTTCTAAAAGGCGCGCCAAGACGACCACGTTTGCCACCCAGGCCGTCAGAAATATGAAAACGGAATCTGGTTTCGCAATCCACTTGTCCAGCCTCAAATAGTCGACCACCAAGAGAAACAGGGCCAGCCAGAGCTGAGCGAGGGGCAGGGCCAGTTCGACGACGACCCATACCTTGGGACCAGGACCAAAGGGGCCTCTGTTCTCCATCTCCTTGTCATAGGCTTTGAGCTCGTCTTTCCACTTGAACTCAAACTCGTGGGCTGACTCCATGTCGGCAAGACGTAGGTGGTATGCCTCGGTGGCATAGACGATGCGGGAGTGGCGCTCTTCGAATGAGTTCTGTGGTGCGGCCCATTCGGAGAAGAGCGCCTCAAGCTCGGCCTTGGCCTCGCGGACGAGCCGGGCGCGCCTGCGGGGTGTGTCGGGCCCCTCGATTCTCCATTCTGCCGTCCTCGGCCGAGTGGGCGTTGCTGATCTCAGAGTTGGTGATGGCGGGGGAAGTGTCTTGTCCGTTTCTACCGTCGGTTGCCCCCCGAGGAAGTCTCCTGATTCGTACTCGGTCGGTTCCGAGTCGATCGGGAGTTCCTCGGGGTCGTCGTCGTCGTCGTCGTCTTCGTCCACCCAATCGCTTTCACGATCACTCTCGCCCTCGCCCTCGTCTTCGTCCTCGCCCTCGTATTCAACATCATCATCCTCACTATCCTCGGTCATGAAACCGGACCGTAACCGGTACTGGTCCTGCTCGACACTTTCGCGCGCAAACATTTCGCAAATCTGGACAAGTGCCTGCACACACCGTTCATCGAGCTTGTCCCTGTGAAATTGCGTATCCAAATCCGGCTCTGGCGTCCTCTCGCACACCTTTCCTATGGTGTCGATGCACTTATTCACGGCGGCGAACTTTGCATCCTGATCCGCCATGTTCGCCGAGGTTGACGCAATGGCCGCACCCGCATGCTGCTTGGCTAGTTCTCGCAGGTCATCGAGCGTCGTCTCAACGGTTTCAAGCATCTCCGTCATGCCAGAGAAGCCCCCTTCTACCGATTCAGTGGGGCTATCAGGCTCATCTCTCTCCGGGACGGTCTGCGGAAAGGATGCAAAACACATTTGGGGCGGATGAAATGGCGAAGGTGCCGTGTGAGGCCGCTTGGGCGAAGCCACGGTGCTGGGAGAAAGGGCGGTCGCTGGCGGGGTGGGAGACATGACGCTCACTGATGAGCGGCGCTGGATCTCCCTCCAGCCCTCAACCATGCGTTTCATGAAATCGGCCTGATCGGGCATAATCTTGACAACCTCCTCGGCAGCGCTCGAGATAAAGTCGTCGGGAAGCACAGGGCAGGTGGATGCGCGGCGGAAGGGCGGCAGGGAGACGGCCGTTGAAGGCCGGCTGGTGTTCTTCTTCTCGGTGCGTTCTGACTCGGATGTTGTGTCCAGCAGCTGTCGATGCTGCTTGTAGGGGTTGACCTCATCGAAGAAGCTGACTAGGCTTTGTAATGACTTGGGAGAGGAGATGGGAGTTTCGACTGCGGTGCAGCTCTCATCCTCGTCCTCGCCTTCGTTCTCCTGGTCGTACTCATCGCTGGAGAATGAGAAATCGCCGAGCTCTTCAGAGAGTCGGCGCGGCAGGAGATCGGGGGAACCTGAGCGGGGGCTTGCTGGGACGCCCCTCATTGTCGCGATGCGTTGTGCTGGTCAAGCGCTACCTATGTGTAGTGGGTTGGGTTTGCGCTGTGCGTCGAGATTAAGGGATGATAATTGCTGGCGGTCGAGAGAGGGTATCTCTCGTTGGCGATCAACGAAGCCAAGTGGGCTTGCTGGGATGATGGGATTGCGGAATGCGGCAGGGGTGTTAAAGGGGAGGGGGGGGCGGGATTGGGTCGGTCCCCTTGGCGCGGGGTGGGAGTGGGCGCTGGGCGGCGGTGAGTGAAAAGGCCGCACACGATGGTCAGATTGGATGGATGGAAGGATGGATGGATGGATGGGCTTGTTCTGTGCTAATCTTTTTTTTATTTTCAAGTATTCGCACTGACGATGAAGCCGGAATGGGGTTGTCGAGCACTTGGGGAGAGATTTTACCACGTATGACAAACTGTGAGGGAAGATGGAACGATCTGTTATACAATGTAGATGAGATGAAACCCTTTCGGAGATGCGCGGGTAATGGCGGGGACCAAGGTTTTGAATGGAAAGGAAACGAGACGTAATCATGCAAGTTTAAAGAAAAGTACTGAGGACGGAGGGAGGCGCGCGTGTAGTGACGAATGATACCGTCACATCAAGCAAGCTCTCTCTCTTCTCCGGTACGTCTGTCTGTACGTCTGTCTGTCCGGACGCAGGGTAGAGGCTCGGAAAATAAGGTGTCACGGCTCGGTGGTCTAGATAAACTTTGCTGATGACGCGGGCACAGACGGGCGAAAAGGGGGGGTTCTGTATCACGAGACAGACAGACGATGGGACGATCGAGCGAGCCTCTGTCTGTCCATCTGTCTGTCTGTCTGCATATGTGTGTGTCGGTGTCAGTGTCCCGTATGTGGGGACGAACGGCCGAGGTGTGCAACGAACCGAACAGGGGCGGGAAAGAAGGGGTCCTCCATTTTGGGGAGGGGGACGCGATGGTGGTGGGATCACGATAAGCGGCGGAGGAGGCGAGAAAAGAGAAAAGTGGATATAATGAACAGGCAAGAAGAAGGGTTGCAGATTACACCAAAAGGCGAGAGCGAGATACACGGAGCAAGCAAGCGAGTGAGAGTGGTAGTGAGAGAGAAAACTGAGTGAGAGACAAGAGGATGAGATGAGGGCATGCATGGCGCGACCCTCGAAATGGGCAGCGCTTAGTGGGAACGGGAAAGAGAAAAAAAAAAGGGCGGGTGAGTGATGCGCGATACATACGACAAGACGGAGACAAACAGACAATATGCGATTTAGACAGACGGCATTATCGATCGGCATTGGCATGTGCGTGCGCGTGTGTCTTTATTCTGCAGCAAAAAGAAGGAAACGCCCTTTTTTTCTTCTTTTTTTCTTAACATCTTTTCCCCTTTTGGTTCGGTTCTGGACCCAGTGCTGTCCCCTCGGATACCGAGCTTGACCCTATCTCTCCACTCTTTGTCTCTCTCTCTCTCTCTCTCTCTCTCTCTCTCTCTCTCTCTCTCTCTCTCTCTCTCTCTCTCTTCTGGGACCTTAATATCTATTCTATACCAAACTACCACAAAACATCTTGTCTAGTTAACAGAAAAAGGTGCGTCCGTCCTCTTGAACATGAACAAAACGCGTAGAAGACTTGTTTATTCTATTTAAGGAAAATATCTTACTGAACCCTCCGGTCATGTCTCTCTTCATGCAGGTGACTACAGAGATCAATGACGAAAGACGTACTATTGCTAGACCCTCAGCAAGATGACATCGGAATAAGAATC